TACGACCTGGTGATAACGGAACATTAACGCAACGACACGATTTGAAAAAAGTGCATAATGGACGACGATCAAAGCGTTCCGACGGGTAAGCGTCGTCGCGCGTTTTGCCCTGATTGATACCCGTCATCAAGGTATCATCGGTCGCATAATAGAAAAAAATATAGAGGGAGAAGAGAAACCGCCAAGTGGTTCACGGATGCTTACAGCACGGTATGCGTTAATTATGCGTTGAGAACAAATTATATGTAACATAGCATAGTGGTACAGTTCTTTTTAAATGGTAATTCTAAAGACGAGGATACACCTAGCGAGAGTTACCATTCGTTCGTAATGCAGCCATTCGCACCATTGCTAGATAAAGAAAAAGGTAGAGGTAGAGCGGGTAGAAAACATTTGAATGAATCTTTTTATTTCGCTAATATTTCCACATTCGACCTCCCTCCACTTCCTACATTTTTACTGATACGGCCACATTACAACGATTCCAATGATTCACGGCTCGCATTTGCAGAACTTCATCTTCTTCGACAGATCTTCACTTTAATCGACAGAAGATGGAAAGCATTCGTTCGCGCTCAAAGGATTCGTCTACACCTAGTAGAAAGATTGGTGCTTGTCAGATATAACACCCTCCGAATTTTGTACTTTTTTTTATATCACTCGAAAGCATACATCGAAATAAGTATTTCAAGCCAAAAAAAAGTGTGGATGATCCATAATTTAATGAAAAAATTAACATCTAATTATTGCTACAACAGGCTACTTTCTATGCGAAAACTCCTACAAATGTTGTCGGCGTTGCCAGATTTATTCATTTCTTCTTGAAAGGTTCATTAAAAAAACACGTGCTGGTCGGAAGAAAACTCGCGTTAAGAACAGATTATAAATTATTTTAAAATCAAGAAAAGGCGATCGTCTGAGGAACTGCTCCTACCCATAGCTGATATTTTGCCTACTGACTATTTATAACTACAAAGTTGCACGAAAGAGTTTTGATTGCGTTGGTTTTAACTTCTTTGGGGGTTAATCTGTTGTTTTTTTATATTTTAATACGAATCGCTACTGTATAAGGATTTGTTCGTCCGGCGACCGGCACGTAAAATCAAAGCAATCAGATTCGTATTAAAATAAAAAACAAAACAAAAGATTAACACCCTCACGAAAAGGTTGAAACCAACGCAATCAAAACTCTTTCGGTTTCAACTCTTTTTGTGTATCATGTAACGTACCGTATGATCGAAAAAAAAAACGGCGTCAGCCATGGCTATGAAATGAACATCGCTGTCATTTTATATGTAAAATTATATGGGGAATGTCATCGATCGTCATTTCCAAGCCAACTGGACGCCGTTTTTTTCGATCATACGGTATTATGTATCATACAAACAAGAAATAACTTTGGCAACAATGCTTACGCAGCTTACATCCTTAACAACAAATGGTGACAGACGGCTGCGGCGGCAAGTTTGAATCGAAAGATATTAAGTAAATCGATTAAGTAAATCGAATAAGTAATCGAATTAAGTAAATCGATCAGGCAAATATTACAAAACATATCACCAACTCTATTTTTAATTTATGACTTACTAATGCTCAATGATTAATTCTGGCCTTTATATTAATAAAAAAAATGTATATAATCGTCATATTTTACAATAATTACACGCTTATACAACTTCGCCATAACCTAAAAATGCACTTTTAATTTATTTATTTTTCAATAAATTGTGGTTCATCCGCAATTTTTTTTTGCTTAAAATTCTTATTTACGTGTATGCTTTCGACTGATATATAAATAAATGCCAAATTCGGAGGGTGTTATATCTGACAAGCACCGAAAGATTTCCTCTCGAATGCGAACGAATGGTAACATTCGTCACGTGTATCCTTGGCTTAAGATGGGTAAGTACAAATGTATACTAGCAAACTTTATATACCGGGTGCGTCTCAAAAGTGGCTCGCCTCTATAACTTTTTTATTTTTTCAGATAAAAAAAAACAAGATTTGGTATGTTAGCATATAACATAAATTAAGATTGATTGACGTATTCAGTTGTTTTCTGTCACTCCCTGTTTCACCAGAAATTCGGAAATTTTTCAGATAAAAAAAACAAATTTGGTATGTTAGTATATGACATAAATTAGTCACTCCCTTTTTCACCGGAAATGACTAAAACTTTTGATTTTTAAATGGCACCGTCAGTATTTTTTTACTTTACTCGATAGAAAATAACATTCTGAACAGAATGACATATCATAGGTATGTCAACTTTTGACATTTTCGCTTAAAACAAAATTGAATTTTAAATTTCAATCTAGAGTGCCATGGCTGTGTTAAAAACACTAATTTTTAATCAAGGAGCATTGGAAAAATATATTTGGTCGTCTAATTTTATTCGTGTCTTGTCCCTAGTCGGTTAAAAGTTACCCAAATCGTATTTTTAATCATATTTCAATTTTTTCAAATGGAACGAGGATGGCTCATTAGTATATTTGGAAAAAATCATTTTTTTACCAATAATTTGGTACCAAACACACTTGGTATTTCGAGCAAATTGTCGTTATGATTCGCATGTTGCAATTTCAAATAAACCATATTTGAAAATGTCAAAAGTTGACATATGATATGTCATTCTATTCGGAGTGTCATTTTCTATCGATTAAAGCAACAAAACACCGAGGGTACATGAGGGTTTCATTTTTAGGGGTAGAATATTTCGATCCCAGAAACACGACTATAAAGTTTTATTCGCGAAAAAAATAAATTAAAAATTTGGAGTTTATGGAAAAAAATGGATTTTTTTCATTTTTAATTAAAAAACATAATTTCTTGACAATATGGCAACATAGGTAGCAGATTAAATTTACAAGAAGGAAACCCCAACAGAAAAGATCCGGTTGTTCTCAAAATTTAACCAAAAAATTATTTTTCAATTTTCAAAGTAAAGTAACTCGATTGTTTTGGACTGATTTGAAAAATTGTAAAGAGAAAATAATGTTTCTTCTGTCGAGATCTACCAGTCCTGAAAATATTTGCACTTATTTAAGACTCACCCTCTATAGCAGATGTAGAAATTGACTCTGACTCATGAGATCCGATCTCATCAGCCTTCTAATCAGCGCACAGTGGTTCAGAATTTGAAAAAGCTGCTCATTGGATATTTTATTGAATAAATTAGGAATTTTTGAAGATAGTATGCAAATTTATGAATATTTACTATAATTTATTATAAAAGTAGATATGAAAAAGATATTTTAGCCTATACTTAACTAATTTTTATTTATACAGTGTCCGAAATTGATTGATATATTGCGATCTCGAAAACTGCTAGAAGTAAAAAAATGGTTAAATAGGGAAAGTTTTCAGACAAGTCTGTTTGTAATTTATGTTTGTGTTTCTATTTCTATCACTTTTGGTTTTTGAGATATTTTGAAAAACCTCAAAAGAGGCATTTTTGAAAACACCCTGTAATTTCATTATTTATGAAAATTTTTGAAATCTGTCAAAACTTTCTTAAAACAACTTTTTACGTAGAAAATATCTGTGTAATCAGACTTATGACAAAACAACGAAAAGTAAGATTTTTAATAAATTTGGCAACTTGAAAAACATGAAATATTATAAAACCCTAAAAAATAAAGAACTACACAACGTTTATTTTACATTTTACAAAAAGGGATTTAATAGGAATAAATAAATAAACAATCATGTTCTCAAAAAAAATCATAGTAATTAAGTGCGAAATAAATTATTATGAAGTTATTATATATTCAAAATTACAATATTGAAAAATTATATTGTGTCCTCGTATTCATGAGTTTCGTTAGGCTTTCGTTTTTTGGGAAACGGATAACTCAACAAATTGTTTTTTTGCGGATGGACCAGACTCTTCAAAATCCATGAACTCTACTTCCTCTTCAATAATCGGCTGACTTGGCCAGACATTATTTCTTGCCAAAAATGTATCCCAACAATAATTGCTGCTTCGCCATCTGTGTGACCAACCACTTAAAAATGATTTGATCTTACCTAGCTGTGCCGAACCACTCTTTCGTTCGTTTAAAAAAACACAAATGTTATTTGCTATATCGATTTCCTTTCTATTTTGAAATCCATTTTTTAGAAACTTGGCTCAAACGGTTTGGCGTGTGATTACACCTGAAAGTTAAAAAGGTAAACCTAGAAGTGGAACAAAGGGAATAGTAGGTATTTTAACACTAAGTATTTACAGTTTCATAATAGTTTTGGAACAGTTACTAAATAAAATACTTGACTTTATTACTTTATTACAGGGGGGTGCGAAATTTGGACGGTAAAAATATATTAGTGAACAGAATATTTCTGTGAAAAAATTAACGTGGGTCCTCGCAAACCTCTAAAGTTTTATGAATTTACATTTAAAATTTGAAAAATTTTTAACATGTTCTTTTATTCAATAAATTATTGCCGGTAACATATGTATTGCAAAGGATAAAATATAAAAATGAACACTTACCTATGTCTTCCATACTGGTACATTCTACACAGAAAAATATTTTGTTTTGTACTATCGAATGAATCCACTTCTCAACACTGCATTTCACACATCTTTAAAAATAGGTCACAAAACAAGATAAGCAAAACGCTGTAAATATGTTTTTATTCATTATTCGTCAAAACCCTTTTAAGTGAAGGTAGATTAAGGTCTGGTATCAATAATAAATGTGTTAAATATACTAAATTTGCAACTCGAACTTTCGCATCTATGAGCAGCTTTTTCAAAATCTGAACCATTGTGCAGCGTGAATAAGCAGTAGGTACCTACTTCTCATTAGATTGTTCACTCTAGCCTTGGAAACAACAGCACAACGGCCCTTATTCAGTCGTTCATCCGTCCAAACTCACATATCGTCTAACATCGCTTAACTTTCAATTTCAAACTTCCAATTTTGCCGAAAGTAATATTATATCCGATCATGTGATTAGAACAATCAACCTCAAATAAATCTGTCTGACAGATATTGATTTTCACCGTGACATCCTTCAAATAAACCCAATTTTGGCTACAAAAATTCAAAATTTTCCGTGAACAAAATTAAATAAAAAACTCGCAGTATCTCACACAGTTCACAATGTCATCGTATTTAACCAAAATCCCCACAATTTGCATAAACAAGAACTTCCCGAAGGTACTGTCCATCAAATCGTATACTTCCGATGGTAAAAATAAGGGCAGTGGTAGTCAGGATAATAAAGAACCACCGAAAATAACATTAAACAAGCTAAATTTGTTTGGCACAGTCGGCATAGCGTCCGCCTTGCTAGCTTCGTATTTTCTGGTGAGGAAAACGCAGGATAAAGGAGCGAACTTTTTGGATACGGTAACGTTTAATAATGTTAAAATTCCGGAACAGCATGTTCTGAGAAAGTCACCATCAGAGGATTTCGAAGAAAAAGATGAACATTTAAGGTAAAGATCTTCAGTACTTGTTAGAATAAGAATTAGAATAAGTGGGAGGGGGGTTAATCTCTGCGACCTTAGAGATCTATTGTGTCCCCCTTTCTTGAGTTATAACTTATCATACAGTCCCAGGACTTCCTACGGAAACCCGTGTCCCTCACAGTCGAGGAGCTACGACCCAGGCCGGGTAGACGAAACGGTAGCTTGTGTCGCCTGTTGGGTTTAGAGGTAGGAGGTAGGCTCCCGACCCTTGGAGGAGGTGGTAGCTTGTATGCCACTTGCGGAGGATGGTCTCACGCAAGTGTCAGCCACCTCTCCTGTAGTTCTCTTTGGGTTTGGTCCCTTGGACCTTTCATTGTTACTGTTCCCAGTGTCGCTAGGGGGTTTCCCCACAGCTTCACCTGTGATGTTTTTATTACTATTATTATCAGATCTCATAGTGTTCCTATGAGTCGCCCAGGGACGCTCGGTCCACTTCTACACAGCTTCACATGTAGAAATAAAGGGGTAAAATATCACAATGGGGTGCCCCCGGTGCCCCAAGGTTGAGGCTGTCCGTAGCCCCGCCCGGTATCGTTATATGTCTTGGTGCAATTCCCTGGCCACGACACTACAGTCAGGGACAAGACGATGAGTGAGATGCTTCTTAGACCAAGCCAAGTGCTAGAGGGGATTCCCCCCAGCACCTGACCAGGAGCTTCCCCACCAACGACAAGGTCTTGCATCTCCTAGGGGAAGTCAGTACTTGTTATACAGGGTTGTTCACCACATACGACACGGAGTATTGTAGCTAAACGATTACATAGATTTTTACAAATTGTAAGTTTTGGGTTGGTTGAAAGACTATGATTAGAGCTACAATTTAAAAATATTTTTACAAGATACAGAGTGTCCCAAATAAGTAAAAAATATTATGGTTGTATTTTTTAAATATTATTACATTTTTAGTTTCTACGATTAAAATAAAGGTAAATTTTCTTAGCGTTTATCATACCTTGAAACTGCAGTAAAAATGTTAAGGCTTCATTTCTAAAAGGGTATGAAAGTTTTTAATACTAAATATTTACTGAAGTTTATTTATTGATCAGTTATTGTGTTGCAATAATAAAAATAATACTACCTTATACAGAGTGTCTAAAAATTTATTTTAAATAATTTCAAGCTTTAGACGCCAATAATTTGTTTAATTTAAACGGAACACCCTGTATATTTTAGAAGAATCAGATGCACAATTTAATTGCCTATCAAATTGTATTATGCCATTTTTTACCTATCTTTTCAAGTTTTCGTAGGAATGCATTTTTTATAATTTAGACCTCATTTATCACTATACCCATGGAATATTGACATTTCAGATTATTTTTAAAGATGTAACAAATTTTCAAAGGGTACAGATACTAATATTGTCCGAAATGTTCGAATTTAGAATTAATACAGTTGGCTTATTTCATTAAAAAATAAAGAAACTGTTTAAATATTTTTTGTTAAAGACCAATTAATATGATCCCAGTATTCAAACTACATTAATTGACTGTTTACGTTGATTAATAATAATTGCTCAAAATACTAAAAAACTGAATTTTGTATGTGTATTAGACAGTGTGGTAAAAAGTAACACCTTATAAATTTTATTTCGTTTTTTGACGAATGCTTATTTATAACAACAGAGACTTTCATTTTCATAACTTATTATTTTGATTTCTTAGTCAAATCCACATTTATTTAAAATAATTTATTAATTAAAACAATTAAGTATGCAATTAACTAATTTTTGAGCGAAAATAATAGTGGTATATTTAATTAGTATACTCTTTTACAAACATTTAAATATTATTCTTTTTGTAAACGAATGGGCTTGCAATATTATTATTTTTACCACCTGTACATTTTGTACATATTACGTTGCTTTAAAAAAAAATCTAAAATGTCAATATTCCATGGGTATAGTGATAAATGAGGTCTAAATTATATGAAAATACATATTCTACGAAGACTTGAAGAGATAGATAAGAATGGTATAATACAATTTGATAGACAATTAAATTGTGCATTTACGTGTAAACTATACATGCTGTTCCATTTAAATTAAACAAGTTATTGCCGTTTAAAGCGAGTAATTATTTAATATAAATTTGTGGACACTCTGTATAAGATAGTAAAATTTTTAATATTGCAACACAATATCTCACCAATAAAATAGATAATCTTCAGTAAATATTTAGTATTAAAAATTTTGATACCCTTGGAGAAATAAAACCTTAAATTTTTTACTGCAATTTCACAAAATTGAAAATATTTCAAAAACTGTAAGGTTTAAGTATGATAAACTTTAATCAAATTTACCTTTATTTCAATCGTAGAATCTAAAAAGAAAATAATATACAAGGTGCTTCTTTTAAACAAATACAACTATATTTTTATTACTTATTTGGGACACTCTGTATCAATACAATTTTGTTTTAAGCGAAAATGTCAAAAGTTGACATACGACATGTCATTCTATTCAGAATATCATTTTCTATCGAATAAAGTAAAAAAAGATACCGAGGGTGCCATTTAAAAATCAAAAGTTGTAGTCATTTCCGGTGAAACAGGAAGTGGCCGAAAAGAATTGAATACGTCAATCAATCCTAATTTATGTATTGGTATAACATACCAAATCTTGTTTTTTATCTGAAAAAAAAAGTTATAGGGGTGAGCCACTTTTGAGACGCACCCGGTATATGTCGCGCTTAAAAAGCTTATGTTAAATTATTTATCGCTATTACTTGTGACACAATCTCAACCTCCCAATATCAATAACTATCAGAGAAATTGGCATAATTTTTCTTATTTTCAGAGAGCAGTACAATTTTATCAAGAAAGTGGTCAACGATTGTGCCGGAGCAGTATTCTATTTGGAACTGCGCGATCCTAACTTAAGAGATCCTGAAACGCAGCTTCCAATGATAATGTCAAACGGTTCAGGGTTTATCATCAGTGAGGATGGATGGGCACTCACTAATGCTCACGTAGTACTGAACAAACCTCACACTACCATAACAGCAATTATGAGAGACGGTAATATTATATTTTAGAAACAGAATATTTTTCAATAAGACTAGCTGCTGATTAAATAGAAATTTACTTTTATACATATACAGGGTCCGGCAATAGTGCGTCGGGCATCTGTAGCTCCTAGAATAAAAAACTTGAGAATTTTGTTTAAGTGCAAACCTAAAGTATGTACCAGGATGTATTTCAGGAAAATATTTTAACTTCTATAGGGTGGCTCAAAAAAGTGTGGGTGGACCTGGATGATTTTTTTTTAAATGGAACACCCTATATATTATTGCATTTTTGGCTTCCTTTTACATCACTTTACATAACCCTAAGATATGAATAAATATATTTCGATAGTTTCAGAGAAAGCTAAAAATAAATCAAAAATATATATTTTTCAGCCTGTCTTAAAAAGAATTATTAAAAATACAAGAACTGTTCTGAAATCAAAACTATATTAGGTATTTACTTTAGATGGTCTGTACTTACTTTGCTATAAATATAAGAATCGTAAATCATACAGGATGTTCAAAATTCCACGCCAAACTTTCTAAAATATAAAATAATTTTTCTTCGTTTTTTTAAATGGAACACCCTGTATATTATTTTTTCAATAGACGAAGAATTAAAAAATGAACATTTTTTGTATTTAGAGTATTTCAAAATTTTTAACGGTTTCGCGGATATTTGCGGTTTTATATTTCATATGGCATTTTCCACAGCAAATTTTCATCAAAGCCACACCCAATGATTTTTCTCTCGTATTTTACCATTGAAAGCGCCATATGAGATAATACTGCGTGTATCTGCGAAACCGTTAAAAATTTTGAAATACTCTAAATACAAAAAATATTCATTTTTTAACTTTCCATCTAATAAAAAAATAATATACAGGGTGTTCCATTTATAAAAACAAAGAAAAAATATTTTATATTTTAGAAAGTTTGGCGTAGAATATTGAACATCCTGTATGATTTACGATTACCATATTTATAGCAAAGTAAGAACAGACCATCTAAAGTAAATACCTAATATAGATTTCATTTTAGAACAGTTCCTGTATTTTTAATATTTTTTTAAAGAAGGGCTGAAAAATATATATTTTGGATTTATTTTTTCCCTCATCTTACCGTCTACAAGCTCACCGTAAAGCAGAGATTTTGGTATGGGGTTTTCTTGCATTCTGCATACGTGATCCCAGCCTATCTTAAGCGGAATTTTGTAACCATGACTTCAATACTCTCGCAGTTAACTTTTTCAAGGACCGATACGTTTGAGACATGATGGAACCACCGGATTCTTAAGAGTTGCATAAGTTGTCTCTGTTGCAACTTGTTTAGCCCAGGTTTCGCTCCCGTATAAGATGGTGGGGATTATAAAAAAATTCTTTCATAAATTATAGTTGTCAGAAGTTTTTAAATAATGTCCAAATGGGTGCTAGTCGTATGAACAACTAGATATCCAAAGACCAAAACATTTAGGTTCTTTTTATAAGACTTACTTAATTCAAAAATATTCGTAAGATGTATTTGTAAAGCCGATCCCACACACAGCTGCAACAAGTCAGTTTAAAAAAAAATCTTAAGTCATTATTAAAATCAAAATGATTTAAGTTTTAAGTCAAATTGAACATAAAGTTCAAATGTTTTAAGCCTTAATAAGTCTTTGACTTAAATCATTTTATTTCAAGTCAAGTCATTTTTATAAAGACAAATTTACAAAAGACAAAAAAATGTTAAATCAATGTAACGTTAAAAATGTATCATAAAAATATATAAAAATCTGACTTAAGCCTTTTATAAAAAGATTTAAATATTTTTAATGACTTAAGTCTTTTCTAAAAAGACTTAAATCTTTTTCTATTTCGGAATACAGATTTAAATCACAAGTTATTTTGAAAAAGACTTAAATTTTAAGTTGTAAATCAGCTTTCGAAAAATTAAACTTAAAATCAAACGACTTAAGTCATTAAAATGGTTTAAATAAGGTTTAAATCAAAAAAAGACTCAAGTTTTCTGTGAGCTTGCTGCTCTGGTCGCACACGAGTTTATTTGAAGCATCTGAAACCTGCTAAACATGGCTATATTACCACAAAACAAAATGGATTTATAATTTGAGCTTCTAATTCCCTGCATTTTTGATAGAAAAGTCCAAATTGTAATCGTAATACTTATTTTTAGGACGAAGTTACAACGTGAAAGTCGAAGACGCCGACATGAACATCGACCTGGCCCTGTTAAAACTGGAAACCGAGGAAAAGTTACCCAGTCTGGAGTTTGGAGAACCCGGGGACACCGACGTGGGTGAATGGGTGGTTGCCCTGGGCAGTCCTCTGTCCCTGAGCAACTCGGTCACAGTCGGAATTGTAAGAAAAACACTGAAACGTTTGATATTGGCAAGGCTAACCAAAATATATTCGTTGTTTTAGTAAATTTCATACAAAATGATCTTCCTACTTGAATCATGTGTGTCTTCAATTCCAAGCGTTTATTTCACTTGCAATAGTACAACGGTAATAAAATTGTCGCTTTAAAAATATTACAAGCCATATTTCATTATTTCTACTTTGGCTATTCGAGACACTTCATCATGGTCATTTCAGCCATTAACAATCATTTTTCTACGAGAAAATTTTAATATAATTATATATTTCAACATTTTAAATGACATCTTCTACATTTAATTGTTTATAGGGGCTATAATAATATTAGTATGTTTATTATGTTTAGTATGTTTACAACCCCTCCAAGGGGGTGAAATTTGTTTTTATTGTATAGGCAATATGGAATAAGTTTTTACAGAATAGTCAGCAAGTACAAGAAATGTTGAATACATTACCTGCGTATGCGAGGCTTTGTGTCTTAGCCAAACATCGACAAAACTAACATCATGTGCACTCCCCAGAAGATCACAACAATGGTTTGGAAAAAATCGGAGAAGAACTATTGGAATATGTAGCGGAATTCAATTACCTCGGCAGTTTGATTTCGGAAAAGGCCAATATCGACTCTGAAATTCAGCACAGGATTAGCAGCGCCTCAAGAGCGCCTCAAGAAGCTGAACAAATTAGGCAAAGAAAATAAAGTCCTCCTACTCTGCTAGAAAAGAAGCAAACACTCCACTAACTGGACCAGAACCGTTCTGCTTCCCAAGTCGAAACCAAGTGAAAGCAGAACTCAAGAACCTAGAAGATTCCAAAGTAACCTGGAATTGTCTGCAACGGCCTTGAATACCCGAAGAAGTTTCTCAGAACTTACGACCGAGAAAAATCAACGCTTTTACTTGATTGTTACATTTTCACGGGGTTTTTAACAGGACACTGTCTCCTCAATGAACACCTCAGTACTCTCAGTAGATTAAAGCTAAGAAACAATGGCGAATGCAGATGTGAAAAATGCTGTGGGAAAAATGTAGAACACAAGAAGATCTCATCACTGAGTGCGCCGAGACGACAACCATGACTGATATCTAGATATCTCAGATACTGGCTGTTGCCAAAGCCCTGAGACTGTATGATGAGTTATAACTCAAGAAAGGGGGACACAATAAATCTGGTCGCGGTGATTAACATCCCCCCTCCCATACAATCTATATCTACGAGATAAGAAAGCTCGCAATAGGATTTTTAATAGGGAATGTAATCGATCGTCATATCCAAGCCCACTTTGTTCCGGTTTTTTTTTTGATCATACGGTATATTTCCTCAAAATAGACATTTATGCTGGAATTTAAGAAATTTAAACTATCTAATGAAAACAAATTAATGAGCCTAATAAATTACTTTGGTCCTAAATAATCCATTAAAATGTTTAGTATTTGATGCTTCCGGTGAGTTTTAAGCAACTAAGGAATTTTAAGTAACTAATGTTATATAGTGTTGTATATAGTGTCTGAAATGGAATGCTATACCGAGTGCGTCTCAAAAGTGGCCCTCCCCTATAACTTTTTTATTTTTTCAGTTGAAAAAACGAGATTTGGTATGTTAGTATACGACATAAATTAGGATTGATTGACGTATTCAATTGTTTTTGGTCAATTCCTGTTTCACCGAAAATGACTACAACTTTTGATTTTTAAATAGCACCCTCGTTATTTTTTTACTTTATTCGATAGAAAATAACACTCTGAATAGAATGACATATCATATGTCAACTTTTGACATTTTCGCATATGGTTTATTTGAAATTATAACTTGCGGTTCGGAACGAAAATTTGACTTGAAATACCAACTGTGTGGTATCAAATTATTCGTAAAAAAATGCTTTTTCCAAATATGCTAATGAGCCACCCTCGTTCCATTTGAAAAAAACTGAGATACGATTAAAAATACGATTTGAGCATTTTCCAACTGGCCAGGACAGCACACTAAAAACATTAGACGATCAAATCTATTTTTCCAAGGCTCCTTGATTTAGAATTAGTGTTTTTATCATAGCCATGGCACTCTAGATTGAATTTTAAAATACGATTTTTTATTAAGCTAGAATTTCAACAGTGGACATATGATATGTCATTCTATCAGAGTGACATTTTCTATCGAATGAAGTAAAGACATACCGAGAGAGCCATCTAAAAATCACCAAACCAAACCAAAAACAACTGAATACGTCAATCAATCCTAATTTATGTCATATACTAACATACCAAATCTCGCTTTTTTATTTGAAAAAATAAAAAAGTTATAGGGGGTGAGCCACTTTTGAGACGCGCCCGGTATATTTATTTTTCTAAACGAATTTACTATATTTATATTCTAAAAATTACTATGTTACTCGGTGATTTTTAAATTATCACCATTAGTACACGCTATATTTCTGCACATTTAAACCTCCCAAAAAATGTTTAAATGGCGTGTACTTTTTTAACTGGAAATATTGTAATGGAAATGCAATAATTCAATTCTGTAACAAATAATTAAATGTGAATAAAAAATACAATCATTTACTAAATTTGAAGCCTACTTAAACTGTTCTCCAGTGGCGTGCGGTGGCGCTTTCTTTTACGTTGAGACAAAAAGATTTTTTTTTTTAATTAACAATTCATAGCAATTAATACGAATTTAAGTAATGGATTATATTTATATGATCTTGAATGTCTGCATCGGTACAAAAAAAAAATCGCTTTTTTTACCTTTATCGAATCGCTTCCCTTGATCCTTCCAAAAATTTCACCGCACGCCATTTCTGTTCTCATATTTTTTAAAGCTAAAATATAAAACTGAACTAAAAGATTAGACGAGGACAGAATTTTAGTACCTGTACAGTATACTCAGAAAAGGCTGCTTCAATTGTGACCTTTGAATAAGAAGACTAAGGAAGGAGCATAATGCTATCCATGTATTCATGCATGGTGGACGGAAAAGCCACCATAAAAGCTCTCTAGGGTGGGGATCCTTGACAGTTCTGTTTGACGATTCATTTGACACATTTGAATTTGATTTGAAATGTTGTGGATTTGTCAGTCTTTACGGAGCTTATTTTATGTTATTTATTATTTATTCTACTACTGATAGTTGTATAAAGGTAGTAAATCTAGATGGAAATTGTGGCAGAACTTAAATTAACAGTGACACTATCGCGATTTATCGAAAAAGACTCTAAAATAGTTGGTTGTGTAGCGTGCGGTAGATCTCGGCAAAAATTGAGTGAAATAATGGAACAACTTTTCGCTAGTAAGTGACTATATAATATACATACATGTAGTAAACCGATCATTTATGAAATTCACTTAAATTAACTAAATTATATATTTTTCTTGCATTTTATTTATTACTTGTCAAAGATTACCTGCTTCAGTAGCGTATCGGATGTTTGTGTTAATAAGTACTTATTATAACTTATCTATTTTTATTAGAATTATATATTTTTATAACAATTTTAATAACTACCAACATTTATTCACAACGTAAAATAAAACAACAAATTATTTAGTCTACCCCACGTCTACCCTACATCATAGTTTTACATTTTTTAAATAAAATTAGAACGACACTGATAAACCGGAATTTAAGTCGGCCATATTTGAGGCCCATCGCGGTGTACTTAAGATTTTTGATATGCTCCTTCCTTAGTCTTCTTATTCAAAGATTGTGACAGTATTTTGAAATTAAAAAAAAAATATTGGTTCAAAAATATATTCTGGACATTTATTCCATTTGTAAAGAAGAAAAACGATATTTCTATGTTTTATTATGTATTTCAGGTGAGCTGTATCAATAGACCCGCTGAAGAGCTTGGTTTAAAAAACTATTCCATGACTTACATCCAGACGGACGCCAGCATTACATTTGGAAATTCCGGAGGCCCGCTTGTAAATTTAGATGGCAATGTAATTGGCATCAATAACTTAAGACTAACATCTGGAATATCATTTGCCATACCAATAGGTGATTTAAAGATATTAAATAATTTAATAATTATTTGATATAAAAATAATTATATATTTTTTAATTGATAAATGTTTTGTTCCTATAGTTCAGATTGGAGCCTTTGGCGCATTTGGCATTACAAAAGTAATATAAAACACTAGTTCAATTCTAATGTCTTATTTACAGAGCAATCAAAACACTATACCAGCCTTAATCGTTTTTTAGACGAAGCTTCAATAGAATTGAGAACCCGACAAAATCAGGTGTTAGGTTAGGTTAGGTTAGGTTGCTGGGGTTTGGGATCATATTTGATCTCTCACTCAGAGGCCTTGGGCCCATTGCGATACCCCTGTATTGTTTTACCAAACCTTCCTCTCATTCTTTCTTTGCTTTAAAGCACTTCCAGCTCTTTGCAAAGTTCGCCATGTCGCTGATGTTGGCTTCTGCTGCTTCCTCTAGTCCCTTCCTAAAGTTTTAAAGCGTCGGTATTCCAGTGCCGCACAGTGGCACAGCAGGTGCTCTACGGTTTCTTCTTTCTTCTCCTCACGAGGTTTACCCCCGTGGGACAGTTTCCAGTGACGACACCTACAATTATGCGTACTAAGGTCCTGTTAGTGCTCTAGTAGTTGTTTTGTCTTTTTGCTATCTACCACTGGCCATAGTCTTCGAGCTGTAGCGCAGTCCTCACGGTGTTGCCACGACTCTTGCTGCTTGGCTTTGATGGCAGTTTTTATAGCCTCTTTCAGTGTGTTGATCGTCACAAGTGGTGGGTCATCTGCCACGGCCTCTCCCCTGGCCACGTCTTTGGCGAGTCTGTCTGCTTCCCGATTGCCCACCACATTGCTGTGGCCTGGCACCCAGCACAGAGTAGCCCCGCCCCGACGCAGCCAGGACAGTGCTTCTCGGCATTCCATCACAGTTTTCGATCTCACTGATTCAGGTGTTACAAAACCAATAATTAATAAATAAATCTAAAGACAATATAAACCGAGATAATGGTCCCAGTTCTTCCATATCTCTGTTGCTATATTTCTCCGCTTCACTGATATGAACAACGCTACAAATTCGATAACTTCTAGAGTAATTGCGCAAAAAATTATATATAAAATAAAATGATATAAAAATATCTAATGAATAACAAATTACTAATTTATTCTTAAGACAAAAATTTATTCTTTATCTTCTGTTAGAGTACGTTCGAAAATTCCTGATGAACACCAAATATCGGATGGAGAATATGGCAAGAAGCACCAAAGGACATAAAACATTGTTCGGATTAACCACCATACCAATCACACCCGACTTACTAGACGATCTGAAGAAAGATAATTCAAACCTGCCTAAAGATATCACTCATGGACTGTTGGTGTGGAAGATCATTCCAGAAACTCCAGCAGAAAAGTACAGTATTCAAAAATAAATGCAGGGTCGTCCCGGTTTCTTTTTCACAGGCCCAAAAAATACAGTGCTCCAATCAACGGAGATATTTAAACCAAATTTGGTTTGGTTTGGTGCGTCTCAAAAGTCGCTCACCCCTATAACTTTTTTATTTTTTGAGGTAAAAAAAAAGAGGTTTGGTATGTTAGTGTATGACATAAATTAGGATTGATTGACGTATTTAATTGTTTTTGGTCAATTCCTGTTTCACCGAAAATGACTACAACTTTTGATTTTTAAATGACACCCCCGGTATCTTTTTACTTTATTCGATAGAAAATGACACTCTGAATAAAATGACATATATCATATGTCAACTTTTGACATTTTTGCTTTTAAAAAAATCGTATTTTAAATTTCAATCTATGGAGAGTGTCATGGCTGTGTTAAAAACACTAATTTTTAATCAAGGATCACTAACATATACCAAATCTCGCTTTTTTAATCTGAAAAAGTTAAAGGGATGAGCCACTTTTGAGATGCACCTGGTATAGCGTCATAACGTTACATGTAGGCATCATATTCAGTGTTCAGTAATAACATCATCGTCTATAAGACACTATTATACAGGGCGAGTCAGAGTCAATTTCTACACTTGCTATACAGGTTGAGTCCTAAATAAGTGCAAATATTTTCAGGGCTCGATAGAGCTCGAGGTAGATCTCGATAAAAGAAATATATTTTCTCTTTACCGTTTTCCAAATAAGTACAAAATAATCGAGTTATTTTACTTATTGGAAAATTTAAAAAAATATATATTTTTTGCTTGAATTTTGAGAACCACTGGATCTTTTCTGGGTTTTCTTCCTTGTAAATTTAATCTACTACCTAATATTATTGCGATATTATCAAGATATGTTTTTTAACTTAAAATTAAAACAAAAAATCCGAAAACAAATTGGCAAAAAAACTCGTAAACGTGTTTCTGAAGTCGAAATATACTACCCCTAAAAATATTTGCACTTATTTAAGACTCACCCTATATACAGGGTGTCCCAGAAATAAGTGCAAGTATTTTAAGGGGTGGTAGATCTCGATAAAAGAAACATATTTTCTCTTTATCGTTTTTTAAATAACGGAGTTATTTTATTTTGAAAATTTCCAAAAAAAATATTTTTTGCTAAAATTTTGAGAACCACTGGATCTTTTCTGGATTTTCTTTCTTATTGTAAATTTAATCTACGACCTATGTTGCCATATTATCAAGAAATTATGTTTTTTAAATAAAAACTAAAAAAAATTCCAAAAAATTTTTCAAAAAATTCCGAATTTCCAAAATTTTTTTCCGCGAAAAAAACCTAAAGGCGTGTTTCTGGAGTTGAACTATACTACCAGTTCTTCAAATCTGTCTCTCTCTCTGTCTTTATTCCTACTAGAGGAATGTAGTGGTCAGGTGATGTGTGAGGTTTGTCTCCATAATTCCCTGTCTTGTGCTTCATGTACAAGCGTGTGCAGTGGCTTGTGGGTGATCTTTAATAGCTGGTCTATCCATCGGGAGGGCGAGCTTCAACTACGACTTCGCCCCCAACACACACTTTCATACCACACCTCGTATTCACACACGATCAAAAAATATTCTACGTTTTTATCTTCACCGGAAGTCCATAAGAAATACACGGGGCTTATCGCTGATTTCCCCCATTTATTATCTACTTATATTACATCTCATAAACGGTTTATTAAATAATGTTTAACGTATAAATTACATCCGCCCTCCTGATACAGTGCATTAAAACATTCCCTCTCGCAAATATTTACTGATATTTAACTAATTTCAGTTTTTATATCGCTCATTGAGAACCATAGTGGCGAAACTGCAAAAATTCCAAAAACTAGGAAAGTCCCCTACAATATTCTAAATTATGCTCTCTTTTACGTACAATATCGGCGAAACTATAATTCTTTACCCACTCACGAGAGGGCGGCATCGGTCATTATAATAGTGTTAATAATGAATAACCCATTGCGCGCGTTAGTGGCGAATCCAGTGTTCTGTCAAAAGTGAGTGTGACACGTTAGCAGTTTTTTACTCTAAAGTGGCGAAACGCATTTTTCGCCTTGTTTGTGTGAAATTCAAAGCCGAATTAAAGAAAACCACCGACGAAATGGTAAGTTACTACCACATAATAATATTTTTTTATTAATATTTGCACAGTTAGTGGGGCGAAATTGACTTTTCGCCATTATTACATTAAATAATTTTATCAAAACGTGATTCTATTTCAACGAAAGTGCTTTTTCGTCATTATTATTCCAAGATTCTTTTTCATAAATTTTGCACCGAGGACAGAAAGTATTTTTCGCCAATATTGCTCTGAAAACAGATTTCATTTTAACAATTTGTTAAGTACTTATTTTACTAACTTAAAAAATAAAACATAGCTGTTTTTCCAGTTTTCGTTTTTTTAGTAATTGAAGTAAATAATATGTATTAATTAGGTATTGAATTACACGAAAAATTCAGCGGAAATCACAATATGGCTAGACATTTAATTTTTTGATCTGACAACACCGGCTTAATTCAGCTAACTTGGCGGCATCTTTGTGGTGCCGACAAAGGGTATCCATAGACTATTTTTTTTATAATTATTTTCGAGTTTATATTGTACGTACTTTTTATTTTTTTCTCAGTTATAAACCGTCGCAATAATGAATGAACGCTCAAAGAAAATGTTTGCTGCCTTAGGCATAAGGTAGGTTTTTTCTTTATTTTGTAAAAACTATAATGTTGTTAATCTGAAGCTTTTTGCTTGCCAGAACCAGCCCAACGTTTCTTGCGCAAAACAAAATTCAACAATCAAGTTACGATGATCCGCAAGTAATTTCACAAGTTTCTCAGTCCAGTAACATTGAATCTGGTGAGTTATCTGTTATTACTGAATTTGTACTGAATTTTCATATTTCACCCTTAATATTCCCGAAATATCAGAAATATTATTTTCGTTATTTACAATAATGAGTCGTTTAATACTCAATGTTGCAGGTATTGGTGAGAACTGCGACGTGGCAAACATTCCTAATGTTCAGGAACATTGCGAAGTAATTTCAACACTTGCCGAAACCTATGCTGCTCCAACACTTGCCAAAACCTATGTTGATCCACTAACACTCATTCCTCAGCTGGAAATTAATCCTCACGAATGTGACCACAGCAAAGAATTAAAAAACACACTAACTCAACAAAACCCAATTGATTGTGGCAAAATCAGCTTTACTATTACCAACTTCAATGACGAACCACTTATACCTAAGCCTATAGACAATTACCCTGGTAAGTATGTCGCAGAATATTACCTCATTCATGAGTTGAAGTTCGTGTTTTTTCCTCCTACACATTTAACATGTGCCCTTGATCATGTTATTTGAGAATAATACGTATTATACCAATAATTTAATTGATTGATAATTCTCAATAACATTTTCTGTAGGTAGCCCTCATTTCTCAGGATTGGATACGAAACGCACACGTATAGAGAGCTTGGGGTCGCATGTAGCTCTCGTAGAACCTAAGTCAGAAACATTATTTACAACCCTACGTAATATTAATAATAACCCTGATGTAAATGGTGAGCATTTATAAAATATTATTTCAGGCTTTCCTTACTGAGTTAGTTTTTTTAGAGGTCAAAACGTGTGAAAATGATCGGTCCCCTGGCTTCCATGTTTCATCCTCATTATCATCAAGTTCATGTTGTAGTTCATGCTCTGGATGCAGTTCCTCTTCTAAAAGCACAAACACCATGGTCTAATCTAACGGACGACGATGATGCTGATCCCACGTTTGACGTGACTAAGGATTGCCCTGCTGATCAAAGCTTCTCAAGTGATGAATCTACCGTACCTGATGAGGCAACATTAAACTCAAAAAAAAGGAAGAGGACTCCAGCGAATTGGAAAAAATCTTTGGCTAAAAAACTTCGAAATTCAGGTCAAGAATACTCTTCTCTAAAAACTGGAAAGTTGCAGCCGGCTAAAAAACTGCTTGATCCATGCGACGGTGACACTTGTCGGTTTAAATGTGTTACTAAATTTTCTGAAGAGGAGCGTCAAATTGTGTTTGAAAAATTTTGGGCACTCGGGGATTTGCAACTTCAAAGAAATTACGTTTTAAAACACATGAATGCTATACAGCCGTTATCTCGCCGCGTAGTATTAAATCGAAAAAAAAACCGTACCCTGAATTACTCGTATTTTTTCACAAAAAATGATAAACAAGTTTCGGTTTGTTTTAAATTTTTTAGAAATACGTTGGGCGTGTCTGAGAGGTTTGTAAGAACTGTAAAGGCCAAAAATGATTGCGGATTTCTAGAAGGGGAGAAACGTGGGCGCAAACCGAGTAATAGGGTTCCAGACGATATACTGACCGGCATAAGGGAGCATCTATCTTCTATTCCATCAGTTGAAAGCCATTACGTCAGGGCAAACACTCAGAGAAAATTTATAGATGGAGGAAAAAATATTTCCGATCTGTATAGAGATTACGTTGAAATGTGCAAAGCAAGTGACAGTCCTTTCGGAAAATATTCCATGTACCGGCATATTTTCCTCTTCGAGTTTAACATGTCTTTCCATTCACCCAAGAAAGACCAGTGCCAAACTTGTGAAACTTTTAAAAATTCAAACCCGGAAGAAAAAGAAGCCTTAGAGGAGAGTTACAAAAATCATATAAAGGAGAAAGAGCTATCCAGAGAAGAAAAAAAACTAGATAAAACAATGATCAGCGATAGGTATAAAGTTGCTTGCTTTGACTTACAAGCTGCTTTGCCAACTCCAAAAGGTGACGTTAATTCTTTTTACTATAAATCACGTTTGAATTCATATAACTTTACGGTTTGTCAACTTGAAACCAAAGGCTTGGGACCAGTCCAGTGCTACTTCTGGCATGAAGGGGAAGGAAAACGTGGTTCTAATGAAATCGGCTCCTGTCTTTTGGATTATTTAGAAAAAGTCTCAATAGCCGCTGATTCTAAAAAACTGGATATCGTTTTATATTCTGATAATTGCGGAGGACAAGGAAAAAACAAATTCATTGTTTCCAGTTTCTTATACGCTGTAGCCAATCTTAACATTAACAGCATTACACACAAATTTCTTGTGGTGGGACATGGACAAAATGAAGGGGATGCAAGCCACTCCATCATAGAAAAAGCAATCAAGAAAGCTCTTAAAAATGGTCCTATTTACGTTCCCGCCCAATACGCAACCGTTATTAACAACGCGAAGAAGAAAGGTGCAAGGTTTGTTGTTAATGAATTAGCATACGGTGATTTTTATGACCTTAAAAACCTCCATCAAAATATCGCGAACAACGAATTTAATCGGGACTTAAATGGCCAGAAATTTAACTTTAATGACATTTCCATTATTCGCTTTGAAAGGGACCACTTAGATCGCTTCTTTTTTAAAACATCTTACAGCGACACACAGTTTCGATGTGTGGTTGTCAGGAATGTCGCGCAGACTAGGAAATCTACTTTAAAAAACGTGAAGGGTTTTAAATTATTACCCGCTTATTCCCGAAGCATCCCCATTGGAAAAAAAAAATTCGAAGACCTCCAATCTCTTGTTAAAAACAGGTCCATCCCCCGCGTTCATGCGCCTTTCTTCGAAAATTTGAATCACGAAGACTAAGAGACTGATTTTGTTTGTAATACTAATTTTAAGTCTAGTTATGTCTTAGTTATGTTAGACAAAATGCGCAGTGTTATAGATCTTAAGTTTGCTACTTCTATAAAAACTGATTGTTAAAAGAATAAATATTTTTCTAACGATTTTTCAACAAAAAAAAATGATTATTTTATTTTTGTTCCCTTCTTAAGTCACTTTCAAACGAAAATTTGAGACAAAAAATACGCAATCTTTATGCTATAGTGGCGAAAGAACATACTCAAGTTCGGCTCATTTCACATTTGTACTTTTTCATAGATGAACACAGTTAGAGCGAAACAAAACAAACCTTAGGAATCATTTTTTTTTCAGAAAATTCCAGTATAACACCTAGTATGACTTTTTGAACCATAGTCAAAACTTTAAAGGCGATTTTCTCAGAATGACCAATTAGTCACTTTCGCCACTATGGTTCTCAGTGAGCGATATTTACAGGGTGTTTCAAAAAACATGTTCCATCTCTCGTGGGGAGATTTCTCAAATAAAAATAATATTTATTTTTCATATCAACATAGGCCCGATTCTGCTTTGTTTCGTAGCTACAGGGTGTTAAAGTCTTAATAATCTTTCGATTTATTATAATTTTCTTCCAAGTACTACAACAAACTGATCCGAGATAATTTTACTCTCTAAGAGGACGAATTTCCTAAAATCGCTTTGTGTCAGCCATCGGAAATAGTTGGAAATTATTTTTAAATACAAAAAATGTCCGCTAGGGGGCGCATCGGTTATGACCAATCAGAAAACGGGATTTTTCCCAAAAATGTTCACCTGAAAAGGTACTTTAAATATTGCTGTTGTAATCAATGGAAAATCCTATTTTTTTGGTACAGCGTATTTTGCTGTATCTCAAAATAAAGTGGTGGGGGAAAGTCAAACTTACGCTTTTAATAAAATAAGGATAACTAAATAAACTAAGGCTAGAAATACAGCCAGCGTCCATTCTTTGTTGGTCACCCGGTACATTTACAATGTTCATCACAAAATGGTGAATGTTTTTTCGAAATTATATTTTCCGAGTTCAAAGGGAAAGTTTAATAAATCTTACCTTTTATCATGGCACATAATGTTACAAGTAAACTAAAAATATATTCCTTCTTTTTAGAGGTGGATTAGAAGTTGGTGACATCATAACTCACGTAAACGGCATTCCTATAGAAAAACCGGCACAGCTTTATGACTTTTCGTCATCAAGAAGCTCAATTGACGTGGAAATAATAAACAGGGGTCAAAAGAAAACGGTCGTGTTAAAAATGGAGGAAAAATGATTTTTTGGATACTACTCATGTACGGTTAATGTAATATAGTAGTAATAAAAGGTAATGTAATTAAATTTAACAAAAAAGCTGTATATTTTATAACTCCATAAAATGTTTTTCTTGAATTGTAAAATTAAAACGTAAAATTCAGAAAATATATAATCATAAAAAATTAAAATATAGTTTTTATATCACTGTATTTTCTGAAGATGTATGAGGAATGCTTTTTAATGCATTTTGGACGGAAGGATACTATAGAGATGGGATAGTTCGATTCCTATCGTCCTGCACTGTCAGTTTTTTTACGTCATCTACTGACCGAGTTGAAGTTGGCGCTAAAGATTTTAGACAGTGACAGTTATTTTTGCATTTGACGGACGAGCGCACAGTGCGTTGGAAGATAAATTTAGCGGGACAAAAGCGTTTGGTTAGAAATAAGCCAAAAAATGTGTACTGATAAGAATAAATAGTAGACATTCCAATTGATAAAAAATGCATGAATATTCTTTGTATTTCGATACATTTTTATCAACCAAATTTGGTCGTTTTCTGCTCAGCAAGGCAGAGATCATACGAAAACAAAATATTTACAAATGCTTATACATTTTATTAGAAAGCCAAATTATGTTGAAGATTGCCAAAGGTATGTACTTTTCTACTGTATGTATATTATTTGTTAAAATCCTTCGTGCCTTTGTTCTGCAGATATCAAACTTACACTTTTTTTTCAAATATCGATATATTGAATGATGTAGATCTTTTGAGTTACCAATAGTTACCAACACAGGTAGTCGCAGTCACAGGGAGTTCAAGCTTAACAGGTGAATGCCCAAAAAGATTCATTTCAATCGGATAGTATAAAAACAAAACAACTCCATCAAAAGGCACTGAGTTTAAAAAATTGTCTTAGATACTTAATATATGAATTTACAATTACCGAGTGTTAAAATTAAAATTAAAATATCTATCTTATTTATTATTTTCAAAATAAAATATATTTTTTTAAAATAAATTATAGAGGGTGTCACAAGATTACAAATTAATTTAAAAATAACTGCTAAAGAGTTTTTTGATATCATAATTTTATGTATTTGGCAATAGTTTACAATACGGTTTTTGTGTATCATGTACGAATAATATCATATCGTTTTATTATCTTGTATTTATTTATTAATAAATTAAGTTGTTAATAAATAAATAAATTTAACCATATAGTTGCTATATATTAGACCATTTGCTACGTTCTTAGATTTTAAGTCCCAAACATTGCTCTTGAGATTTTGTCCTGCTAGAATAACCATCCGCCGCACTGTGGAGCGCTGGTCAGCGCGTGACGTAGCATTCCACGGCGACTACGACAGCGGCGATTTGACGCGATCGAACAGGTCCTTTAGAGTATATACAGTCCTTGTTTTGGACGGACATTTTACAATAAAATTAGAATTTCATTTGTTTTATAAACAACTTTACTGTGAAATTGAGTTTGAATTGCCCTATTCAGGGTCCGGCAATAGTGCGTCGGGCATCTGTAGCTCCTAGAATAAAAAAAACTTGGGAACTTTGTTTAAGTGCAAACTTAAAGTATGTTCTAGGATGTATTTCAGGAAAATATTTTAACTTCTATAGGGTAGCTCAAAAAAATGTAAGTGGATCGGAATATTTTTTTTAAATGGAACACCCTGTATATTATTGCATTTTTCGCTTCCTCTCAGAGCACTTTACAAAATCCTAAGATATGAGTAAATATAGTTCGATAGTTTCGGAGATATTAATAAATAAATAAAAAATATATGTTTTTCAGCCTTTCTTTAAAAAAATATTAAAAATACAAGAACTGTCCTGATGATAGTTTAGATGGTCTGTACTTACTTTGCTGTAAATATGGTAATCGTAAATCATACAGGATCTTCAAAAGTCTAAGGCAAACTTTCTAAAATATAAAATAATTTTTCTCCGTTTTTTAAAGTAGAACACCCTGTATATTATTTTTTCAATAGATGAAGGGTTAAGAAATAAACATTTTTTGTATTTAGAATATTTCAAAATTTTTAACGATTTCGCAGATATTTGCGGTTTTATATTTCGTATGGCATTTTCCACAGTAAATTTGTATCAAAGCCACCTAATAATTTTTCTCTGGTATTTTACCGTTGAGAGAGCCACATGAAATAATACTGCGTGTATCTGCAAAACCATTAAAAATTTTGAAATAATTTAAATACAAAAAATGTTCATTTTTTAATTCTCCATTCTCCATCTAATAAAAAAAATAATAGCCTTATAATAGAAATGGGCGTTCCTTTAAAAAAAAACAAAGAAAAATTATTTTATATTTTAAAAAGTTTGGTGTAGAATTTTCAACGTCCTGTATGAATTAAGATTACGATATTTATAGCAAAGTAAGTATAGACCATATCTAAAGTAAATACCTAATATAATTTTGATTTCTGGACAGTTCTTGTATTTGTAAAAATTGTTTTAACGAAGGTTGAAAAATATATATTTCTTATTTATTTATTAATATCTCTGAAACTATCAAAAAATCTTTACTCATATCTTAGGATTATGTAAAGTGATCTGAAAGTAAGCTAAAAATGTAAAATAATATACAGCGTGTTCCATTTAAAAAAAAAATCATGCGGACCCACTTACTTTTTTGAGCCACCCTGTAGAGGTTAATTTTTTTTTTTTGAAATACATCCTGAATTTTTTTTGAATTTTTTCCTGAAATACATCCTCGTACATATTTTCGTTTGCACTTAAACAAAATTCTCAAGTTTTGTATTCTAGGAGCTACAGATGTCCGACGCACTATTGGTACCTTGAGGATATTTTTAATGTTTTTGAGGAATATATTTCAGTAAAAAAATACATTTTTAGTGTGAAAATAGATTTAAATCATCCTTATACAGGGCGCTCCTTTGCTAACATATAAAGGGGTAATTTTTAGAGACCTTTTTAAAAAATCATATGAATGAATGGCCTAAACATTTTAACTAGGGAATGTAATCCCGCATCAAAATCTCAATCCCGCAAACCCGCGGGATTAAAGCAGTCAATCCCGCGGATCCGCAAAATTGCGGGACTGTAAACAATATAGTCATACATTTGGTCCTAAATGGTACAAAAGGCATTGTACATTTTGCATTGTAAACAATATATTGATATAGCGTGTATCTTAAACTAGCTGTACAGAAATTTGGACCGATGTATACAGGGTGTTCAAAAATATATTTAATATTAAATAAACTTAAATTTTATTATAATTTACCTACTTATTTTATAAACAAAAATATTATTCTGATGTTGAAGTTTTTTTTAACTTGTGTTGGTTATCTGCTTTTAGATACACTCTATATCAACCATTTTTTGGCATATGCAGAATGTACAAAGCTTTTTGTACCATTTAGGACCATAAGTATGCCTAATGCATATTTAAAAAAAAACGTCGAATTTTCCTTAAAACAAAAAATTAAAAAACCTATCAAATTGTTTTTTCTAATTTCAATACAGATTAGTCGTACTTGGTAAAAATTTCGATTTTTTAAAAATTGTAAATTTGCGGTAAAAAAGGTTCTTAACCAAATTTCACACTCTTATAAAAGACCCTTTATACGAGAATTCGCTAAATATATTTTCGAAAACCATATAGCATCTTAATCACAATAGATGCATCTAAGACCTGATCCAAACCGCATCCCAAAATCTTTTTTAGTTCATGACATACCTACCTATTCAACTTTATTATTTACCCTAAAATTTTGCTTGTCCTGATAATTAACATATGTCCGGCAGTTTATTTGACGAAATTGTCCACAGGTACTAGTTAAACGCTTTTCTTCACTTACGCACATACGCCAGAAAGAAATCTAACAAGTAACCTGTTTGTTTCACTTATTTTTAATGGCCAGCCGTAAGGGGAATCCCCCGGGTTCCGACCGTCATCGACGCATCGGCCCGGAACGAAACGGTTTGACCCTGATCGAGATCGATTCGGTTACCCAGTAGTAATGGGTCAAGTCCGCGGATCCCGCACGGTAAATCCCGCGGAATCTCCAGCATTTGCGGGATTGCATTCCCTTATCTTAACTTTTGAGACACAGGGTGGTAAAATTTTCGAAAAAATCTTTTCATAATAACTCTACCTATGTATTATAGATATCTTCATGAAATTTTAAACACCTCTTCTATGCATAAAAATGAATCACCATTAGATTTTTAGCGATTTAATCCTGAAGTATGACATTGTTGTTTTAAGCAAAAACTATGGACTGAAAAATGGATAAAAAAATGAAAATTTTTGAAAATAATGTTTATTTTAAGAGAAGTCCTCGGTATACCGTTTTTTCTTCAAAAATATTCATTGTAAATCCCATATAGACGCCATTATTCCATAAAGATATATACAATAACATCAGAGTTAATATAAAAAAAATAGAAAATATTACCACCCTATATTTCAAAACTTAAGATATTTGCAACATATACTAAGGGCTGGCAAAGGTTTGTCTTGGGTCAAGATTTCCGTATGTAAGAAGAGTACAATGCGTTTATAATGTACTGAACAAAGAGAGGACCGTAAACACGTTGCCAAACGTATGAAATAAACCGAGAAACTGTGCACATCGCTAAGAGACGTGGACGGGGATATAGCAGATGTCGCAGTTGACCGGTCGACCCAATCAATACCTCTGTCAGTACTTAAAGTTCTAGGGAAAGGTGTACGTCATGCGTTCAGCTTCACGATTTAATTACGTCTCATGATACTTAATTTGTTTATTTATTAACGAGTCGTTGTAATTTTCCCTATAGCTTGAATTTTTTTAAGTGCAAGCTAGAAACACTTGCATTTTTGGTAAAAATAAGTGGAATTGGGTGGGTGTTCGATAGTGGTCGCGCTATTAGAACTCTGAATTCAAAAATCGATATCTCGAAATCTATTAGAAATAATAGATTGTAGTTTTTTCAAGAACTTTGTTAATATTTCTGCTCTATTTTCTTTGTAGACAGTATGTGAAAATCTTTATCAATAAAAAAATTACACGATTGCTGAAAATTGTTATGCTCTAAAAGTAAATGGATGGATTGTTTACAATTTTTGAATGGAAAAAACAACCTTATCGAATTTTTCTTATGTAAACATATTGTAAAATATCCGATCTTGAAAATAAAAAAAAGTTTCAATATCTAAAGTGGTCCTTGAGTTATGGCCTGTTGTCTTAAAAGTAGAGTTTTTAAATTATCGCGATTACTGACGTTTTCTCGTTATAAAAAAATTACACCCTAACGATATCCTTATAATTCCATTTCAGATGCTCAGAAACATGTCTAATGATTTTATCTAGTGATCTCTTGAAAAAAGTTTTTATACACCCATTAGCCCAGTGTACTTATTTGAGTACGGCGCCATATTGCATTCCTAAAAGCCCAGATTGCCATTTTTTTATATTTCTAACTATTACTTACACCCAACTGAGTTACTTTTTCTAATAAAATTGGGTATTTTATTATTAATTTGCATTTGGGCCTTAATGGGTTAATAAGAACCCTATGCGATTTACTTCCACACATGTAAAGGCCGACTCAAAAGTAACAGTTGCCAGCACGGTATTAGCATGTAGGTAATTAAGGAACACCCTCTATATCAACAAAAAAATTCAAAAAAGAATTTCAAACAGCCAAATTAATTAATGTCAATTTATTTACTCGTATATACAGAAATAAATAAAGAAAACTTATGATGGATCTTCAATAGCTTCTACTAGCACTTCATTTTGCACCTCGTAAGTCTTCACAATCATCTCAGACATAGCCCCTTCTTCCGCACTTACAAATTCATCTTCCATTATAAAATATTCCTGCTCTAATACTTCACCGTTTAACAGGTCTTCCTCGCTTCTCACCGTTTCAAATTGATCCTCACACATTCCAGTTTCATCTTCTTCTAAATTAAATTCAATTTCCTGTGAAATATGATCAGTTTCCTGTGATATATCATCAGTTTCCTGTGATAGATCATCAGTTTCATTGATCTGATGCCTTTGAGACATGTGTAACCTATTAAAATATATTTATAATATTGAATTAATAATTAATTGAATATATGGTTATCTCACTTTAAACTGGCTTCTTCTGCAAAAGTTTTTGGACAATAAATGCAGTGGTAATCTCCCGAGTGTGTCATTAGATGCAATTTCAGATTATGTGCTTGTATAAATGACATATTGCAGTAGTCACAATTATATGGACGTTCCCCTGTATGTAAAAAGTGATGCTTCTTCACTTCACCTAGTGATCTGAATTTTTTGTCACAGTATTTACACGCATAAGGTCTGGCGCCTGTGTGAGTCAGTTCATGTCTTTTTATCGAATTGCTTGTATAAAACCTATAATTTAACACTATACTAAACAATTTCGTTTTAATTTTTTAATGTACCTTCTGTCACAGTAAGTGCATTTGTATTTTCTTTCGTTGTTGTGCATTTTCATGTGATAGAAAAGACCACTTTGGTAATGGAAGGTTTTTCCGCATATAGAACACATTGCAATTTTTTTGTCTTTATTATGAATTTGCATGTGAATATCCACCTGACTTTTGGTATAAAATGGTTTATCACAAATATTACAAGTGAATTGTTTTCCTAAAAATATCATTTTAGATTTGTAGTTTTTAAACAAGAAAGCAAATTGTTTTATCAATTTTATGTCTCTATACCTTGATGTTTTGTCATGTGATATGCTAAACTTCCATAACTAGAAAATGATTGATGGCATACGGAACATTCATGTACCTGGTCAATACATTTGTCTTTTATTTCATTTATATGATTAGTTTTCATGTGTTGTAAAAGAATTCTTCTTGATCTAAAATTTTGATTTAATTATTCTCTCAAAATCTAAAAAGATTTTATTTAATATTAACTCAAAATATTCCCCACAATTGTAACATTTCAACTGTTTTCTTTTCCTACAAATGTTGATATGTTGCTTCATTCTTGTAAGGGACCTCATGGGTTTATTACAAATAATACATTTGTATTTCATATTCAATGCAGATTCTAATGCTTTTCGGTCATTTTCAGTCTCAATAACAAATTGATCAACTAAATTTGTATTTGCAGGTGAAATTTCAAATAAATCCTTGACCGTTTCAATCTCTTCTACTGCTTCATTATCTTCACCTTCCCTTTCTACAGAATATTCATCTGTTAGTCCGGTATTTTCTTCTATCTGTTGTTCTTCCTCTTCCTCAATTGTGTAATACTCTATATCTGTAATTTCAGTCTCATTATTAACCATTTCTTCTGAAATAAGACGAATATTAAATATTGTTGACAATAAAATTCTTTCGTAATACAAATATATATTACTTTCAATAACTTTTTCTATAACTATAGATGGTGGTTCAATTTCTAATCTTTTCTTTTTGTTCTTTTTATTAACAAATGTGGCTGATATTGCTGTCCCTAAATTCTGCAAAAATCCATCATACCTTATATTATCCTCAACCTCATCTTCAACAATTACTAAATTTTTTAAATCAAATTTTTGTGATCCAACAACTATTTCTACAGGTGCCTGTGTTTCACCCCCTGTCTCATTCGCGTTTTCTGTGTCTTAAATATCAAAGTATTTATGTAGATTATATATACCTTTATCAAAGTCTCTTTTAAACATCCAAAGTGTTTAAATATAGAACTCAATCATACAATACCTTCATCACTACTTAATTCATCTATCTCTTCAGCCATACTATCTAGATTTTGTCGTGACGTTTGGTATTGAATTTTTAAGTCATATGCAATTCTCAAGAATTCTGCACACATAGCACATATCGTATTAGGATATATTCCTTTTATTCGCACTTTTTCTGACACAATTTGCTCTAAAGCTTCATGAACTGTCGGTTTGGGCCCTATTTCACCCCTCAATGGGTCCTCTAAACGTATTTTCGGTCCGACAGGTTGAGTTAAACAAATTCGACACTTTGTTTGTAAGTTATATTTGTTATATCTCTTCACGTATTTCATTGTAACTTTTAAATTAAAAAATTGGAGTAAACTTCTCAACGAAGCGATCGTCAAAAAAATTCTAACCTTATTTTTTGTTATGATTTTTATTCCATTTTTTTTTCTTCTGTGGGTTGTGCTGTACGACTCTTTGCTGTGGGTACAAAATCATAAAATCATATTTTAGAGACAGTGTTGCCACCAGAAAGAATTTATTTTACCACAGAAGAAATTTAATTGTTAAAAATTTGTGATGTCAAATGTCAAAAATTGATGAAATGAAATTTCAATTTTATATGGCGTCGTTTGACGTGTCCGTCGTTTTCTAATTTTTTCCACATTTTTACTAAAAAAATTATCAATATTTAATCATTTTGTATTGTAAGTATGCAAATTTTTGTAATAATATCACTATTAACTATTTGGTTTAGTAGTTTTCTCATAAGCTACTTCAATTACTTCACAATTATATGTTTTTTAATACATATATTGTTTTTAATTTTCAGCTTTTATAGGAAATATAAGGCCGATTACCAGTTCATAAACTGCATTTACCCATTTCCCATATATATTTTTCCTAGTATTTTCTAAGTTAAATAAATAAATATGGGTGATAGTGATGATGAATATGATAGGAAAAGGAGGGACAAATTTAGGGGGGAACGAGCAGAAGCCAGCTATAGAGGCGCCGAAAGGGTAGCACGTCCCAGAGACGATTGGACAGAACGGTAAATTGATATTTATTACTTTCTAATAGTTTGTGAATGAAAGCGTGTTGCCAAAAGAGATATTAACATATTCATGTTCTTTTTTAGTGAAACTTGGTCTCGCCCTAGACCTAGAGAATACAGGCCTAGAGATCGTGGATATTCTCCCAGTATGGAACCTACAGCAAAGAGAATTCGTCATGATTATTATGGCGGGGAAGGGTATTACAATCATTATACACCTTATCACCAAGCAGCTCACAGGTACGTATTTAATTTTAGTATAGGAATGAGTTTTTTTGGTTTGACAATGTATTATGAGTTTTTTACATGAATTAACAATGTTTTTTTTACCATATTAATAATGTGTAGCATGTATTTGGTAATTAGTTACAAAACGGTTTTTTGCTATTTTAGTAATAAGCATTTCCACAGAGACAAAATTCTATTTCAAGGGTCCAGGGGAAGAAATGATAAGCGCCATTTTACTAATTTTACAGGAGAGCACTGGATGGCTGGTTGTTAATCAGGTTCTTTCCGTGTATTAGTATTCTAGATTTTTACTAGGTATATATCATAGGATTTAACAACTTATTGCCCTGCAGAGTTTATATATTTTGTAGGGACCAGTGAGACCTACTATAATATTGTAAAACCCTAAAATTAAGAAATTGGCGCTTATCTTATTTATTATTTTATAATAAAAAAATATAAAAAGATATCAAGTTTTTTTTATCAAAATTACCGGTAATATTACCTATTACCCTTTGCATCACTAGTACGACACTTTGTGCGGAAGCTGACGATATAATAATAAAACAGCAAAAACCCTTTTGTAAACTGTTGCCACTATTAATTTTTTTACTTGATATTTTTTTAATCATCTTCATATTTTTTTTAGATTTCCTTTAGTTCTCTCATTTTAAATCTACTCTAACACCTTGTCTTACTAACATTATTTATCCCTTAGTTTTCAAAGAAGTTTTTTCTTCAGAGAGCCTCCTCCGGGTGCGGCTCAGGCCGAGGGGCAACAGCCCCCTATGATGTCGTTTAAGGCGTTCTTAGCCACCCAGGACGATAACATCAGTGACAGTGAGGCTATTGAGAAATACAATGACTATAAACTGGAGTTCCAAAGGCAACAGTTGAATGAGTTCTTTGTTGCGCACAAGGACGATGAGTGGTAAGTTATTGTGTATTTTTTAAATTTGTATTAATTGGTTAAAAATTAAAAAGAAGTTTAATTTTGAAAATGTCTTGAAGCAGGAGAACATTATAAAAGGAATGTGGTACTTGTGTGATGCCTAAGTTTGAAAACAGTAATAGATATGTTTACATGATATTTAAAGTCTAGGTATTGCATTTAGTTACAGTATGTATACTCCTCTTGAAAACAGTGTAATTATATTAATACATTTTATTCCCAGAAAAATAGAGAAGTATAATAATATATTGTTTTATTAGGAGTAAAACTGATTCTTTTTGTGGCGAATTGGACATGCTTTTTTTTTCAAATGTCCCAACAAATATTTTAAACAATTTTAAATGTACCAAATGATTTAAAAAGATTTAAAAGTAATAAAATGATAATGTAATAAACCTTGTTATGCATATAATAATTAAAATTAAACTAATATCTACAAATTGAGCGTATAGGCGATCAGTTGGCACTGAGTAGGCGTGGCAAAACTAGCCAAGCGAATCAAAACCGACCGAGCGTAGCAATTAATTATCGAAGGCAATAGGAACAGAGAACTGGAAGGAATTGGACCGTTATCTTTGTTCATATTATTTTTACATTTATTTATCTTGACAATCTCATATGCATCTGATTGCCTGTACTCGTAATTTGAGACTTGTTTAATTGATTTTAAATACACTCCTCCAAAAAATTATCGCACCATTATGTTTTTTTTTTCAATTCGTTCATATACAATATTTTCCGAAAAACTAATGGTGCATTTAAAAACTTCAGTCCAATTCTTAAGCCGCGTCCAAGCTACTCGAACAAAACGTTCACGAACATATATAATTCACACTATATACTCGTAGCAGCAGGTCGTAAACGACGGCACAGCCCATCGCATCGGTCTCGAGGACTGAGGTGCGGGGGAGAATGCGACAACCAGTTTGCTCTATAGATCTAGGATGCGTTTAGGTAGTCGCTGTTTTTTCGAGTGCAAGCATTTTATTAAATAAATTAACCGGTAAACAGTTTAAGAACTTTTGTCGTTGAAGAATCAATATTTAGCAGGCGGAGGGTCACAGGGGTCTTTTGGTAGATTATTCGTTATAGTGTATTTTTAAGACCTGTATTCATTTTCAGCCGATTCTACCAGGTGTTTCTCAAAAGGGGCTCACTTTTTTACTTTTTTATTTTTTCAGATAATACAACGAAATTTGGTTTGTTAGTATATGACATAAATCGGGATTGATTGACGTATTCAATTACCTTCGGTCGCTTCCTGTTTCACCGGAAATGACTACAACTTTGTATTTTTAGATTGTATCCTAAGTACTTTTTTACTTTATTTGATAGAAAATGACAGTCTGAACAGAATGACGTACCATACGTCAATTTTAGACAATTCGAATTAAATAAAAATAGCATTTTAAATTTCAGTCTAGTGCCAAGACTGAGTTAAAACTATTAATTTGTAATCAAAGAACTTTGGAAACATATATTTGATCGCGTAATTTTTTTTCGTATCCTTTCATGACCGCTTAAAAGATGCCCAAATCGTATTTTTAATGATAACTCAAATTTTTCAAATGGTACGAGGCTGGCTCAGCATATTTGGAAAAAGCATTTTTTACGAATAATTTGGATGTGGTACCAAAGTTGGTATTTGGAGTAAAATTGTCGTTACGTTTATTTATGGCCATTTTTAAATTGAAAATGTCAAAAGTTGCCATATAATTATATCATTCTATTTAGAATGTCATTTTCTATCATATACGGTAAAAAAATACCGAGGGTATTACATTACATTTAAATCAAAAGTTGTTGTCATTTCCGGTGAAATAAGTAGTGACCGAAAATAAATGAAAACGTCGATCAATCCTGATTTATGTCCTATACTAACATACCAAAACCTCGTTTTTTATCTAAAAGATTAAAAAAGTTATAGAAGTGAACCGCTTTTCAGAAACACCCGGTATATTTATTTCTAAGAATGTAATGGTAAAATTTCATTTCCGGTGTCAAACTTCCTATTAAGTAGTAATTTTTATTCAGAATCCCATAATAATTCCGGTTTTTAATAAAAATAATCATAAAGGTCTTTATTAACAAAAATGAAATTATATGGACGAAGTCTAGCTACATAGCTATTCACACTCAACCCACAATAAAATTAAAATTATAAAATCTTTTCTTTGTGTAAACAAATTAGTTGTAAATGTTTTTTACGATCCCAGTCAATAACTGCGTCCCCCATTGTCGAATACTCGGTAAAAAATAAAAATCACAGATGGACGCCCGAAATTAAATGAGACCCTTCCAAGTGTCCGGTACAATGTCCGCCGAAATGCACGCCGTTCGCTCCTTTTGATTTACCGACACCCGTCGGAAAAAGAACGCGCGCGCTCTAGCATAGGCAGACGCACGCTCTGGCGTACAAGCTAGCCGTTCGGCGCTCCGCGCTCCTTAATAGGCCTAGGCTAACTGTACTTGTTGGCTTTATTATTTATAAATCTACCTATCTCACAATTTTCACTTAGTATCTGTTTAATTATATATGTTCGCGAACATTTTGTTCGAGTAGCTTGGACGCAGCTTTAGTTGAGGTGTTTTCGGCGATTTTTGTTTCCAAAATTTTAACACCTTTTTGACACCTTAAAAAAGCCTAGAAAAACGCTGGCAAAACTGCGCAGTTTTAGATAAAAAATATTCTTACCATTAAAAAAGGGGGTAAAAATTACATCCCTCCTGAAAATTTCACATCGATTAAACAAAGGGCTGACTAGATATAAAATTGGTAAAAATAGCCAATTTTTGAATCGTAAGTCGGAAAATTGAGGATTTTTATGATGATTTAAAAAGATGATTTTAATGATGATTTAAAAAAAGTTCTCTTTTTTTAGTATTTTTTTGGTTAATGTTTATTATTTTTTGGTTATTATTACTTATTATACAGGGTGGTCCGAACTGTATTCCGGAAGCTTCGGCAGCGTATTCTACAGATAAAAATAAGTAAAGAAGTTCGTATAAATTTATGTCTGAAAATGTTTAGTTTCGGAGATACAGGGTGTAGAAGTTTCATTTTTATTTCGATTTTTCCCGAATAATTTCTGAAGCAACGTCAATATTTGGATGGAAATTGGTGTCTGGATGTTTTTTGATATGAGAAATTTGATTTTGTTGTCAATATGACTCCTATTTGTAGGGGGCGCCACCTACATGTATTTTAACTGTTTTGAAGAATAATAACTTTTCGTCCGTACCTATATAAAACTACTGTGTGAAAAAATATACATTTCCATGATTTTCTACGTAAAAATGTCTCTTGGTAAAAATTCCCAGACAGCAATTTTTATCTAAATATTGACGTTACTTCAGAAATTATTTGGGAAAAATCAAAATAAAAATGAATCTTCAGCATCCTGTATCTCCGAAACTAAGCATTTTAGGACATACCTTTATACCAACTTTTCTACTTATTTTTATCTCCAGAATATTCTGCCGAAGTTTCCGGAGTACAGTTCGGACCACCCTGTATATTAGTATTATTTTGGTTAAAATAAAATAAAATATATATTTTTTATATCAATTTCATGAAACAGATTTGGATTAAGAATTTCTTTGATAACTCGATAAAAAAATTATGAAAACGAACTTTTGACTTTAGATATCATTTAAACAAAAATAAATATTTCTGGGTTCATTCGGGGCATAAACACAAATCGCCCACAACACCAACACCTTTCCTAAGGATTTCCATTCAGTAATTCTCTCTTTATACTGTACCTAGTAAAATGACTTTAAAAATTCTGCCCGTCCATAATGTAACCGAAAACTTTTTTCTGCAGCATCGTACTAGCACACCGCAAGCCGCAGAAATCTCTGGCGACGATGCAAAAAATGATGCGTGTGTTTGTGTGTGACGGATAAATAGCTCTAATCGCGTTCTTTAAACCCGTTACAAAGTATTCAAATAGAGCTCTATCTCTTGAGGATAGCCGTTTTACTAAAACTGAGGCGTGCGCGCAATGCACGTACTCTCGCGACTAATTTTTATATACTCTCTGGGTAATTGAGACGTTGCAGGTGAGATGATAAATAAGTTGGACCAGTGAACAGGTTTCAGATACAAGCATACTTTGAACGAGACTGCGTGTGCTTAGGTGCATGCTTGAGTGTGACTTTGGTAATTGATGAATAACTACAAATTTGTATTTTTTCTCTTATGTATTATATTTTTTTTATCTTCACAGTGGTGCACTCAGGATTTTATTGTGAGGAGAGGCTTACATAAACAACAGCAAAATATCAAACCAGATAGATAATATAGAGGTTTTTCGGAAGCCTATGTCACCCTAATATATTCTTGATATTCCCTATAATAGTTATTTAATAAGTTATAACTGTCAAACAATATGATTTACATATTTGTAAACAACCAAATTTAATGGAGACACTGTCAGAATAGTGCAGGCACTGTCACTCTCTGCAACTTTTATATATTTATGAACAATAATTTAATTGCTTAATAATAATAGACGACACTAAAACTCACGAAAACCTCGGAAGTTCGGTTTTGTTCGGCGAGAAGCGCTTTGCGGGAATTTTGAACATTATGAATAATCGAGAATCGGAACAATAATAATTTTATTATGCGAAATTGCTAACAGTAGTTCAGTTGACTGTTTTGGTTGTTCATTTTGTTTTTTATAGTTTCTAGTCTATTTTTAGAAATATGGCTATTATTTAAAAACTGATCTGCATTCATATATTTTTAAAACATACAAATATCATTAAAGTTAAAGTTACGAAATGTAATTTGTCATTATTTGGAAGGAAGGTGGTTAATGTATTTGGCTGATATTTGGTAATATCAGAGGTAATATACCTATATTGCCTACATCAAGTGATTTTAGTCAAAGTTGCATTGATGATTGGTGTAAATTAAAAATTGTTTCATTTACAGATTGCATGATCACTATCTAATTTGATGCATAAGTGAGAACCATAGCTTTACTTGGAGGGAGCTCATTATTCTCGAATTCTACTCTAGTTATTATCATTATGTCCTACATATGAATGAAGATCGGTTAGAAAAATTTGTAATACAGGACAGGGCAAAGAATATTATGTTCTGAATCAAGTTGAAATCTTTTATTAAAATATCAGTTCTTAAATTGAATCACATTTTCATGGGGAAATAAACGTTTTGGGAAAATTTGTTAGCTTAATTACTGTAACATATTAGAAATAAAAAAACAAATTTATAGTTCTAATTTTATTAGAATATGTTGCAGTTTCGATTACGGCCTATAAGAAGAAACTGCAAGAAACTTATGGGTGTTCTAGGTCAAGAAAATACAATAATTACAACAATACAATAAAATAATTTTAACAATAAACATTACCACATCGTACAGGAAGTAAGTACTACAAAATACATATAAAACCCTTAACCAATAGTCAATACATATTTACTTAAGTAAGACCAAAAACAAAATAAATAAAGCCTTAAACCAATAACCTCTTTCACTTTGTTGGGAATAATTCTTGCTTATCCATTTTCCTTTTATGGCTCATTTATTATGATCTTTTTATTGAACTACTGGCCTTCTCTGTTCATTTAGAAGAATTGTTTAGAACAAATGTGTAATGTGTCCTAAAAATAAAGAGACTATTTGACATAGTTTTTTTTGACTGACTGATTTACTATGATTACAATAATAATTGTAAGTTTTTTTTCCACATAGTCGTTATATTTTCTTGACTTGGCGAATGCATAATTTATCTTCATCTTCTGTTTTTCATACCACAGTTTATAACTTTCCTTTGTGGCAAAGTCATAGGCAAAGTAATGCGTTTCCATTTCCAATTTTACTTCATAGTTGTTGCAATATACTGCAACTTCCACAAACTATACAGACTACCAGATTTATTACACAGTGGGCAAATAATACGTTTCTTCTTATTATAGTGTTTTTCACAAAATTAAGTGAAACAACACAAATTAAAAATAATCCAGTCTGTAATATTAATTATCAAAGTTCTATGAATCAACGTTCAATGAATTCACAAATTGTAAATCTTCTTTACAGTGCTTTTAGTATTTTTGGTATTATTTAAAAAGACAGGAATGCTGATGAGTTTTTAACTTTGTTTTTAAATAGGGCCATATTTACTATGATATTTATAAAAATGCCGTTGTTTACAAAGTCCATCAGCGGTAAAGTTCAGCTGAGTTTGACGTAGACCGCGGTTGCGCGGTTCAGCTTCCGAGTATTTTGTCCTTAGAGAAGGAAAGAGAGATTCTCTTTCCTTGTCTAGGGTATCGTGAGTTTTAGTGTCGTCTATAATAATGAAGTTTAAACAGGATTTAAAAAAATGAATGTCAATTTGCATTACGTCTGTGTCTTTCTTTAATAATAGCACAGAATATCTAGCTACGCAACAGAAAAATACTCGAAATGAAAGAGCTAAAATTGCACAAATAGAATACTAGATGGCGCGACAATATCATAATCAGAATATAATTAGAAATTTTGAACTTTCGGTTTTGGATCGACGGCTCGTCGACGGCCTTATAAAGTCGGCTAAATATGCACAGTTGCCAGATTCAAAAGATTTGAATTGGCATCCCATTCTTTTATTGTGTATAATGCAGTATGTGTTTCTTTCTATTCTTCTTTTCTTGTCAGATACACTTATATTAATTATTCCTTTGGCTATTAAAATAGTTTTAAGTATATTATTACAAAACATATACATTTTTAATATACACTATACCTTATAATGTTAACTAAGAAAATACCTTTAATTTTAACATTAATAATATACAGGGCGATTGATAGTGATATTTATTAATGCTGGAACGTTAGTAATGAAATATAAGTTTAATAATAATGGAAATAATTTATTAAAATGCAGTACAAAAAATGTTAACTGACTAAAAAATACTATAAAAACAAATTTCTTCCGTTTGCCACGTTATTTATATAGACCTAGGTAGATTTTAAAAAGTGACACAGGTACAATTAATAATTTATTAGTTCGGCATAAAAGTTGCTGTCACCACATCGAACAATAAATTAAAATTCGTAAAATAAATTAAAATTATTAATTAAACAAATCTTTATAAAGAAACGCAAGTATACCAAATTTGGGCCCAATCGAACTCCAGGAAATTATATCATAATAGTGTACTATATTATGGTACCACTCGATATACTTTAAGGTACCATAATATTGCAATGTCACCGAAGATCCGTAGTATACCAAATTTAAGAACAATCGAACGCCATGAAATGGTATCGTAATATGGTACTATATTAAGGTACCACTTTATATACATCATAGTTCAATCATATTACAATGTAACCCGAAGATACGTAGTATACCAAGTTTGAACCCAATCGAACGCCAGGAAATGGTATCGTAATATGGTACTATATTAAGGTACCACTTTATATGCATCATAGTACCATCATATTACAATGTCACCGAAAATACGTAGTATTCCAAGTTTAAGCCCAATCGAACGCCATGTACGTAATATAGTACTATATTATGGTACCAGTTGATATGCTTCATGGTACCAAATAATGCAATGTCATCAAAAAATACGCAAGTATATATCAAATATGAGCTCAATCGAACGCCAAGAAATGGTATTGAAATATGGTACTATATTAAGGTACCACTTTATATGCATCATAGTACCATCATATTACAATGTAACCGAAGATACGTAGTATAACAAGTTTAAGTCCAATCGAACGCCAGGAAATGGTATCGTAATATGGTACTATATTATGGTACCTCTTATTATGCTCCATGGTACCATAATATTACGTGAATAACATAGTGACATATCACCGAAGATACGTAGTATCCCAAATTTAAGCCCAATCGAACGCCATATACATAATATGGTACTATATTATGGTACCAGATGATATGCATCATAGTACCATCATATTACAATGTCACCGAAAAGACGTAGTATACCAAATTTAAGCCCTATTGCCGCCATGTACCTAATATTGCTGTCATCAAATATGGTACTATAGAAGGTACCACTTTATATGCTCCATGACCATTACCAGGTACCACTTTATATGGTACCACTTTATATGGTACCCAGGTACCACTTTATATGTACCATGATATTACAATGTCACTGAAGATATAGTATACCAAGTTTAAGCCCAATCGAACGCCATGTATCGTAATATAGTACTATATTATGGTATCACTTGATATGCTTCTGAAAAAAACGGCGTCCAGTTGGCTGGAAAAGGACGATCGATGACATTTCCCATATAAAATGACAGTGATATTAATTTCATAGCTATCGCTAACGCCGTTTTTTCCCGATTATACAATATGAACTTGGTATCGAACGTAATCAACACAATCGAACGTCAGGAAGTGGTATCATAATAGTAGAACAATACTTATTATATTGTCGCCGAATTACAATGAAAATTCAGGATTCAATTATACAATCAAACGTCAGGAAGTGATTGTAATTTAGCTCATAAGATTTAATTCCAACTAACATGGCAAACTGAAAAAAACAGCTCTGATCTATTTTTAATATGTTTAAATGATGTAGCAAATTTGAAGGTAGGCTTTATCAGGAAGTATTACGATATGAATTACATTATTGGCAACACTGCACAAAATTCTTTTAAATTTTGTTTGTAGAAAACTGTTTTCTTTTAAATTTATTGCCCTCTATTATGTAGTAGCGAAACTAGCACATCAAAATATCTGATTTGGAGACAGACTTTTAAAGCCTGTCTCCTTTTGCTACCTACAATTTTATACATGTAACGAGGCTTCTGTTGCGTAGCTAGATATTCTGTGATAATAGGGAAGATGGAGACAAGTAAAAGTCATACAAATTGACGTCGTCAAACCCACAACACTTGCAGCTCTGTGTCAAGTACTGCCGATCTTTTTTGGGACCTGTTATTTCTAAATATAACAGATTATTCAATAATAGTTTTTTTTTAAATTAGGAGTTATTTATGATTTGTGGTTTAGAATATTCAGAAAACAGAGGACACTGTAATCTGCTTGGGTGCACCAATGTAACTTAAAAAATATTAAAATAATGGATTGTTAATAATGGATTGTTGATATTACGTGTAATAAAGTATTATCTTAATAAAACATTTTAGAAATAAGTTGTCACAAATTTGTAGTTAGGAACAATTACAATGAATTTGAAATAGTTTTCTAAAGAATACATTGCTTTTATTTTTATTCTAATTATCTTTTTATTAATTACCGCTATAATATGTTTCTTATCAATATTGCTAATTATATTAATACTTGATGAATTAATTGATAATTCAAGTAAAACTTTCAAAAATGATTTTATTGTTTATGAATTAAAGTAATTCTTTAGAAATCCTATTTGAATGATTGAAGCGATTGGTACTATACAATTATTGCTTCATTATACTCATTTGTTTTCCTTTGGGGAATATTATTTATAGGTTCAGATTGAAATACCATCCTGAAGATTCAGTTAAACGCAAAGCTGAACAGGCAGCAGCATTACAGGTAGAAATATTTGTAATTTATTATTTTATACTCTTGTTATCAATAAATATAATATTTTAGAGAAGACTAAGAGTGTTTTCCGATTTGTTCAAAGCCGGAAAAATTGATAATACAACTGTAGACTGTTACCAAACTACCAATCTTCTTAAATTGTTGGATACAGTGGTTATTAAACTCGAAGGAGGTACAGATGAAGATTTGGAGCTTTTGGAAAAAGAATATGAAGGTAAGCAGTGGAATATTTTTAAATTTTCAAATATATATAGTTTGAAATTTTTTAGAAATGGAGGCAAAATATAGAGAGCAGAAAGAAAAAGAGGCTGCAGCAGAGAAAGCTAAAGAAGCAAGAGCCGCCGAAGAGGCAAGAAAGAAAGAAGAAAAAGGGGTAAGTGTCTTGCAAACCTGTTAAACTGTTTTCATTTATTATTTTTCTTTATTTTTAGACCGAGGTTAAAATAAAACAAGAACCAGAGGAAAAGAAAACTAATGGTGAACAGTCTGATCCTAAAAATGACGATGCAAAATCGGGTAAGTTATATAAAATAACTACCTTTAGAAACAAACTGGTTAATGCTATATTGAAAAATTTAGATAAAGAAGAGGGAGAAGCAGATGATAAAGTAGAGAATGAAGAAAAGCCTGAAGAAAATAATGTTCAAAATGATGAAGAAAAGGAAAAAGAAAAAGACGAAGTTGAAAAAGAAACTGTCGAGCCGGAGCCAGAAGAAAAGAAAGAGGAACCCATGGAAGGAGTTGAAGAAGAAGAACAAGAAAAAGAAAAGGAAACAGAAGAGCCCCCAAAAGAAAAAGAAGAAGAAGAGGCTCCTGAAGAACAGAAAGAAGAGCCAGAGGAAAAGAAAGAGCCTGCAAAGGAAAAGAAGAGGAAACGATCATACTCTGGGAGTGGTTGGTTTTTGTTGTATTTTTTTAATATAATTTCTATAATGTTTATGTTTTATGAAACAGGCAGTAGCAGTTCTTCTTCAGGTTCAAGTAGTTCTAGCGATGATGAAGATGAAGAAAAAGAAACAAAAAATAACGATGAAGGAAAGAAAAAAGAAGTGGTGGAAGAAGAAGATAAGTCTAAGGAAAAGGAAAAGGAAGAAACAGTTGTAGAAACGGTATTTAGAGGTTGTTTTTACTAGGATAGTTTTATTGTTATACATTTTTTACAGATTGAGTTGGTCTCTGATGACAGTAAACCGGAAAAACCGAAGGCTTTGCATAAAACGACGTCGATATTCTTGAGGAACTTGGCTCCGACTATCACCAAACAAGAAGTTGAAGCCATTTGTGCTAGGTAAAAGGTAAAAATCTGGTTCTTAGGCTTCTATAACAGTTTTTTTTTAAATAGGTATGATGGATTTTTGCGTGTGGCATTGGCCGATCCTCAGCCAGAACGTCGATGGTTGCGTCGTGGATGGGTGACTTTTAAGAGAGACGCTAACATCAAAGAAATATGCTGGAATCTGAATAATATTAGGTTAAGGGAATGTGAGCTGGGAGCCATTGTTAATAGGGATTTAAGCAGAAGGATTAGGTAAGTTTCTTCGTTTTATTTTAATGGTTATTGTTATAATTAAAGGCTAAGAAAAGAGTCTGTTAACAAATTAGACTTAAATTTCGGGTTTATCAGTGCTGTTCTATTTTTTATATGTAAAAGTTTTTATGTATTTTTATAGACCTGTCAACGGAATTGTCGCCCATAAGCAAGTTGTTCGATCTGACATCAGAATCGCCGCTAAAGTTACCCTTCATCTAGATTCCAAAGCCAGTTTGTGGGTGGACGAAGAAGAAAAGAAAGACAAACCACAACAGGTAAGTCCATAATTATTAAAAAATAAAGTTTCTAAGGCGCTTTTTTATTTTTTTTTTCAGACTTTTGGTCTTGTATCCAACAATCCTGTGCTACACAACATCACTGACTACCTCATTGAAGAAGCGAGTGCTGAGGAAGAGGAACTTTTAGGGTTAGAGCCGACCTCTGAGAATCAAGAGGCTGTATCGACTGTGGACAGAGATGAAAATCTCATAAAAGTAAGTTTTTATAGGCTTTGATCATTGGGTAACGACACATAGAAAATTAATTTTCTACGTGTATGTAGAAAATTACGTAGAAAATGTAGAATGTGTATAAAATTTGAGAAAAACAGGTTTTTCAAATTTTGTATATTTAAAACGTCTTTTTCACTTTTGAATTTTCCTCCTTGGTATTTTTTTTTAATTCGATAAGCGTTAAAACTGTAATATGTATGCGTGCGCTATGTAAACTTCGACTATAGTGTGTCTGACAAATCAGGAAAGATTTCAACAGCCGGCATCCAAAAAATGACAGAAAGTAAGATATGCCTGTGAATTATAATGACACAACAGTCACTCGGATCCTCCCGTTGTACATATCTATTTAAAACAATATGGAAGTTAATAGTTAAGCTTTTTTGACATACTATGTTAAATAATAAATAACAATTAGAGATATCATTATTAGTTTATTTCATGTACTAATGGTAACCGCAAAACAATTGCCGATGCATGAGAACAACATTGAGTGACAAGCGATGGTGACAGCGCTGCCAGATTGTGATGGATTTATGAGATGAATCTTAATTTAAAAATGACAAACAATATATTTATTATATCATTTTTTAAAGATTAATTTAATAACTAATATTTTAGTAATTAATTGATTTATTTGTTTTATAGCTTATTTTACTTATTACATATTGGCAGAAACTAGTCCATTATGAAGATTATTCTAAGCGTTATTGTGGGTTAATTATTTATTTATTGATGTACATCTTCCAACGCCATAAGTGGTAAAAACAAGTAAGAGGTGCTATTAATGCACAAACTAATAATCAGAATTTAATAAAAACTAACGTAGAAATAACTTAGAAAGTGGTGTAATGTGCTTATCAATCAAGCTTACTTCTCTGACTGCAGTCAACGGTAATAAAGGACCTTTATTGTCACGTTCTCGTTCAAAATAGTTTATCAGCAAGCTCTTTGCTTCGACTGTTAAATGTTTCGGAATATTTTCAACACACAATTTCGAGAAATGCAATACAAAAACTCGAAAATTTAGTTCTTCAAAGAACTGTTTGTGCTTAAAAGTACAATTTTTAAAAAAAGACTATGAAAATAGGCAAAAAAACGAGAAAATTACTCACAAAGATTCAACAACACGATATACAAAATAATGACTGACATTAGGATGATTATCAAATAATAAACGACCACCTCGCTGAAAACGGCGCAATGTGACCAACATAGCGAAAATAAAATTCAGTTTAAACTAATTTTTGCAGCTTTAATCTAAATAAAATATCTGTCACAATCATTTGCTCTATAAAGTCAAATGAAGAGCTGCTCGGTATCTTAAATTATACAACAAATTTAAACATTTCTGCCAAAATTTAATTTAGTCAGGTTTATGGACTTTAGTGTCAATGTCGATATGATTGATGACGTGCATCGGAAAATGTTTTGCGATTACAATATTTGGGAAATAAATATTAACTGAAAAAACGGCTTACAATATACAAAACTAATTTTCTACTTGTACTTTCTACCTACCCAACCCTGGCTTTGATAGATAAATATTAACGTAATTAAATTATCTAATTAGTAATTTTTTTTTCTGTTATTTTTTGATTTATTTTTTTAGGTTTTGGACAGAATCGTTTTGTACTTGAGAATCGTACATTCGGTCGACTATTACAACCATTGCGAGTACCCGAATGAGGACGAGATGCCGAACAGGTGCGGAATTCTGCACGCCAGAGGCCCCCCGCCCACTTCCAAGACCGACATGACTCAGTTTATCGGAGCTCCGGTGGAAGGGAAAATGTCGAACTTTTTGCCGGAGAAACCCAAGGAGGAGAAAGACAAAAACGAGGCGAAGCTGGTCGCTATGGCGCTGAAGAACGTCGATACGGAGGTGGACAAGTTCGTGCAGGCCAATACCAGAGAGTTGTCGAAGGATAAATGGTTGTGTCCTTTGTCTGGAAAGAAATTTAAAGGTATTGAATTGATGCCTTCTTTTTATATTTTATTTCTGAGGAGACTTTATTGTAAAACATGTTTGTTTTAATAGGATATTGAATCTTTTTCATTCGTTTTTGAACACACTTTTGAATCATTTTCCATTTCATATAATTTGCCATATTTTTGCTCCATTTAGAAAAAAAGTACTATTTATAAACTCCATAAAAATAAAAGTGAGGTTAGTTCAACACTTATTTCATATTTTCCTACTGTTTTATATTTGTATTTCTCAACTAACTCAAAAATAAATTTATAATTTAACTATGCTTTTAAAATTTAAATAAATACTTACATTTAATGGTCTTTGCAAAGGTAGATATGGCTTTTTGAAGAACTTCAGGCTGGTGTCTTATTTTCTAGAACCAGATTTTTCGTTTCTCTTCGATAGGCTAATGTTAAATGTTTCCAGGAGTGGAAAGTGTCGTACTTTTGCAACCTGGTACCATATAGTACCGATAAATCCTTTTGCAGTCGAAAATTAGTAAAAAACCTCGCCGAAAATCGTATCTCAATAGAATGTCAAAACTAAATAGTACTTCGTGACGTCACTATCGTAAGCGCGATCAAAGCCGGCGTTTTAGCGGGCTTCTCATCAATTTGAATTTTAATCGTTTATTTCAATACACCAGATATTTTAAAAATATTTTGCAGAGGTGCTTTTGGAGTCGAAATGATAATTATAAGACAATGAAAAAATACCCGCAAGAGTTGGCGAAGTTCCAAACCAAATTTATTTAAAAATTGTTTTTGGATTTTTTTTCTCATCGTTTTTTAAATATTTTATGATATATTGATTGAGATACTTATGATATATTTATTAATGGACTAGCGTGTACCAGCGACTTCGTTCGCGTCGAATTAATCATTTGTAATGGTGATGATAAAGCAAAGCAAGAATTTCAATTAACATAAAAACTGGATAAAATTTTCTCACGTTTATGTTAGCATAAATTTCAAAATATGTAAAAAAAACAAATAAATTATGCCTGTCCAAGCGTTTTCCCGAAAGACTAACCGTTTTTTAAATAAGAAATATTGTAATATTTGAGGGGCGTTTTCACCCTCTTGGAATTTGAGAGACCCCTTCTTATCGAACCTCTACACCCCACAGTCAATCCGTTTACCAAAAATCAGCTTTAAACGTCAAGCAGTTTAAGCAGAATCGTGGTTACTCAATTGTCATATTTTATGAAACACCCTGTATAAATTTATAAAAAATCTTAAAATATGTAAAACGTATATGTAATATGTAAATAAATTATACGTGTTTAAGAGTTTTTCCGAAAAACTCACCGGTTTTTAAATAAAAAATATTTTAATATTTGAGGGATAGTTTCACCCCCTTAGAATTCGAGTTTCGAAAAATCCCTTCTTATCGAAACTCTACACCCTAAAGTCAATCTGATTTCCAAAAATCAGCTTTTTTACGTCAAGTGCTTCAAGCAGGATCGTGATTAATCAATGACCAAATTTTTCGAAACACCCTGTATACATTTTTAAAAAATCTTAAAATATGTAAAAAAACAAAATAAAATATACGTGTTTAAGCGTTGTTTCGGAAACTTGACCGTTTTTTAAATAAAAAATATTGTAATATTTGAGGGGTGGTTTCACCCTCTTGGAACTGGAATTTCCAAAAATCTCTTCTTATCGAACCTCTACTCGAACCTAGAATCAACCTGTATGCCATAATTGAGCTTCTTACGTTGAGTGGTTTGAGCAGGATCGTGATTAATCAGTATGTCAGTCACTTAAGGATTTTATATATTAGTATAGATGATCTTCGGAATAAAAATTTGTCACAAACATTATATTACGCGCCGCTACTGGGTTTTCTTCATATTTTATTGACAATATTTGGTGCAAATTTCAAAATGAATCTAATATTCAAATTGTTCAAATTGCTGACTTACGAATAGTCGGTAGTTCAAATGAAACATTTTAAATTAGCAAATAAATTAATATAAAGGAATTATATCTAATATTATAATTATTGGCGTTATATACACTGTATTTCAATGTTTTCTAACTTTTTCTTCCGGTACTAGGTCCCGATTTCGTTCGCAAACACATTTTCAACAAACACTCTGAGAAAATTGAGGAAGTTAAAAAAGAAGTGGAATTTTTCAACAATTATTTGAAAGATTCAAAAAGACCAATGCTGGCTGAAGCTCCTCATCCAAAACGAGAAGAAGCGCCTTCCTATAGCCACCAAGGGTAAACCTATTTAATTTCTAATGTATTTCCTTCTTCATTTCTATCTTTTTATTGCAGGTATGGCGGTGGATATGGTATGGGCGGTTTTAACCGACCCCAACCGTTTTATAATCAAGGTTTTGCGCCGAGATCTCGTGGTTATGCCCCCAGAGCACGGTAAATTTAAAAATAATAAAAATTATATGAAAAAAAACATCAGTTTTTTTAAAAAATTTTAGAGGTGGTCCAACTGACTTTGGCAGACCGATCATACATTACAGGGACCTGGACGCCCCCAGGGAGCCAGAGGAATTTATTTAAGATAATATATTTATCTTGTTAGTTACAAGTTTAGTATGGAATCAAGGTGGAGTTTGTGAATATTATTTTGTATGTTTTTATTTAATTGTAACTGACTCAACTTTTAATAAACACACTAGATATAATATTTTTGGTTTTGTTTTCATTGGGTATATGGATTCTTATCATTTCTTTTAAAATTAGAAATAAATTGATTGATTATTGGAATGGAAAGAAAAAATAATTGAAGGATCCAGGGGAATAACTTTTTATTGTTAATCTAAGGGAATAATTTGATTATTATAGTAGGTCTCACTGGCCCCTACAAAATGTATAAACTGTGCAGAGCGATAAGTTGTTAAATCCTATGATATATGCCTAGTAAACGTATACAGGCAAACGTATATCACCACATACGACACGGAGTATTGTAGCTAAACGGTTAAATTTTTACAAATTTTAAGTTTTGGGTTCGTCGAAAGACTTAGACCTACAATTTATAATAATTTTACAAGATGCAGAGTGTCCCAAATAAGTAAAAAATATAGTTGTATTTTTTTAAACGGAACACCCTGTATATTATTCTATTTTTAGATTATATGATTGAAATTAAGACAAATTTGATTAAGGTTTATTACACTTAAACCTTACCGTTTTTGAAATATTTTCAATTTTGTGAAATTGCAGTGAAAAATTTAAGGCTTCATTTCTCCAAGGGTATCAAAGTTTTTAATACTAAATATTTACTGATCAGATATTGTGTTGCAATAATAAAAACTATAGTACCTTATACAGAGTGTCCAAAAATTTATATTAAATAATTACTAGCTTTAAACGGCAATAACTTGTTTAATTTAAATGGAACACCCTGTACATTTTACGTCAGTTAGATGCACAATTTAATTGTCTATCAAATTGTATTATATCATTTTTTACCAATCTCTTCTAGTTCTCGTAGAAAATGCATTTTTTTTTAAATTTAGACCTCATTTATCACTATACCCATGGAATATTGACATTTTAGATTTTTTAAAGCAACATATTTATGTACAAAATGTACGGGTGGTAAAAATAATAATATTGCAAGCCCATTTGTTTACAAAAAGAAAACTATTTAAAGTTTTGTAAAAGAGTATGCCAATTAAATATACCACATATATATTTTGGGCAATTATTATTATGCAACGTAAACAGTCAATTAATGTAGTTTGAATACTGGGATCATATTAATTTGCCCTTTTCAACAAAAAATATTTAAACAGTTTTTTTTATTTTTAATGAAATAAGCGAACTATATTGACATTAGTATCTGGTACTCTTTGAAAATTTGTTACATCTTTAAAAATAATCTAAAATGTCAATATTCCATGGGTATAGTGATAAATGAGGTCTAAATTATAAGTAAATGCATTTTCTACGAAAACTTGACGAGATAGGTAAAATATGGTATAATACAATTTGATAGACAATTCAATTGTACATCTGATTCTCGCAAAATATACATTGGTGTTCCATTTAAATTAAACAAGTTATTGCCGTTTAAAGCTGGTAATTATTTAATATAAATTTTTAGACATCTTGTATAAGGTAGTATTTTGTTTATTATTACAACAAAATATCTGATTAATAAATAAATTTCAGTAAATATTTAGTATTGAAAACTTTGATATTCTTGGAGAAATGAAGTCTTAAAAATTTTACTGCAATTTCATAAAACATTAAGGTTTAAGTGTGATGAACCTTAATCAAATTTACCTTTATTTTAATCGTAGAATCTAAAAATAAAACAATATACAGGGTGTTCTATTTAAAAAAATACAACTATAATATGTTTTACTTATTTGGGACACTCTGTATCTTGTAAAAATATTTTTATATTGTAGCTTTAATAGTCCTTTAACGAACCCAAAACTTACAATTTGTAAAAATCTAATCGTTTAGCTACAATACTCTGTGTCGTATGGTGGTGAACAACCCTGTAGAATACACGGAAAACAATAACCAGCAGTCCAGTGCTCTCCTGTAAGATTAGTGAAATGGCGCTTATGTTTTTCCCATGAATCCTTCAATTGAAATTAGTTCTTTCTGTAGATCCAATGAATATTATACATATATCACTTTAAATAATAAATATTTATTTTACATATTTTACAAAAACTATTTAAAGTATAAAAATTGACTTTTTATACACATTTTTCAAGTAAAGTTCTGTTTTGCTAAATATGGATTAAATTGAGAATTGTATTTTTGTCTGGGTTCATTGGTGTTCTTATTTCCTTCTTTTATATTATCCCCTCTTATCTTAGCTAACAACTCTTCTGTTTTTCTCCTTTCTGCTTGTTCTCTCTTAAGTCTTTCTGCTCTTAATATACTTAGTTTCCTATTTTTTTCCTCTTGTAATTTATCTTCATCATCTGATATGCTAGAGACAGTATGCTCATTTACAGATGATTCACTGCTACTTCTATGTTTTCTCTTTTTATGTTTCTTCTGTCTTTTATGTTTATGTTTCTTATTTGCTCTTTCTTCACTAGATTCTCTGCTAGAGTGCCTGTTTCTTTTCTTTGATTTTGAACTATGTTTTAATTCTGTATGCAATAAAGACTTGTATTCTGTATATTTACTCTTGCTTGTTGTTTCGCCTGAACTTTTTTCATTTGAGATAGTAAATTTCTTGATTATATTTAAAGGATCTTCGCGTACTTTGGCTTTAAGGTTTATTTCACCAGTACCATCAGTTTTTCTTTTAGGAGCTATTTCATACCAACTCTTTTTTCCCAAAGCTTCGTTTGTATCTTGGCCCAAATAAGTTAAATATCCAATCTGTTTCTCATATTTTTCCTTTTCATTTTTGACCTCTTCATCATGTTCTTTATTAGTTTGCTTTTGTTCAGCTGTCCCTTCTTCAAGTTCTTTAAAGAAATTAACATGCTCACTTTCCACACTATTTGATTCATCTAAGGAATTTTTTTCTGCAATGGGTACAAATGTTTCGGTTTTAAATCTTTTACGAGACTTTTCAAGCAAGTACTGCCTTTTAGATTCACTTTCCTGAAAAACAATTAATTTGAGAAAACGTTTAATATAGAAAATGTTAAGATATTTACAGCTAATTTTGCTCTTTCTTGTTTGATTCTTTCTTCTTCAGCAGCTTGAGCTTCATCTCTTCGAACTCTTGCTATATTCTCCTTTGTCCGAACATGCCACCTAAAAGCGAAGAAACCGTTAGTAAATGATGTTGCAAACCTTTGAAATCATACCTTTTTTTTGGTAAAATATTCATTTTAATTAAAATAAAATTATAATTTATAAATTACTATTAAAATCAAAACTGTATGGTTATGTTTGCTGTCACTGTCATAATATAAATGAAAAAAATCAGTGCATGCAACTATTGGCATATTCATTTTTTGTTTATTCTGTGTGGCTGCACTGATTCTTTTTCATTACCAAAATTTATTTCCATATTTGTGGCTAACTTCACAAAAGTCATCAGTCGTCATTTGTCATTTAAAATGTCAATTTTTATTGAGACGTTTTGTTAATTATTGAATTTGATTGTTTTAGTTTTTACAACTACAATAGTTTAAGAATTATGTAGATAAGTGCATTAAGATGAGTGTTTTCGGTGATTTTCAGCAGGTGTGGCTGCAGAGATTTCCGGAGAGCCCCCTTCCGGGTGCTTGGGAGGAAGACGTTCGTGCGAATCTAGCTAAGCATAAACATAAAGTGGCCCTTTTAAAAGAGGAACTCGAACATGAAGAGTTTTACGTTGAATATCTCGAAAGATTGCTTTCAGATGTTGAGCAACACAAAAAGAAATTAGCCAAAGAAAAGGTTTCTAATGATGAAAGCCACTCGGAACAAATGGGTGTAGACGTTGGTGTAGGTGGGGAGGATGTCTTATCAGAGGTAAATATTTACCAATTTTTTTTCTGCTTTGGTGATCGTAATTACTTAATACATTGTTCACGGTAAATGATTAACGATTACCAGTGTGATCGTGTTGCAAAGAAATATATTTTTAAATTTTACTATTGAGTTACATCTCTTACAAAATATAAATGCCATAAAAATGTACAATATGAGTTTATTAAGGAAGGAACCACATAGAGATAAACCTAGAGATAAGTAGTTTATTAGTAAACCCTAGGTTGTCATCCTAATAAATTTCTAAAATAAATGAATGAATCAATAATTATGTTTGCCTGCTGATAATCTTATCTCTTTTTAATCGTTATGCATCACCAATATATTATTTTGTAATATAGTTTTGTAATAATACTTTAAAATTGATTGATTTTCCAGTTTATAAACAAAAAATTTAAGTACAAATGTGCATGAATAAAATGACACCAGCAGATTTGAATGTATAATTTTGTGTTAAATGTTTATGTATAGGTACATCATTTACACTGCATGAATACATAATGACCAAATTTATAACATTTCAGTGTCATTGCACCTGAAAAGAATTAACATTCTCTTAAGCCACGTTTCATAGGGTTAATTAGTAATTTTAATTATTCATATTTCTGTCGCTGCAATTTCTAGACACATATACAGGGTGGCGCCTCTCATACAACATGGAGGCTGCCAGGAAAACGGTAGTTTATATCGAAATGACATTGTGGGAGCATAATGTAGGTTTGCAGCATTTTATAAAAATACGTAGAGTTCTACAGGGTGTTGCCAAAAAAGTTATTTATCAAAAGTTGTTTTTTTTTTGTAATGGAACACCCTATATGTATATTAATTGATTTTCGGTTTCGAGGAAAAAAATAAAGATGAGTTTTATTAAAGAAGCATATGCCTAAAATGTAAGGTTTTTAACATATTTCACATTTTGTGAAATTGAGAATAAACTCTAAATTTCAATAACAGCTACCTAAATTGTAATTTATCCTGAATAGCTTGATATTTAGTTAAAATAATCATTGTATGTTAAACCAAATCAAAATTTAACATGAAAAGTTTCACAGTGTGAGACAAAATTAATATTGAACATTGGTCACTTATAAAAGCAAGTTATTCTTTTATTTTAAATGGAAGACCCTGTATATTATTTTAAAGTTCAGTAGATAATGCATGTATCATCAAAACACTATTAAGTTTGCCTAGCCTTTACCTCTTAGTGATTTTCCTAGATATTTTTATGATTTAGGGTCAGTAGATCTTTATTATTTGATTGAATCTAAGTGGCTATCTAGGTAATTTGAAGAGACATGAATTTCTCATTGAATATCGGGATACTATATTGGGTGTTCCATTTAAACTAAAAGAGTTTAACTTGCTTTCAAAGGTGATCAATGTTCAATATTAATTTTGTCTCTAACCCAAAATGTTATACCTACAACATTTTGGGTCAAATTTTAATTTGGTTTAACATCCAATGGTTATTTTAAATACATATTAGGCTATACCGGGTAAATTCCCATTTAGGTAGCTTTTATTGGAATTTAAAATTAATTCTTTATTTTTACAAAAATACTAAATATATCAAAAATCTTACATTTTAGGCAAATAATGCATCTCACCTTTATTTTTCTACGAGAATCCGAAAATCAATTAATATATAGAGTGTTCCATTACAAAAAACACAACTTTGATGTGTAACTTTTTTTTTGGTGACACCCTGTATTATATATACTCCCTATTCTATATTTAAAAAAAAATGCTCTAAATTAACCTACATATGCTCACAAAATTTCATTTCAATTCAAACTGTCGTTCTCCTTCGAGCCTCCGCGTTGCGTCGTATGAGATGCTTCACCCTGTATATTCTGTTTTAAGGTGAATAATGACTGTACAATTAAGACATTTAATTGTTTATTACACTTTAGCGGGCTTCAATTGATTTGTCTCTACCAATGCAAGAAGGTCAAATTAAGAATGAGTCATTTTCTGCTCACATGTGCATAAACGAGATATCCAGAAACTTGAAAAAATCTCAGTCGGATATATCTGAAAAGGCACTTTCTGAAGCAGAAACTTCACAGAGTCAAGACCACGAAGCTACGTTTGTTACGGTTATTGAAGTTAATGGACTGAATAAGAAAGAGAATGAGTCGCCTGTAACTAAAAAACCTCCAAGGTAGAATATATAAAATAATAAATGTTTTTATACAATCAACAGGCATCTTAAAATTTTGATGTATTTTAAAGTTTAATATATTTTGTTCTAGTCGGCCGATTTTGATGATTTTTCAAGAAATTTGTAGCTAAATTATTTGACTTTTTAGTACTTATCTCTTTCTAAATTAAAAATGAAAGTTCCCGTCTGTCAATTGTACAAGGGAAAACAAAATGTTGATATTTTGGTGAAAGTTTGAAACACTCTGTGGAATATATTAACAAAGCAAGGAATTTAAAATCATTTTATCATCTAAGTATGTCTTTTCTCGATAGTAGGTTTTTTAATTCATCTCAATATCTTTAATTTTATTGGAGATATTCCCTGAGAATAAGACACTAATAATTTACAGAAATTTTAGCATTGAAAGCATGATTTTGCTTTTTGGTCCTCATCAACGCACTTATAAAATAGTGTTCATTGTTTTTGTAATGCCACTGTCATTGAACAGTCATATTATTATTGTTTATTAATGTTTAGTCTAGTAGAGATGGTTTTAAGTTCTGAAGTACCGCCTATTGCTGCTTTAATTGATCATGTTAGAGATCAACTTTTGAACTTAAAACCAATCTGCTAGAGTAACTGCCCAACAGACAATAATAATATGATTTTTCAAAGACAGGCATTAGATAAATCATAAACACTATTTTATAAGTCTATTGACTAGGACCAAAAGCAAAGGTATGGTTTTAATGTAAAAAATACGAAAAAATGTTAGTGTCTTCTCGAGGGGTAAACCGCTGATCAAATTTTGGTACACCAATGCCTAATTTAGGAATTAAATTGACATTTCCTACGTAATTCCCACAATTCCCCATAATACCTAATAATTCCTAAGAATGCCTGCTAATTCCTAGTAATTCCTCTTAGTTCCACTTAATTGCCTATAATTCCTCTTAATTCCTACAATTCTCACTAAATTCGCAGAAATACTTAACAATTAACAATTCCCCAAAAATACCTCTATTGATTCTTCTAAATAGTAGTGAAAAGATTGTTTAAAATTAACAGAATGTTGCGCGAACGAAGGTTTTACTCTCCGTCTTACTACCTAAACTAACTTTTAGTTAATAAGGATAATACTAGATAACATTTAGGGTGCGTCAGACCTGAGGAGCCAAGCGCGAGACGAGCGCGAGATAACCCACGGAGCCTCATTGCTATCCGTTCCCCATCGATTTTTCGACGGCCGATCAAAGAAAGCTCGCGGCTAAGTCGCGACGTGTTTTTGGTAGGCTCGCTCGACTGCCAGATTGATTTATGAATTTCGACTATTTAAATTTAAGTAATCCCAAATTTTTAAATGGTACACCGTATGTATTATCATTTTTTCTGATAGAATTTACATATTTTGCGACACATTTCTTTAAAAAAATTGAATTAATACAAAATCTATTAATTTTAGATATATAATATCATATGCAAAAAAGGTTACCGAATTGTACGTAGAATCTAATAACAAAATAAAAAATAGGATATTCCCATTAAAAAATATATGTTTTATCTGCAACACTTTTTTGAAGTACCCTGTATACTCTACAGTAATGTTAAAATGTGCCTCTGAACTTTCCAAATAATTTTTTTATTGAATATTTTGTTCTAAAAAAACGTTAAAAAACCGTATTATGTAAAAAACGTCGTGTGTCAAAACAAATGAATAAACAGCCAAAAGGGAAAAAACCGACGATGAATAAAATACGACAAACCAAATACCATGTTAAAGATACACAAATTTATTACTGTATGCATTATTATTTGGCCATCGTTTGTTATATTCAATTACAATTTAATATGTTTTGGCTTCCTCTCACTATGATCCAACTCGGGCTTTTCTCGTAGCAGGCTTGCGTCAAAAAATGGATAGAAACTGTCTCGCTCTTGTCTTGCTTTCGTCTTGCGCTCGGCTCGTCAGGTCTGGACGCACCATAATATTATTTATGGGTCCATAAAACATAAAAATTTTCTCCACACAAGCTATATCCTCAATTCTGGACCAAATAAAATGTTTAAATTCGTTTTTAAGGAATTTGATTTTAAATCTATTGTTGTCAACTATTTCAATCACAACTAATGTAATAATTCTCATCATAAAATATGGCATAGTATGATTTTATTAAAATAGTATTTTCATCTTTGTTTTGCTTTGTAACACTAGCATCATTGCCTGTTTCTAGATCGGAAAAAGTTTCTGAGCTATCTGAGGTACTGTCATGCAAGGAAAAAGCAGACAGTGATAAATCTGATGAGCTTGAATATATTTTAGATTGTTCAGTCTTATGCTCTTTCTTTACATACTCTTTTTTTGGTATATACATGTATCGTGTAGTTTTATCTGACGTTAACAATTCTGAGAATACGAGAACATTGTGCTACGAGGTTCAATGATTACTTTCTATTGGCGCATTGCAGAGTCCCCCCCAACGACAGAACACGCGCACAGCGAAATTTACCAATTGCGCATGCGTGTCAACGTTCTACAAGACCGGAATGGCCAATAATTCCCGCAATTCCTAAATAATTCCTTCATAATTCCCACAATTCCTTTATAATACCCACAATTCCTTAGTAATTCCTAATATTTCCGATAATTCCTAGATTTCCTACAGATTTCTCAGTAATTCCTAACAATTCCCGGATTTGTACACCACAATTCCCCAGCGGTTTACCCCTCGTGTCTTCTTCAAAAGCGAATATCTCTAAAAAAATTAAGCTATTGAGATCAACCAAAATATAAACTATGGAGAAAAGATACATCTAGATGATAAAATGATTTTTAAAGTCCTTGCTTTGTTAATATACTCTACACGGTGTTTCAAACTGTCACCAAAATATCAACATTTTGTTTTCCTTTGTATAATTGACAAATGGCAACTTTGATTTTTAATTTAGAAAAAGATATTAAAAAGTCACATAATATAGCTACAAATTGCTTAAAAAATTATCAAAATCGGTATACTAAAACACAATAAAAAAAACTTTAAGGTGCCCGGTTTTCGTACCGGTGAGTGTATTACATATAAGTGTATTTTTAGCATTCCTGCAAGACCTGACTCTCTGAAAAACACTAACTTTAATACAAATAGAAGTAATAGCGATTCAGTGTCTTCAAGTTCGGAGATTTTAAACAATCCCGACGAGCCTTATTACGATATGGTGGCTCCTGAGGAAGACTATTTGGGAAGAAGTACTAATTCCAGTTCTGAAAATGTCTTTGGATCGAGTAGCACTCTGCCATTAGATCTGAAAACTCAGACATCAGTCGAGCCTCAAAGTCCTGGAGCTTCCAATTATGTTAATATAGAATATTTTATACAGTGAGTAGTATATTTTTTATATCACAGTTTATTTATGTTTGTTTAAATATTAGTCACACAAAGAAGAACGGAAATGATCATAGTAGTAGTGAGGATGAACATGAAGAGCAGGTCGTCTTAAAGAAGCAGACTAATGATAACAGTTCGTATGCTAGTTCAAGTTCTTTAGAATCTACAACGCCAGCAAGCAGAAGAAAGTTTAGTCATGTAATGAAGAGATTTCTTAAAAGTTTGAGGCACATTAAAATGCATTTATTTTTTAGGATGGAGATACCGATAGTGATAAAATGTATAGAAGTATTTTGGGAAATATTATTGATAGTGAGACTAATTACGTTGAGTGGCTTAGTGTTTTGTTAAAAGTAAGAGTGTTGTATTTACAATAATTTAATATATTTTAACTGCTTTTTGTTTCAGTACATGAAAGCTATTCAAGCAACTATAGGTACTTCACAACCAATTGTAACAGAGACTGAATTAAACACAATATTTTACAAGATTCCAGAACTTTATAGTCTCCACGCTAGCTTCCTGGATGCTTTAAAGAAACATTCCCAAAAATGGGATACTCGAATTGGTGATCACTTTAAACATATGGTAAGTATTATTTGGCAACATTAAAATATACAGGGTGGTTATAACGACGCCGAGTTACACGTCAAAGTTGTATTTTTTATAATGGAACATTCCCTATATTAATTGATTTTTGGATTCTAGAAAAAAGAAATAAAGTTGTTATTAGAGAAGTATATAACTAAAATGTAAGGTTTTTACATATTTAACGTTTTAAAAAATAAAGAAAAATGAAGAACAAATTTTAAATTTTAATAAAAGCTATCTCAATTGGAATTTATCTGGTATAGACTAATAAGTAGTTAAAACCATGTTAAAACAGCCATTGTACTTTAAATTAAATTAAAACTTGACCTTAAAGTCATACAGGGCGAGACAAAATTAGTATTGAACATTGTCACTTTTAAAAGCAAGTTTTATGATAAATAGAACACCCAGTGTATTACTTCGATATTCAATAGGGAAATCATGCCTCTTCAAAATACTATTAAGGTTGCCTACCCCTTAAACAAAGATTTTTCAGATATTTTTGCCGCTGTAGGCTAAGATTCCATTTTCGGCAAATTTCTGCGATTTTTTTTGTTTCAACTAACAGATAATGATAACTAATTGGTCAAGCTGAACAAATCTGACAGCTATGTTGAATTAACGAAAAGCATATCACAACCATTTGTAGACAAAAACTTAATAGTATTTTGAAGAGACATGAATTCTCCATTGAATATTGGAATAATATACTAGGTAACCCATTTAAAATACAAATAACTTGCTTTTAAAAGCGACCAATGTTCAATATTAATTTTGTCTCACCCTGTATAACTTTTCGGATCAAATTTTAATTTAGTTTAACATACAACGGTTATTTTAACTAAATATTAGATTATACAGGGTAAATTACAATTTAGGTAGCTTTTATCCAAATTTAAAGTTTATTTTTCATTTTCAAATAATGTTAATTATGTTAAAAACATTACATTTCAGTCATATCCTTCTTTAATGAAATTCGCCTTTATTTTTTTTTCTTGAACCCGAAAATCAATTAATATATAGGGTGTTTGATTACAAAACAGAAAACTTTGATGCTTAACTTTTTTTGGGGACACCCAGTAAAACTTTATATTTTCATAAAATGCTTTCAATTAATCTACATGATCCTAACATTTAACTCCATTACAAACTACCACCGTTCTCCTTGGAGCCTTCGCGTCGTATGAGAGGCGACACCCTGTATTTTTATATATTTTTATTCTCTTTTTCAGGCATCAAACATATCGCTTTATGGTGCTTTTCTAAGTAATTATGGCCAGGCATTAGATACAATAAGAAAATGCCGGGCCAGCAATACACAATTTGCTGAAATTGCTGGGAATGTTATGTGCAAACATTTAGCAGATTTACCAATTAATTTGGAAGATCTCCTTCACAGACCAGTTGCAAGGTAATTTTTTTTATTAATATTGAATTTTTTTTTATTTTTCTCCTGAACTTATTCTAGGGTTCAGAAAAATGCATTGGTTTTGCATGATCTCCAAAAGTGTATTCCAGTTAACCATCCAGATTACCATAGCATCACCGATGCTTTGAATATGACCCAAAATTTCTTGGATCAGTTCAATATGATACAGACAAAATCAATGTTTCCAGTAAGTAAATAATTAAATTATAACTGCTAAAATTCGGAGGTTTATTTAAAACAAAATACAGTAAAGTTATTATTAGTTTTAGTATAAGGAAATAGTAAACATTTTTTAATTTTATTTTTGTGTTTATTCTCTACCTTGTGGGCACAATAATAAAGAAAAATAATATTTAAATATTTATTTCAAAAATATATAAATTCTAATTTTATTAAAAAGTTAATTATTACAAGTTTTTTTTGCTATAATTTCTTCATGGACCAAGATTTTTTCTATTGAAATAAAATTTTACTGAGTAATTTTATTCTCGCGCTTCACTATTTATTAGTTATATGCCATTAAGAGGACACACCTATGTACAACAACAATAGAAGATGCGTTATTTAATTTCACAACATTTTTTTCTTCCTTAAACAATTTAATAAATATGATTTATTGTCCTTTGTGGCAGCTGAAAATTATTCAGCTGCGTAAATATAAATGCTGCATAAAATAAACATGGATTTTAGTAGGTATAAACTTGATTTATCACAAGAGAAAGTTGGCTAAAACTCGTGTATTTTTGTCATGAAATACAGCGTGTTCTATATGAAATAGTGGAAAAATACATATGGTTTATACTCGCACTGTATATATTATATACTATAGCGCACATATTTAAAATGTCAGTTAGTACGAATGTTTTTCCTGATAGACTAAAAACTTCAGTTATAACACCTATTCACAAGTCAGGTTCAAAAGTTGATATTGTGAATTATCGACCTATTAGTGTACTAAACGGTTTAGCCAAAATTTTTGAAATATTGCTTTGCGAGGATATAGAGAATTGTATTAGGAATAGGGTGTCTGATAAGCAACACGGTTTTATTTGCGGAAGATCGACCGTTTCCAACTTGTGTGTTTTTACAAGTTTTGCTTCTGAAGTTATTATGAGTAAGGGACAGATGGATGTAGTGTACACAGATTGTGAAAAAGCTTTTGATAAGGTGAGTCACCGTCTGTTGTTGGGAAAGCTCTCGGACTTTGGATTCTCCAGGAACTCATGTATTTTTCTGAAATCTTATCTGTCATCCAGGAGTCAGCGGGTGAAAGTTGGAGATTCTTTATCCGGGGGTTTCTTGGCAACATCAGGTGTTCCACAGGGCAGTAACTTAGGGCCCATACTTTTTACCATTTATATAAACGACTTACCAACTGTGCTATGCCATTCTGAGTGCCTACTCTTTGCTGATGACTTCAAGGTTTTTAAGGCCATCTCGACTGAACAGGACTGTTTAGATTTTCAAATTGATTTGAATGCAGTATCAAAATGGTTTGTTGAAAACGAAATGTCACTCAACGTTGAAAAGTGCTGTACTATGACCTATACTCGGAAGAACAAATTTCTTGAACATGAATATTTAATAGAGAATAGACCGCTTCAAAGAAGAGATGGTATTAGAGACCTGGGAGTCAATATGCAATCTAATTTAAAATTTAATGACCACTACAGACATATTGTGAATAAAGCACTTAAGAAACTTGGTTTTGTGATTAGAAATTCAAGGAACTTTGTAAACTGTGATATCAGTGATCCTACTGTACAATGCCCTGGTGAGGTCCCAGTTGGAGTATGCCTCCATCATTTGGTCGCCCCGGACGCTGTCCAGCTGTGACCCTCATCGAGCGTGTACAGAAAAGGTTTTTGAGATATTTGTATGTGCGACAGAATAATGCTTATCCTTATATGATCTCATATGTGTCTATGCTTAAGATTTTAATTTCCAAAAGCTGGAAGAACGAAGGCAAATCCAAGCTGTGATATTTGTATTTAATATAGTTAATAACCTAAGATATGGCGATTGTTCGTTGATCAATTTTATACCATTTTATGTACCAAAAGTAGGATTAAGAATGAGAAAGGAAAAACTATTTCAATGTGAAATAAATGGTTGTTCACCCCTTAATTTTATGCTCCTCCAGTGCAATGAATTGATCCTTAAGACTGATATTGATATGTTTAATACTAGTGTTAGGAATATTGTTGCAGCATTTAATGTCATAGTCTAATAGTTAAGTTTATAGTATTGTTGTTGATTTTTTGTTTGTTTACCCTCTCTTACATGTAATTACCATATACTGTGTGTTTGTAAGATTTTCTCTAATAAATAAATAAATAAATAAATAAATAAATATTATATATCATGGAAATAATATAACGTATTTTAGGGTAATGAGTATTGAAGATGACACTGATTAAAAATACTTTCAATAAAAAAATATATGTATAAAAGACTTTACGGCTTAAAAAAAGGCGTCAGAGATGGCTTAAAAATGAACATCGCTGTAATTTTGTATGCAAAAATATGTGGCGATTGTCATTGATCGTCATTTTCTATAATTTTTTTCTGTCAAGCGCACCCCAACTTCGTTTTGATCCCCAAATTCTTTTTTTTTATCATACGGTATATGAAAATATACATACAGTACGTTTGTCCGTTCTGTAGCTATGGAGTATCCGTGGAAACGATTTTCGTAAAAAATTAGACGACGCGTCCCATCAATAAAAATTCGACAAATCTGCAAGTAGCCAATAAAATGAGTGGGCGGAGCGATTTGCGGTGACGTACTCGTCAATTCGACGTATAAAATATATTGTTGTTTATTTAAATGTTTTTGTCCGCATTCCTTTCATAGACACAGATCCAGCAGATGTACTGTACGTTTATTAAAATAAGAGAGCCTTTTCGTGACCTCTAGATCTAGATTATTCTGTATATAATATATTTTTTGAAATATGGCGTTATTTTTCAATAAAATGTATTGCACTACAAAAATTCTTTAAAAATACTGTATACCGGGTGCGTCTCAAAAGTGGCTCACCCCTATAACTTTTTTATTTTTTCAGTAAAATAAACGATATTTAGTATGTTAGTATATGACATAAATTAGGATTGATTGACGTATTTAATTGTTTTCGGTCACTTCCTGTTTCACCGGAAATGACTACAACTTTTGGTTTTTAAATGAAACCCTCGGTATATTTTTACTTTATTCAATAGAAAATAACACTCTGAATAGAATGACATATCATCTGTCAACTTTTGACATTTTCGCATATGGTTTATTTGAAATTATAACTGCGGTTCGTCACGAAAATTTGACTTGAAATACCTAAGTATGTGGTATATATAGTAAAACGTTCCATTTGAAAAAATTGAGATATGATTAAAAATACGATTTGAGCATTTTCTAACTGGCCAGGATAAAACACTAAAAACATTAGACGATCAAATCTATTTTTCCAAGGGTTCTTGATTAAGAATTAGTGTTTTTAACCTAGCCATGGCACTCTAAATTGAATTTTAAAATACGATTTTTTATTAAGCGAGAATGTCAAAAGTTGACATAATGATATGTCATTCTATTCATAATGTCATTTTTTATCGAGTAAAGTAAAAAAAAATACCGGGGTGCCATTTAAAAATCAAAAGTTGTAGTCATTTCCGGTGAAACTGGAAGTAACCAAAAACAATTGGATATGTAAATCAATCCTAATTTATGTCATATATTAACATACCAAATCTCGTTTTTTTATTTGAAAAATTAAAGAAGTTATAGGGGTGAGCCACTTTTGAGACGCACCCGGTATAGATTATTTTTCATATTTAATATACATGTAAGGCTGGTCAATATTTTACCCAAACTTAAAGTCTTTTTCTTTTCTTTTCTTTTAGTCAAATGACAGAGCTCAAAGAAGACTGGTTAAGAACTCATTTATTGTTGAGCATGTAGATGGTCACAGAAAATTGAGACATTTGTTCTTGTTCAATGATGTTATAGCCTGTGCCAAGTATAAGGTATTCATGTTATGATAATTTACGTCTTTATCACTCATTATAACTGATTTGTTTATTTTCTTAGTCTTCTGGAAGAAACGAAAAATATACTTTTGAACTGAAATGGTTCATTCCAGTGGAAGATATATTAATACTGGAAGAAACCACGGCAAATCTACATGAAACCTCACAGTCAAATATTGTATCATTAAAATCTCAGGCTTCCAATGTCCGCGATCAGCTCAGGCAAGAGGAAAAACTGAACGAAGAGAAGGTAATTTTGTTTTTGTTTTGAAGATACTCATAACTTTGTTTTTTCTTTATTTTCTATTATTAATTTTTATTTTATTTTTTATTTATTAGCATCGTTCCAAATTGAGCAGGGGCTCTGACAAATTTCGAAAAAGACTGGTAGAACTAGAAAGTCAATTAGTGTTAGTTTCGCCGAATTTGGTTTATAGAATCAAAAACAGGACAACTGGGAGAACGTACGTGTTCTTTTTATCCAGCGATTTTGAGAGAAATCAGTGGATTGAAGCCATCCAGACTTTACAGGTAATATAGTAATGTCTTTTTATAATAACTAAAAATTGTTGTTAAAAAAGTTGCTAGGCTATTAAATATGTTTAAAATAAATATATTTACTACAATAGATAAAAAATCATATATCTCAGATAAATATATTTTTTTTACTTGGCTGATGGTTGAGATTTATAAAACTTATAAATATAGGCTTGTGGAAAAAAATGTTAGTAGGTGTATTTAAAAAATATAGTATGAGATCATGATCTTAAATTTGAACTACTTCTCGTACTAAAGAAATTTTTAAATTTATTTTTCATGTATTTTGGACAATTATACCACTTTACTTTTAATCATTTTAGATTTTCGTTGCTCCTAGTTATACCAAACAATATACTGAATTTAAGACTAATTTGTTCATAGTTTCACAAGTGGAGCTTTTTTGTGTATTCTGGAAAATTAAATCAGTTACTGTTGAGTAAAATCCACATTTTTAATCTCCCCTGTATTCCAAACATACTGAAATTTTAACCAGTTTATTAAGAGTCTTCAGATGCAGAGACTTTATCAAGAATACCTTTTTATTCTTTTATATGTGCAAATTCAGGGTTGTGTGAAAAGGGACAAATGTTTTGGCACTTTTTTCTTGCGTGTATTTTACACTTTTGAAGCTCCCCTGTATATTAAATCAAACAGCACACCGAAATTTAAACTAGCTTATTAACAGTTCCTAGAGATGCAGAACCTTACCCATAGATTGGGTTGTACAAAAAAATAAATAAAGAAGTGTTCAATATTCAATTATTATTTTCTAGTAAATATCTGATTCTTTAAGTATAACAAGCACTGAAAAATATACCTCTCTCTCTTTGGTCCGTTTCCCTGAAGAGGGATTAGTGACTATGATGTTCCTGTAGCGGTTTTTATCGTATTGGGCCAGTCCGCTCTGTTTTGAGCCATGCTGACGGTTTCATGAAGGCCTTGGCCGATTAGGTCTTTAGTTTGATCAACCCATCTCTTGGGTGATCTTCCTCGTGGTCGCTTTCCCTCTACCTTTCCCTCGACTATTAGCGGCTGCATTGAGTCCGTTCTTCTATTAGTGTGCCGGTACACCAAGGGATTATGAAAGTTTTTGAAACATCTCGGATTTTTGCAGTTCCGATAAGTAATGGTTTTATTTTATGCGACCCTGAGGCATTGGCGCCTCCCAGAAATGTAACTCTTCATTTGGCTATTTTGAGTCCAGGTGCAGTTTTTTCGGTTAGTGATACATATGTTTTATCAGGTAACAATTGCCAATACAACCCAGTTTCATCAGCATTGCACAACTGGTGCTCATTTAATTCATATTTTTCAATCACCATTTTTAGTTTTTCTTTAAATGGATTAATAAGTTCTGGCTGACTTGGCAGTTTTTCTCCGGTTATTTTTAAAAACCTTACCCCATACCGTTCTTTAAACCGTTGCAACCACCCATCACTTGCTTTAAAGCTGCTAACTTTTAAACTGGAACTTAAACTCAAAACTTTTTGCTTTATCATCTCTCCAGAAACTGGCATATTTCCCTCGCATTTTTTTGTTAATTTAGACGCACAACTTGCAACTCTTTCGCCAATTCTTCTTTTTTTGTTTTTAATTAAACACACTGTTGATTATATTGTACTTTTTTGCCAAAAGCGTCACGCCTAACCCTTTACCCTAACATCTTCTAAAAGTTTCGCTTTCTCATGAAGAGAGAGACATTTTGATTTGCCTTTCACTTTAACCATTTTAAATTATTACAGTTAAAGAGTTATTAAACACTTTATAGACTCTGTTTAGGAAACTAGCTGCGTTCACATCTGCAATGAATTTGAACTCTCTAACAGACACAAAATAGGAAAAAAACAAGATCTAACAAGTTGTTCATATTACCGAGATTTCAGGCTGTTCATACTATAGAGTAGTCAATGAAAAAATTATTGTGTTCATATTACTGCGTGTTTATACTATCGCGATTGTACTGTATAACTAAAATGTAAGATTTTTACATATTTAACATTTTAAAAAATAAAGAAAAATGAAGAACAAATTTTAAATTTTAATAAAAGCTATCTAAATTGGAATTTATCTGGTATAGACTAATAAGTAGTTAAAACAGCCGTTGTACTTTAAATTAAATTAAAACTTGACCTTAAAAGTCATACAGGGCGAGACAAAATTAGTATTGAACATTGTCACTGTTAAAAGCAAGTTTTATGATAAATAGAACACCCAGTGTATTACTTCGATATTCAATAGGAAAATCATGTCTCTTCAAAATACTATTAAGGTTGCCTATCCCTCAAAAAAAGACTTTTCAGATATTTTTGCTGCTGTAGGCTAAGATTCCATTTTCGGCAAATTTCTGCGATTTTTTTTTGTTTCAACTAACTGATAATGATAACTAATTGGTCAAGCTGAACAAATCTGACAGCTATGTTGAATTAACGAAAAGCATATCACAACCATTTGTAGACAAAAACTTAATAGTATTTTGAAGAGACATGAATTCTCCATTGAATATCGGAATAATATACTAGGTAACCCATTTAAAATACAAATAACTTGCTTTTAAAAGCGACCAATGTTCAATATTAATTTTGTCTCACCCTGTATAACTTTTCGGATCAAATTTTAATTTAGTTTAACATACAACGGTTATTTTAACTAAATATTAGATTATACAGGGTAAATTACAATTTAGGTAGCTTTTATCGAAATTTAAAGTTTATTTTTCATTTTCAAATAATGTTAATTATGTTAAAAACATTACATTGCAGTCATATCCTTCTTTAATGAAATTCGCCTTTATTTTTTTTTTCTTGAACCCGATAATCAATTAATATATAGGGTGTTCGATTACAAAACAGAAAACTTTGATGCTTAACTTTTTTTGGGGACACCCAGTAAAACTTTATATTTTCATAAAATGCTTTCAATTAATCTACATGATCCTAACATTTAACTCCATTACAAACTACCACCGTTCTCCTTGGAGCCTTCGCGTCGTATGAGAGGCGACACCCTGTATTTTTATATATTTTTATTCTCTTTTTCAGGCATCAAACATATCGCTTTATGGTGCTTTTCTAAGTAATTATGGCCAGGCATTAGATACAATAAGAAAATGCCGGGCCAGCAATACACAATTTGCTGAAATTGCTGGGAATGTTATGTGCAAACATTTAGCAGATTTACCAATTAATTTGGAAGATCTCCTTCACAGACCAGTTGCAAGGTAATTTTTTTTATTAATATTTAATTTTTTTTTAATTTTTCTCCTGAACTTATTCTAGGGTTCAGAAAAATGCATTGGTTTTGCATGATCTCCAAAATGCATTCCAGTTAACCATCAGATTACCATAGCATCACCGATGCTTTGAATATGACCCAAAATTTCTTGGATCAGTTCAATATGATACAGACAAAATCAATGTTTCCAGTAAGTAAATAATTAAATTATAACTGCTAAAATTCGGAGGTTTATTTAAAACAAAATACAGTAATGTTATTATTAGTTTTAGTATAAGGAAATAGTAAACATTTTTTTAATTTTATTTTTGTGTTTATTCTCTACCTTGTGGGCACAATAATAAAGAAAAATAATATTTAAATATTTATTTCAAAAATATATAAATTCTAATTTTATTAAAAATCAAGTTTTTTTTGCTATAATTTCTTCATGGACCAAGATTTTTTCTATTGAAATAAAATTTTACTGAGTAATTTTATTCTCGCGCTTCACTATTTATTAGTTGTATGCCATTAAGAGGACACACCTATGTACAACAACAATAGAAGATGCGTTATTTAATTTCACAACATTTTTTTCTTCCTTAAACAATTTAATAAATATGATTTATTGTCCTTTGTGGCAGCTGAAAATTATTCAGCTGCGTAAATATAAATGCTGCATAAAATAAACATGGATTTTAGTAGGTATAAACTTGATTTATCACAAGAGAAAGTTGGCTAAAACTCGTCTATTTTTGTCATGAAATACAGCGTGTTCTATATGAAATAGTGGAAAAATACATATGGTTTATACTCGCACTGTATAGTCTATAAAATGAATAACTTTGAATTTTGACCATTATTTCTTACCAACACGGCAAATATAAAATCCCTCTGTCAAAAAAGTTACTGATATTCTTTAAATTGAGTGCCTGATCGAATCAGATAGGTAACTCTTTTTACTTTCGTGAAATAGAAAAGGAAAATAATAAAACAAGTGACAGTTGTTCCTCTTCTTCCAAAAATCAACCCAAAATGTCATAATGGTCAAAGGTAAAATGTCATCAGCTTTTGACATTTCTAAATATCAGACCAATGCCGTCTCTAATAGAACAGCCTCGGAGCGAGATTTATGACGTCACGCTAATTAGATACTATGGATTAATAAATATGTTGTAGAATACATGGAAAACATAACTATTCCTCGTATTTTTGGTTTGTATTTTAAAATCAAAGTTTGTTTTTCAAATACAAACCAAAAATACGATATATATACATAATAATTATGTTTTCCATGTATTCTACAACATATTTATTAATCCGTAGTATCTAACTAGCGTGACGTCATAAATCCCGCTCAGAGGCTGTTCTATTAGAGACGGCATTGCGTCAGCATGGCTGCAAGTTGCTAACTTAATAAAATAAACACTAAAAAAGCCCGCGGGAACTGTCAAATTCAAAGTTATTCATTTCACAGACTATATATGTATATCATGGAAATAATATAACGTATTTTAGGGTAATGAGTTTTGAAGATGACACTGATTAAAAATACTTTCAATAAAAAAATATATGTATAAAAGACTTTACGGCTTAAAAAAAGGCGTCAGAGATGGCTTAAAAATGAACATCGCTGTAATTTTGTATGCAAAAATATGTGGCGATTGTCATTGATCGTCATTTTCTATAATTTTTTTCTGTCAAGCGCACCCCAACTTCGTTTTGATCCCCAAATTCTTTTTTTTATCATACAGTATATGAAAATATACATACAGTACGTTTGTCCGTTCTGTAGCTATGGGGTATCCGTGGAAACGATTTTCGTAAAAAACTAGACGACGCGTCCCATCAATAAAAATTCGACAAATTTGCAAGTAGCCAATAAAATGAGTGGTCGGAGCGATTTGCGGTGACGTACTCGTCAATTCGACGTATAAAATATATTGCTGTTTATTTAAATGTTTTTTGTCCGCATTCCTTTCATAGACACAGATCCAGCAGATGTACTGTACGTTTATTAAAATAAGAGAGCCTTTTCGTGACCGTCTAGATCTAGATTATTCTGTATATAATATATTTTTTGAAATATGGCGTTATTTTTCAATAAAATGTATTGCACTACAAAAATTCTTTAAAAATACTGTATACCGGGTGCGTCTCAAAAGTGGCTCACCTCTATAACTTTTTTATTTTTTCAGTAAAATAAACGAGATTTGGTATGTTAGTATATGACATAAATTAGGATTGATTGACGTATTTAATTGTTTTCGGTCACTTCCTGTTTCACCGGAAATGACTACAACTTTTGATTTTTAAATGAAACCCTCGGTATTTTTTACTTTATTCGATAGAAAATGACCCTCTGAATAGAATGACATATCATCTGTCAACTTTTGACATTTTCGCATATGGTTTATTTGAAATTATAACTGCGGTTCGTCACGAAAATTTGACTTGAAATACCTAAGTATGTGGTATATATAGTAAAACGTTCCATTTGAAAAAATTGAGATATGATTAAAAATACGATTTGAGCATTTTCTAACTGGCCAGGATAAAACACTAAAAACATTAGACGATCAAATCTATTTTTCCAAGGGTTCTTGATTAAGAATTAGTGTTTTTAACCTAGCCATGGCACTCTAAATTGAATTTTAAAATACGATTTTTTATTAAGCGAGAATGTCAAAAGTTGACATAATGATATGTCATTCTATTCATAATGTCATTTTTTATCGAGTAAAGTAAAAAAAAATACCGGGGTGCCATTTAAAAATCAAAAGTTGTAGTCATTTCCGGTGAAACTGGAAGTAACCAAAAACAATTGGATATGTAAATCAATCCTAATTTATGTCATATATTAACATACCAAATCTCGTTTTTTTATTTGAAAAATTAAAGAAGTTATAGGGGTGAGCCACTTTTGAGACGCACCCGGTATAGATTATTTTTCATATTTAATATACATGTAAGGCTGGTCAATATTTTACCCAAACTTAAAGTCTTTTTCTTTTCTTTTCTTTTAGTCAAATGACAGAGCTCAAAGAAGACTGGTTAAGACTCATTTATTGTTGAGCATGTAGATGGTCACAGAAAATTGAGACATTTGTTCTTGTTCAATGATGTTATAGCCTGTGCCAAGTATAAGGTATTCATGTTATGATAATTTACGTCTTTATCACTCATTATAACTGATTTGTTTATTTTCTTAGTCTTCTGGAAGAAACGAAAAATATACTTTTGAATTGAAATGGTTCATTCCAGTGGAAGATATATTAATACTGGAAGAAACCACGGCAAATCTACATGAAACCTCACAGTCAAATATTGTATCATTAAAATCTCAGGCTTCCAATGTTCGCGATCAGCTCAGGCAAGAGGAGAAACTGAATGAAGAAAAGGTAGAATTTTTTCTTGAAAATATGATAATGATTTTTGTTTTATTATATTTATAAAATATGTTATTTATTTATTAGCATCGTTCAAAATTGAGCAGGGGCTCTGACAAATTTCGAAAAAGACTGGTAGAACTAGAAAGTCAATTAGTGTTAGTTTCGCCGAATTTGGTTTATAGAATCAAAAACAGGACAACTGGAAGGACGTACGTGTTCTTTTTGTCCAGCGATTTTGAGAGGAATCAGTGGATTGAAGCCATCCAGACTTTACAGGTAACTTTACAGGTTGTTAAAAAAATCGCTAGGGTATTAAATATGTTTAAAATAAATATATTTACTACAATAGATAAAAAAAGCATATATTTCAAATAAATATTTTTTTTTCCTTGGCTGATGCTTGAGATTTATAAAACATGTAACATGTAAATATAGGTTTGTGAAAAAAAAAGGTAATAGGTGTATTTAAAAAAGGTAATATGAGATCATGATCTTAAAATTTGAACTACTTCTCATACTAAACAAATTTTTAAATGTATTTTTCATGTATTTTGGACAATTATACCACTTTACTTTTAAGCATTTCAGATTTTTGTTGCTCCCCTGTATACCAAACAATATACTGTATTTAAGACTAGTTTGTTCATAGTTTCACAAGTGGAGCTTTTTTGTGTATTCTGGAAAATTAAATCAGTTACTGTTGAGTAAAATCCACATTTTTAATATCCCCTGTATTCCAAACATACTGACATTTTGACCAGTTTATTAGGAGATGCTTCAGATGCAGATACTTTATCAGGAATATCTTTTTATTCTCTTATATGTGCAAATTCAGGATTGTGTGAAAAGGGACAAATGTTTTGGCACTTTTTTCTTGCGTGTATTTTACACTTTTGAAGCTCTCTTGTATATTAAATCAAACAGCACACCGAAATTTAAACTAGCTTATTAACAGTTCCTAGAGATGCAGAACCTTACCCATAGATAGGGTTGTACAAAAAAATAAATAAAGAAGTGTTCAATATTCAATTATTATTTTCTACTAAATATCTGATTCTTTAAGTATAACATGCACTGAAAAATATACCACTTGAGTGAATTTTACATATTTGCAGTTTAAAGCTCCTCTGTATATCAGTCATAAATCTAAAATGTTTACAAGTTTTTTAGTATTTTATTGAGATACACATTTTTTTCAAGAATATAAATTTCTTATCAACTACCTTTTTATTGTCTCAAGCTTTTTACTTTTTTCTAGATTATCTATTAATTTTTGACAGATTTTTTTATGTTAATGTTTAATAATAAGATATACATGACATAGAAATTATCGCCAAAAGTTTCACTTATTGTGGCGCTTTTTTCTGTCAAACAATACGTTGAATATTATTTCTATTAATTTGAACAGAGGACAGAAAGGACTGGAAAGCAGCCGAACAACGCGTCTCAATTCAGCATGTTTGAATTACAAACATGGATTACAGCGTGCAGACAGTTTTTGAAAACCAACATGGGATCGTACTTATTGAGAAGCGGCAACGACGAAAGTCTTCTCGTAGGGGATCTGCACGTACACATCTCCGATTTAGTTGGACTAGAATATTCCTGTGGTAAGTCAACAGAGAAGAAAAATTAGCGTTTTATTAGTAAAATAAAACACTAAATCACCACAATACACCAAAACACTTTTACTTTTACACTGGACGCACGTTTCGCTAACCATGTTAGCATCATCAGCAGATGATTATAAACTGAAATACAATCTACAATTGGAGTGTTTATATACTCGCTCAGTGGGCACAGAGTGGGCGTGGCAAGATCTAGCCAACCGAGTCAGAACCCACCGAGCGTAACAGTTAGATTTCCGCCACTAGAGTAGTAACTTGAAGGAATTGGACCGTTGTCTCTGTTCATACTATCTTTACATTTATTAATTCTGATGCTTTCATATGCATCTAATTGCCTGTAATTTGAGACTTGTTTTATTAGTGTTCTGTACGCCATGACAGAGAAACATTTTTAACTAATTCTTTGCTTACCTATTTCAATTTTTTTTTGCTATTCTTACTTTTTTTTCTATAGATCTTTACGTTTGTCTGGAAGTTGACTTCTATGGTCATTTCTTCCAAAAGGCCAAAACAAAAGTTTCTAAAAATTCTCAAACGCCCCACTGGAACGAGAACTTCGTGGTAGATCTGGAAGGTTGCGAGAATTTGCGAATTCTCATATACAGGGCGAACGAAAATCCGACGCAGGACACTTTATTCGGGAAGCATACGATAAAGTTGTCGCGAAAATGGTTGAACGAACAGCAGACGACTGAAAGGAAACTTACGGTAAAATTTAACGAAGAAATTGAAATTTTAACGATAAAATATATTTTTTATCTTGTATTTTCAGATAAATAGTTGTATATTTAGAATGGATCTTCGATACGTTCCTTGTGAAGTGAGTCTTAGACGAGTACCGACAGGCAAAGTGGGAGCTTTGTTTGGAGAAAAAATACTGGCTGTGTGCAAGTAAGTTTCAACTTGATTGAAATCAACCGATTTGGTCATTTTAGAAGTGTGGTCTGGATTTTAACGTCTAACACAGAGAATAATATAAATGCCTGGTTGACAGACAGAGAGACAAAATTAAAAGCGGCATACAGTGTTGCCGGTTTTTACGTTTGTAGGAAAATTTGTGTTGAAAAAAAAACTATTTTTAAAACTTTCATGTATATTACTGAAATGAACATAGTATATCTAAGTTAAATATAATCTATTACATCTGTAGTAAAATGAGTAACTCATTATGATTAACATTTTCCATAAACGCCTACTTGTGCTGTTTGAACTTTTGATGCAAAATCCAGCAATACCGAAATGTATCAACCCAACTTTTATCTCTTTTTAATACATTTGATTTTAAATTATTAAGCTGTCTACATCACTGTCTTACACGTTAAAATTCAGGCCACACTTCTAAAATGACCAAATCGGTATACAAATTTTAATACTATCTTTATAGTACAGGATCCGGCTGCAGGATTATTATGCTCATCATATTTTTAATCAAAGGGATTTTTAATTCAGGATCTGGCATTCTCATGAGGCGCCCAAACCATTTCAGCGATCTTATCTCTTTTCTATCACCAACCATATCCTGAGCATCCATTCTTCTTCTGACTTCTTCGTTGCATGCACACTCTCTTCTAGATACTTGTGCGTTTTGCCTGAGGTAGTCCATTTCGGTAGCAAGAAGTTTTTTGTACTAGTCAGAGTTAGCAGTCCTTACCTCACATCCATCGCACAAGACGGATTTAATCAGACTCTTTCCCAGTCGCTTTTTGTTCATAATGGATATGTGGTTATCCCACCAAACTAAGTTTAAACATCCTATTACTCGTTCTGAATCCTTACATTAATTTCCTGTTGTTTGAGGCCTTTTTTTAAATATTAACGTCCAAATATTTAAATTGTTTGACCTGATTAAACTGACTTGATCAAACTGCATTATTCAACCACAGTTTGCAATTGGTTTCTGAGTTAGCCACCAACATTTCTTAAAACTGATTTTTAATCCCCATTTCTTTGATATTCTTAGATTATCTTTTAAAATACATCTCTAATTACAGGAGGCAGAAACGAAACATTCCGTTTATTATAACGGCTTGTATAAGAGAAGTTGAAAGAAGAGGCATGTCAGAAGTAGGAGTTTATAGGGTTTCAGGGTCTGCTAGCGACATTTCGAAGTTAAAAAAGTCATTTGAAACAAGTAAGTCTACCCCTATTAGATATTATTTGATTAGTTCACGTGACAGGTACCTCATTAAAAGTATACAATAAACGGTTTGTTCAAGTAAAGTGACGCCAAGCGGATTCTACAGCTTATTTACAATATAATACAAACTTTGCGAGCCCGGACCTCTTTTTTAACATATAATTTAACAGGAAATGAACTACTAGAAATTTATCTGTTAATACACATTCTTTTATTCGTTTGATATTCGCATTTTTGTCTATGCTTATACTATGTTATAGCACAATTTGACATTTTTTATTAACATGAAACCACAGAATATTTTAGCTATATGAAAGGGACAGCGAGTGTCAGCTCCCATATTTCATCATAAGATAAGAAGTCACATATTTTAACAAATTCACTGTTCACGGAAAAATGTTTATAATTTTATTGAAAGGTTTATATTTTTTTGTAAAATGTGTACTTATATATTTTGGAAATATTAACCTGGGATGGGAATTTAAGCTTATCTTCTTTTTTACGTTTTGATGTAATGTTTACATTAAAAAAACCATAAAGTCCAAAAAAAATCTGAAGATTTTTTACTTCCTTTGGTTTCTACACAAATGAAAAAAATATATTATTGATAGAAAATTTTAGCAGTTTATAAGAGTGTTTTACTAATCTGAAAAAGTGTTTTTGTTTTTTATAAAAAAAAATATTTTTTACACGTAAAAAGTTTCATTTTTCATTATGCTTTTTTACATGTTCATTCTTCATATTAACCATGAAGTAAACTTTCAACAACTACGATATTATTTCAGATTCATATGAAGCTGAACAGCTTTTAAAAGAAGTAGACATACATTCTGTGACAGGAATTCTAAAGTTATATCTTAGGGAGCTTCCTGAGGCTCTATTTACAGACCACTTATATCCGGAGCTGTTAGAGGTTTTTAATCAAAGCAATGGCAATTTAATAAAAAGGACCGAGTTGTTGAAGTCGTGCTTTGAGAAATTACCGTTGCAGAACAGAGAGAGCATTAAATGCATCCTAGATCATCTGATGAGGTTAGTATAACAAAAAACCATGTCTCAGAACTTAAGGACGAGAATGCTTAATTTTTTAACGTTTCCTTAAGTTTAATGGTAGTGTTATATGATAATTTTAATTTACACGTATTATAACTCACAATATTTTAATTTAACGGCTCAAAAAACTTCCACAATGCACTGGATTTTGATAAGATATTTAGGTATTTTTAAAAATGCAATTCCTGTTGGTATTTTGATCTAACTACCATTTATTCACAAAAGCGTTCTCTTTCAGGGTACACGCTTATGAGGAAGACAATAAAATGTCGCTGCACAATTTGGCAACCGTGTTCGGGCCCACGTTATTGCGTCCCGCCCTGACCAAGCCCGACAGCACCAAGAAAGATGGCCAGAGACAGCGAGAGAACTTGGCCGCTGGCACGGTGGACGTTATGGCACAGGCGGGCATTCTCTATTGTTACTTGTTAGATTTGAACGAGACGCAGAAGATTAACAGGAGGTAGTTTACTTTTACACAGTACAATATACGCTATTAAGTATTTTATATTTATTTAATTTATAAGGGCATAATACAATTTCGAGTTTAAGAGACGCGCGAGAAGTTATACGACTGCATTATATCAATGCTTTAGTGATGTTTATACAGTTATTATACAGTGGTGGCTGAAAAGTTGAAAAGAAATTGGAATTTTATTACTGAGTTGTCAAAAAATGTGAAATTGATGAAATCTGTCCAGTATCAAAAGAAATATATTGACATATGTCATGTGTCTTATGTCGTATATGTCTGTCATTGCTGTAATTTACAAAAATGCATTTTACATAAATATGAAAAAAATGGAGTTGATATAAGAAGAAATTGAAAGTTTACTTATAGTCTGCGCAAATGGGGGATCCCTGACAGTGACAGTTATGTCTTATCGTTTTAAATCGCAGATAAATTGTATTTTCTGTCATTTTTTGGATGTCGTCTGTCGAAATCTTTCCTTAGATGTGTTAAAAAATGAACCCAATTAATGACTTGGTGTGCAATTTATTGGAAACTCCCTTCAGACGGTGGACAGATGAAGATAAGAGGGATGTTTTATCTCAAGGGCGACCAACTGGAACTTTAACCATAAATTGCAAAAAAGAAATAAGAAAAAGTTTCTTTTAAGTATTTTGTATTTGACAGCCCCTAGATGTTAGCTGTCAACTTTGACTTGGTGCATTTTAAGTTGTTTTCAAAGCAGAAGTGATTGCCACAAAAAGATTTTTTTTAAAACTCTAATATAAAAAAACTCCATATGGATCCAACTTTATGGTGGACCCTGTATATAATGTTTATTATATTTAAAACTGGTTGTATCTCTTTTTACTTAATGCGTTTTAGCCATAAATTGCAAACTAAATGGAAAATATTATAGGTAATAGTGTATAAATAATAACAAAAAAATTTTTGACAAAATGGTGAATGCACCAAAAATTGTTCAAATAATAATTTAAAAAATGTTGACAAAATGGTGAATGCGCTAAAAAAATTCGCCTGCGGTGCAATTTAAAAGAAAAATCTTTACTTAATTTTATACCCACGAGCCGCCACTGTTTTTTTGTTATTATGTACTTACTGTCTTGACATTTGGAAATGACGTATGTCACAATAATTTTTAGGTTACTGAACATGCTGAATTAATTTTACATAAAATATTTTGATTGATAACTCAACAATAAACAATATTCCTATTTGTTCAGAACTTTCGTGGACACTAAAACTATTCCATTAGTTTGTAGACGTTTTATTTGAATGTATATTTAACGTAACTGCGCTAGATAAGGTTTATTATGGTACATATTTAATTTTTCCTGAACGTAAATATAACGTATACATAATGATATATTATATAGACTGTTTCTTAGTGGACCACTAAAGACTTAGGAATCTATTTAATTTAGTTTTTTTTATACTGAGTTGTAAAAAAGTTTAGTTAGTTAATAAGTGTAATAGTTACACCTAATTTATTTTTCAAATCACAAAGCCGTCTCATTTTTCAGATATTAATCTAAAAATAGTTTTTCCTTTATCAGTATTTTATTCTAAAGCGTGAACGGACATGAAACATTCTAAGCCCTTTACATTGTGGTATTTGTATTGTAGTCATTGCTATGGTAACTGCTACTATAGTAACAGTTATCGCGGCAACTATTACGATAGCAACGGTTACCATAGACGTTGACGTGGTAAACGTTATGGAATAAATTATGTTCCAATAACGTAAGTTTTTTTAGATAATTTAATATATTTAAATAAATTCAGATTGTTTATATTAGTGTGTTCAATAAGTGTTTATATGAAAGGTAAGTATTTAAATGGATTTGCAGTATTCAAAGAAATTCATTCAAATTTAGTTTTCCACTAATGAAAAAGATGTTATTGCCAAGATAGTGATAAAATCTATGAAGATTATAATGGTATTTTTAACAGTTTTAAGACTGAACTTGAGGATGAATGTTAAAAATAAAGTTAGCAATCAAGTTCTGATTATGACTATTGACAGTCTTCTACCAGATCCGTAGATTAGTATTAGACATATCAATCTAGTGATTTTTCTTAAATTTGATGTTAGATGACAAGTGACATAATTCCACTCCCACTTATTGTCATAGGTTTATACTTTTATTATTTTTTTTAACACAACTGTTCCTTTTAATGTTTTTAAATTTTAATGATCATCATGGTTTATAATATGTCCGTCCAAAATTAGTGTTTTGTGGCGAATTATTATTTTATTTAGCAAAGAAAATAGAAAGTATGGAAGTTAAAAAAAACAAATTCATTTAAAAAAACAACAATACAATAATTATAACCTGCCCAGGCTTTTTAGTTTAAAAGTCGATCGTTTTTTATTGTATTTTTTTTGGATGTTTGTCGAAATCGTATATCGTATATAGGATAGACATTTGTTGTCTGTCATTTTAATTCACAGATATATGGTATTTTCTGTCATTTTTTAAATTTTAATGATAATCATGGTTTATAATATGCACGTCCAAAATTAGTGTTTTGTGGCGAATTATTATTTTATTTAGCAAAGAAAATAGAAAGTATGGAAGTTAAAAAAACAAATTCATTTAAAAAAACAACAATACAATAATTATAACCTGCCCAGGCTTTTTAGTTTAAAAGTCGATCGTTTTTTATTGTATTTTTTTTGGATGTTTGTCGAAATCGTATATCGTATATAGGATAGACATTTGTTGTCTGTCATTTTAATTCACAGATATATGGTATTTTCTGTCATTTTTTTCTGGATTAAAGTCGATAATCATGGTTTATTTATAATATGCACGTCCAAAATTAGTGTTTTGTGGCGAATTATTATTTTATTTAGCAAAGAAAATAGAAAGTATGGAAGTTAAAAAAAAACAAATTCATTTAAAAAAACAACAATACAATAATTATAACCTGCCCAGGCGTTTTAGTTCAAAAGTCGATCGTTTTTTATTGTATTTTTTTTGGATGTTTGTCGAAATCGTATATCGTATATAGGATAGACATTTGTTGTCTGTCATTTTAATTCACAGATATATGGTATTTTCTGTCATTTTTTTTCTGGATTAAAGTCGATAATCATGGTTTATAATATGCACGTCCAAAATTAATGTTTTGTGGCGAATTATTATTTTATTTAGCAAAGAAAATAGAAAGTATGGAAGTTAAAAAAAAACAAATTCATTTAAAAAAACAACACAATAATTATAACCTGCCCAGGCTTTTTAGTTCAAAAGTCGATCGTTTTTTATTGTATTCTTTTTGGATGTTTGTCGAAATCGTATATCGTATATAGGATAGACATTTGTTGTCTGTCGTTTTAATTCACAGATATATGGTATTTTCTGTCATTTTTTTCTGGACATACTTTAATCCGAATTTTAATGTAGGATTAATATCTGAAATATGAAACAGCCTTAAAATGTTTCACTTAAATGAGAATTAATAGGACTTCTCTGTATTAAACTAAAGCATATTTATATTATAATGTATAATGTAACCCCATAGTTTAGTAACCCCTGTTCTACTATTCACACTGCCACTTTTATATGCTGCTGTTCAGAATTAAAATACAATATCTTAATATTGTGTCTGTATTTATACTATAGGCCTAGGTCATTTAAAATACATGGTCTGTATTTTAACATATTAATCTTAATGGTATATTATAAAACGATCTTAATGGATAAAGCAAACATGATATAGGCTTGGTGCATTCTCCGCTGGTGCTGCCACCATTGGAGAATATCGTAAACAACTAGTATATACAAATACACGGGTGTAAACAGCGAGTATACGAAAAAATTATATAATTATTTTAAAAGTGCTAGGAAGTATAATTTGTGAAAATTCTAAAAATAAAAATAAAAAAAACTAAATATTTTGATATCTTCAGAAGGTCTAATTTGTATTATAATTTATTATTCCAGCTAAAAAAACTTTTTAGATGAGTTCAACTACGGTAGCGAGCATAGTTTTAATCACCGGTTTTACTAGTGGAGTCATAATTTCTATTATTTCTATTTCGGCTATAACGAAATTTTTTAAAGGCACGTAATTATAATTTTAGATGTTCATAAAACATTTAATCACAAGTTGATTAAAAAAAGTATGTCATTAATATTGCAAATTATATTTTATCCTCTCATAGTATATGTCTATTTAATTTTTTGATTATGTTACAAGCACTTTGTTTACTCACTTGTTTCATCGAACTGCTTGAATCGATTTTTACTTTTGACCAAATCGGTGTGAGAATCTATGAAGCTATAAAATGTTGTTTCGGGAGTTACTTGCCGCTTGTAGGAACCGGCAACCCCGCACCTCTTTGTGTCTTTGTCTCTCAACTGGTTATAAGTTAAATTCTTTATCTTACACTTTAAATACAGACCATAGATTTAGAATAACCTAGTCTTTATAGTTATAGACTTTTCTATAGAACATGATGTGTTCTTTGTGGGTTATGTTATGTATTAATAAAGGTATTAATACTTTAGATAAAATAGATTCAAGATGTTGTCACTTATCTCGCAGAAAATTCGTAATTTTGTACGTTTATAACATAAAAAATGTGTTTAATGCGAGTGATGAAATTATAACCAAAAGCAGTACAAATTTGTACCATCCTGAGCGTTTTATCAACACATACATCGAATTCGAATTCTAGTCCAAAATTTGAAAAGTAAAGCATTGTTACTATAAAAGGATTGCAATAAATAAAGTCTTAGCTTCTAAAGTATCTAGTCAATCAGTGTTTTTTTTTCTAAAAAGTAAATTATAATAAAAGGCATTAGACACTTTTTTCACAAGTACATAGCTACCAGTTTGTTTATAGTATTGAATATAAACACTAAGGAAGGAGTTGAATATGACCGACTTGACTGAAGGTTCAATATGGCTGACTTGTCTGAATGTACAGAGGGTACACTTTATAAATTGACATATCCGAATTATTCTTGACTTGGAATGATCCCACGCAAAATAATTATCTGTTTTTGCAACCCCTTTCTAAGATTTGCAATAGTTTGGTATAATTCAAGTCCTGACACAATGTGTCTACAGATTTATACACTTTGCATAAAACATTAAATTCAACAAAATACAAATGAACTTGCAAAAATTCAAATTTGTCAAAAAAGTCACATAAAAGGTGTTCCAATATGTCTAATATGACGTCTCTTCTGTCATTAATATGTGAATATATGAAAATAACAATGACTCCTTTAGTGTTTTTATTCCCAGCGGTTTTTAGGATAAGTATAAAAACATTAATTTAGAAGGCATTATAAGTTAAGCAACATTTTTATATATAAACTGTTAGTACTTAGGATGACTTTTATACCAGCCCTTTTAAGCGAAAAATATGCCAGCTTCTTTTAGTGGCAACTATCTTTAGCAGCTCAATTCTTGGTTTTTAAGATGTAAAGAAAAACATATTTCGGCAATGTAATTCTTACGGTAAATTCAAGAATTGAGAAAACAAAATCATAATATACCCTCTTAATGTAAAAAGGGTGTGATATTTATGTCAAGGTATTTTCCATTATAGTAAAAATTAATATAAATTTTTGTATATAATTGTTGTGTGCTTCGCTTGATTTTGATTTGTTTTTTTTTGTAAATGTGTGAGTGAGTATTTATTAACGCAGACGATGTACTAGTTTCACCCTTTACCTAAACTATATTTTATATACATTTGTAAACAATAATAGCAATACAAATATAGAATAGATGTTTTTCCAAAATAGTGTTTTATTTTACTTATTATATTTTTCCTTAAAAATTGTTTTTAAATTTATTAACCTTCCAATAAGGGGCTTGGACCCAGTGGCACCTCGTCAGGGTAGGCAAGGTAGGCGGCGCCTACCCTAAGATTTTGGCAGAATTTAAGCGATTTATTACATTACATTATTTACTGTTAATTTTGCCAATACATCAAAATACTGTTAATACACGGAAGTGTGTTTTAATAATCAATATTATTTTAATATTTATGGTCTTGTATATTAATATATTCACTACCTCTGGCGTACGCTGACCGCTGACTGTGCAGCTGCGTTAGAAAACAAAATAATTTTGACCGTTGGGGTGCCTTTGTTCGGCGATTTCTACATCGCCTGTCAGAGTCGATGCACGACGTACGGCAGTCTTCTGTCTCTGTCTAACTCAACGTGCGGTAGCTACGCGACGTAAGTCGGAGTTGTATCATATTAAGGCGGGGCTTAGGCGAAATCTCCGGTCGCCTGCGCATGAAGTCGTGGAGACTCGGTAGGCTTAGATGTTAAGGGGATATTCCGGATATTTGATAAGGAGATATTATATCACATTTCGTTAAGGGGATATTTCATATGATTCATTATACGTACCGGGTATATTATACGGGTCACGAGCCGCCACTGGGAACACCCCTAAAAAGAAAATTCCACTTCTCCAAGTCCCAGTGGATGACATACCTAGAATTTACAACTTTGACAAACACCTTACTGTATATTGAGTAATAAAAAGGTTTGAAAGGGAGAAACGTTTGCCCAGCATGTAAAAGACCATACCATAACGTGGTATACTGATGCTTCCAAAACCAAAGCAGGGACAGGGAGTATTTAGGCCGAAAACAATACTCCGAATTAATGGGCACAGCATCCTTCAGGCAGAAATCTATGCTATCGAAAGATGCGTACCATTTATCTTAGATAGGAACTATCGAAAACGAGAAATAGTCATCTTATCCGATAGTTAAGCAGCACTAAACGCAATCAACTCAGTAACCATCAATTCGAAATTGGTCAAAGAATGTCTAGAGAAGCTGAACAAATTCTTCTTCTTATCACGCCCTCTCCTGCCGAAGGTTGGCGATCCAAATGGCAATTGTGGCTCTGGAAACTGCAGCCCGGGAGATTTCCGTAGACGAGTGTTCAAACCATCTCCTGAAATCTTTTAGCCATCAGTTCTGGCGTCTTCCTACTGATCTTTTCCCTTGCATTTTGCCCTCTATTATGAGGCGCAGTATTTCGTATTTCTCACCTCTCATCACATGACCCAGGCATTTTTCTTTCCTTAATAGTGTTCAGTATCTCTTTTTGTTTCTGCATGCGCTGGAGTACTTCATCGTTGGTGATCCTTTGTACCCATGAGATTCGCAGCATCCGTCTGTACACATACATTTCGAAGGCTTCTATTCTCTTTTCGGTCTGTGAATTTAGTGCCCATCTCTCATATCCATAGAGTAACATAGAGAAGACGTAGCATCTGGCCATTCGAGTTCTGAGTTCAGCACGTCTTGTCTTGTAAAAAATGATTTCATACGAAGATTTTTCTCACTTGCTCAATTGTTGAAAATATTTCTCTTTTCGGGTCGCACTGACTATTGATGTTAGCTCCTAAATACTTTATTGAGGTCACTTGATCGATTGTTTGTCCCTTGACACGCAGATGTGCATTTATTGGAGTCTTAGAAAAGACCAATAGTTTGGTCTTGGAGGCATTGAGACGCAGTCCAAACATCTCACTATAGTGGACTACGGGATCTATGATGCTTTGCAGTTCTTGTATATCCTTGGCTATTATAACCGTATCATCGACATATCTGATATTGTTTATTGGGATTCCATTGAACTTGATTCCGCCCTGGATTCGATCCAGTGCTTCTCTAAATATACAGTCTCCGAGTATAGGTTTGAGACCAACTGAACAAATTAGGCAAAGAAAATAAAGTCCTCCAACTCTGGATGCCAATTTGTGTAATGCTAATCGGTGTAAAAACAATCTTCGGATTGTCACGGGGTTTCTAACACGACTCAACGAACACCTCAGTACGTTGAAGCTGAGAAACAACGTCGAATGCAGATTCTGTGGGGAAGATGGGTTGTAATACAAGAACCAGAACACCTTAATTATCACTGAGTGCGCAGAGACGACAACCGTTCGTGCCATAAACTTTGGTACGGCTGATGTCGAAGATGGAGAGCTGGCTTCTGTGGAGCCGTCTCAGATACTATCTTACGTCAAAGCTCTGAGACTGTATGATGAGTTATAACTCGTTATAACTCAAGAAAGGGGAATACACAATAAATCTGTAAGGTCGCGGTGATTAACTCCGATGCCTATAGTTTGGAGTTCTGAGCCTGAATAAGGCTCGGCAGGTAGGTGGTAATTTTTCCCTTGCTCCTCAGCAGAACGACCGTGATGTTTGCCTCTTTAAGGATGTTTTCTCCCTTCACTGCAACCAGTAAGTACCTATATCCTCGCTTGGAGTCCTCTATTATTAAGTAAGAAATATTCACATAATTTTTCATAGGTACATAAATAATACAAAATATTAGGTTTTAATTATTAAAGCTTTATTCTCATTTATCAAACAACAAATGTTAAAAGGTAACATACAAAAAGGCACGGTTTTAGTAAAATTAATGAAATGGCATGAAAGAATTTTAATGCCTATTAGAGATGAAAATGGCACATTACTTAATGCTTAAACTAACAAAAAACAGTTATAATTTTAAGCTTACGATTAAGATCTACCAATTAATTTTCTAATTCTAATACATCCATATAAATGTCATTCACCGGCTCATCAAAGTTTTCATGGCTTAAACAACGAAGTAAGTACGTTTCTCGGTAATACGCAGAACAAAAAAATAATAATACATAAGTAAAATTACACGTTTATGTACATCTTTAAGTATAGTATGTCCCTCATAACTCGTCGAACTTCCTAATGGCTAGCTCGAGTTTTTCTTCAAGACTCGCCACTCTCTTCCTGAGTCGTATCAACTCTTTATCGTGTTTTCCTTCACTTTCCGTGTTTCTTCTGCTTCTTGCGTTCAATCTGCTGATGGTGTTTAGTTGTCCGGTATATCTAGATATCAAAAAAAATTATTAGTATAATTCAGCACAGGATTAGCAGCGCCGCAAGAGCCTTCTGGAAATTAAAAGACAGGTTTCCTACAATCATGACTTGAGCACAAAAATGAAACTTGCAGTGTACCGAGCAATAATAATTCCCACCATGTTATATAGAAGCGAAAACTGGGTGCCGTACTGCCGACACATGAACGCATTAAACAAGTTGCAACAGAGACACCTAAGACAACTCTTAAGAATCAAATGATTTCATCATGTCTCAAACGTATCGGTCCTTGAAAAAGCTAACTATGATTACAAAATCCCGCTTAAGATGGGCTGGTCACGTATGCAGAATGCAAGATATCCGCATACCAAAATCTCTTCTTTACGGTGAGCTTGTGGACGGTAAGAGGAGGCCGGGTGGACAACTCAAAAGGTACAAGGATATTGTCCACGAAAATTTAAAGGGGTTGCATGCAGGATAAGTGGGAAGAAACAGCTCACAATAGAAAGCAGTGGAGAAGAATTGTAAACTCAGTTAACAGAGACAACCAGAGACAAAGTAAAGAGGCAACAAAGCAATGATATGTTTGAATGTCCGGAGTGCGGTAGGCAGATATCATCACGTATCAGGCTTTTCAGTCACAGAAAATACCCCAGTCAAAATAAACAAAAAAAGGGGGTTAAATAACAATAATTCACATAGAGCTGAAAATTGGTACAGGTCTTAAATACTCATATAATATCCCCACCCCTCCCCCACGTCTGCTAAAAAAATTATTTAAGGTCAAAAGTCAAAAATATGTTTTTTTGCTTTTTTCTCCTAAATGATAAGCGCTATCGCAAAAGTACCTTACACAAATGTTGTAGATCATTAAATTTTATACAATAATGGTTCTTATACTTTTTTCTTACGAACCACCATTCCTGAGAGATGGCGATTTTAAAAGTTGAAAAACTCGTATTTTTCATAATATGCACACATATCCGCACCCACAGGTGATGATGGCGCGTTTTTTTAACGTGGTTTCCCCTGTAGGGCCTAGTCCACGATCTATTGTGGTTAAGTTTTATTACACATTATACTATTAATTTTAAAAAACGGTGCTCTTGGTAATGATTATAGTCGAACGGATTATTGTTGATTTTGGGAGAATTTTAATCTGAGTGGTAATCTTCAAATGATACTTCAACAGTAATGTCTGCGCAGACGTATTCAAAAAGATTGACTCTTCTCCACAAGTCATCATCACAAGTGGAATTCACTTGCTTCTTGCTATATATTGTGCTCCAAAAAAATGATTCTATGTATAGACAAGTATAGATATTTAAGTTTTCTTAAAAATACTCGGAACAATAAAATGGTACAACTTCCTTGTACATTCACGTACTCCACATCATCTGCTTCTGCCTGTCAACACTTATATCGTGTATATACTATCAAGTTCAATTGTCGCTAGACAATCAACTGAACCCTGAAGACTGGGGTTATAGATAATACTTTGGAGCTGATTAAAACTTTACTTCCACCTGCTCCAGAAAAACCACTTAACACAATTTTTTGCAATTGCAAAAATGGTTGTAGAGCAAACTGTGGTTGTAAAAGAGTCGAATTGTTTTGTACACCAATATGTACTAATTGTCAAGATCAGTCTTGCTCCAATATTGACTTAAATACAGATGAGGATTTTAATGAGGAGACAACTGATGCATCTGTCATAGATCGATTTCCAGATATTCCGCAAGATGAGAAAGAAAAGAAGAAAGCGAAGAAGACATTACTGTTGAAGTATCATTTGAAGATTACTACTCAGATTAAAATTCTCCCAAAAGCAACAATAATCCGTTCGATTATAATCATTACCAAGAGTACCATTTTTAAAATTAATAGTATAATGTGTAATAAAACTTAACCAAAATAAATCGTGGACTAGGCCTACAGAGGAAACCACGTTAAAAAAATGCGCCAAGTACCTACACTACTTCACAGATGGTGCGGAAATGTGTGCATATTATGAAAAATACGAATTTTTCAACTTTAGAAATCGCCAAGGAATGGTGGTTAGTAAGAAAAAGTATAATAACCATTATTGTAGAAAATTTAATGATCTACAACATTTGTTTAAGGTACTTTTGCGATAACGCTTACCGTTTAGGAGAAAAAAGCAAAAAAACATATTTTTGACTTTTGACCTTGAATAATTTTTTTAGCAGACGTGGGAGGGGTGGGGATTTTTCAGATATCATTTATAATAGTGTATTTAAGACCTATACCAATTTTCAGCTCTATGCGAATTATTGTTAATTGAAATGTCTATTTTGACTGGGGTAAAAGCTCATGATAGAAAACGTCTTGCGTGACCATCTTCTGATGCGTGTCAAATACTCCCTCAGCGAGTAATTGCAGTATGTAGTACGACTGATTTCTCTGTAAAACCGCCTCAGACACTGGCTTTTGTCAAAGCTCTGAGACTGTATGATGAGTTATAACTCAAGAAAGGGGGGCACAATAGATAAGGTCGTGATGATTGACCTCCTCCTCCGTAGGTTGAATATTTAATTTATGTTAGGAAGAACGCATCACAATTATAAGAAAAATAAAATAAAATGCGCAAAAAATAGATATATTTACCTGCAATCAGAACAGCACTCACTCCACAGTCTTAAATCCACTTTCGGAACATCCTCACATCTTCCGATGCCTTCCTGCAATTCAGGTAATACAAAAACGTCCTTTGTGATTTTGGTGATATTATCTCCGTTATCACACAGTACTCGAGACAAGGAGTACTGTTTGATTTGTACCAACTGTTCTGGCTTAAAGACTGAAGGATTCTCGTACCTAGAGAAAGAAAAATGTTGTATTGGTATTATGAAAACAATTTTATTTATTGTTTAGTTAGTTTTAAATTTATATGACTATATATTTTATGGCTTATCTGCACCTCAAAAAAAACTAGTATCCTGATTACTACTAATAAAAAATAAAATAGCTAAAAACAAAATGATTGGGTCCAATACAGTAATAATAAAAAGAGATTAAACTATCAATTTTATACTGCCAATGGATCAAACTTGAATTGAACTGTGATTAAACTTACCAAAACCTGTCACCGTCTCTCAGTTTCTTAAACTGTTCCACAAGGAGACATCTAAACAAGGGTCCGACCCTGCCTCCTTCTACAGGGTCCTCCAAAATTCCTCCAACGAAGACGTCGATATTTTCTGGGTGACCGTACAGCTTCTCCATCTTTTCTCGGACTTCGTCGTCTGATATTTCGGAGGCTAGATCATCGAAGCTTGTGACTTTACGCATTCCGCAAAAATTGCGGAAAGCTACGTATCCTGGTAAGGCATGATCTCGAGACCTAAAGACGCCAACAAAATAGAAAAAATAAAATACATATCATTATACACAGCTATAAGAATTATTTTTAAATATTTTGAATTCAATCAATTCAAAATTACGTTACTTTAGAAAAATTAACGAGTGGAAGCAAAATGATAATAAAATTCGTATAAAATGGGTGGAGGTTTTCCATAATTTTTCTCTGCTTTAATATACAAAAGATTATTGCATTTTTTTTTTTCTCTAGGTGAAATTCTATAGGTACATCCCTAGATTCCTAGATTATGGTAGATCTGAGTCAAGACACACAAAATATTAATTTATGATAAAGCAATACATAGAACATAGTTTTACAACGCGGATAAAAAACGGTCAAAATTTAGTCAAAAGTAAAAATTCTCAGAAACTTAATATAAACTATTCTATATGTTTCCAGTTATCTTATTGAATACTCTGTATACTATCGATCTAATATACTACTACTATACTTATATGTGTATGATACTTATATGTATGTAGTAAATTACTCATCTGTACTATTTTTCAATTTTGTGTAATTGCAGTCAAAATTTTAAGGCTTCATTTCTCCAAGGGTATCAAAGTTTTTCATACTAAATATTTACTGAAGTTATTGTGTTGCAATAATACAAATTATACTACCTTATACAGAGTGTCTAAAATTTTATTTTAAATAATTACTAGCTTTAAACGGCAATAACTTGTTTAATTTAAATAGAACACCCTGTATATTTTATGAGACTCAGATGCACAATTTAATTGTCTATCAAATTGTATTACGCCATTTTTTACCTATCGCTTCAAGTTTCCGTAGAAAATGCATTTTCTTGTAATTTTAAATTCATTTATCAATATACCCATGGAATACTGATATTTTAGATTATTTTTAAAGATGTACCAAATTTTTAAAGAGTACAGATACTAATATTGTCGATATAGTTTGTTTATTTCATTAAAAAATAAAAAAAAACTGTTTAAATATTTGTTAAAGAGGACCAATTAATATGATTCCAGTATTCAAACTACATTAATTGACTGCGTTGATTAATAGTAATTGGTCCAAATACTAAAAAAAATAATTTTTTATGTGTATTAGACAGTGTGGTAAAAAGTAACACTTTAAAAATGATATTTCATATTTTGAAAAATGCTTATTTATAACAACAAAGACATCCATTTTTATAACTTATTATTATATTGATTTCTGATTCCAAATCCACATTTATTTAGAATCATTTATTAACGAACATAATTAAGTATGTAATTAATTAGTATTTGGGCGGAAATAATGGTGGTATATTTAATTAATGGTATATTCTTTTATAAAGATTTAAAGAGTTGTCTTTATAAATGGGCTAGTAATATTATCGTTTTTAGCAAAGCGAGCACTGCACATTTACAAGCCTGCACATTTTGTACATTTGTTGCTTTAAAAACAATCTAAAATGTCAATATTCCATGGGTATATTGATAAATGAGGTCTAAATTATAAGAAAATGCATTTTCTACGAAAACTTGAAGGGATGGGTAAAAAGTGGTATAATACAATTTGATAGACAATTAACTTATGCATCTGATTCTCCTAAAATATACAGGGCGTTCCATTTAAATTAAACAAGTTATTGCCGTTTAAAGCTAGTAATTATTTAAAATAAAATTTTAGACCCTCTGTATAAGGTAGTATAATTTTTATTATTGCAACACAATAACTGATCAATAAATAAACTTCAGTAAATATTTAGTATTAAAAACTTTGTTACCCTTGGAGAAATGAAGCCTTAAAATTTTGACTGCAATTTCACAAAATTGAAAATATTTCAAAAACGGTAAGGTTTAAGTGTAATAAACCTTAATCAAATTTACCTTTATTTTAATGGTAGAAACTAAAAATGTAATAATATACAGGGTGTTCCATTTAAAAAAATACAACTTTAATATTTTTTATTTATTTGGGACACTCTGTATCTTGTAAAAATATTTTTAAATTGTAGCTCTAATAGTCCTTCAACGAACCCAAAGCTTACAATTTGTAAAAATCTAATCATTTAGCTACAATACTCCGTGTCGTATGTGGTGAACAACCCTGTACAAAAGATTATTGCATTTTTTTTTTCTCTGGGTGAAATTCTCTAGGTACATCCCTAGATTCCTAGATTATGGTAGATCTGAGTCAAGACACACAAAATATTGATTTATGATAAAGCAATACATAGAACATAGTTTTACGCGGATAAAATAACGGTCAAAATTTAGTCAAAAGTAAAAATTTCTCAGAAACTTAATATAAACTATTCCCATATGTTTCCAGTTATCTTATTGAATACACTGTATACTATCGATCTAATATACTACTACTATACTTATATGTATGTAGTAAATTACTCATCTGTACTACCATCACTACTATCTACCTGTGTATATTCATTGCAGCTAAATCCAGAGCAACAGCATGGGCAGTATTGAATAACTTTTCGGTTAATTCGGTATTTAAGTTTTCTCTAGGCATTTTCTTCTTAGCAGCCGTAACAAACATGCCTCTGAGTAAAGGATCAATGCCTCCTTCTTCAACCAATCTCCAAGGAGAGAAGAATGCTTTGTGAAGCGGAAGATGTCCTTCTCTGATAGGATTAAAATTCGAGTCGTACCTAAAATGTTAATAAGCATATAATCGAACCTTATTAAGTAACGTTTATTACTTTAGTTATTGTGTGTACAGCGAAAGATTAATATATTATGTCATTTAAAGAACATTATTATTATGATTGCAAGTCAAAGTAGAATGAGAATATATCGCCACCTCAAAACTACAACTAGATAGCTCGAAAATTGGCTGTTTGTAGTTAACTCTACCAACCTTTGTTATTTTGGATTATCTTTCTATTTGAAACAACTATATAACTTAAAAGTCCCGCCATGCGCCATCCCCTTTATATTTGAAGTGTCAAACGTAGATATTTTCCCAATAAATTTGCAGGATATTACAAGAACTAGACAGCTCAAGTTGTCAAAACTATGATTTTATTGGATTTTATACAAGGATTTTATAGATATCTAGTTGTAGTTTTGAGGAGTTGTTATATACTTTTGCTGTACAAACTACAAATTATCATACACAAATACACCTACCTGTGTAAAATTGGGTTAATAAGAGTATGTCCAAATCTCAAAGCTGCCGTAGCAAATACATTAGATATGCTCGGGTTGATCAGGGGATCATATTCTTTATATTCTCCCAGCAGTTCCATACCTTTCGGTCCAACAACAAAAGGCAACCAATGTTTGTAAGTTATATGCTGAATGGCAGCTCCTACAATCTTTCTGGCTTCGTAGAATAGCATGTCTCCGTCCCAGTGAGGGTTTAAATATCTAGAGAAACAGTAAAAAGATAAATAAGAATATTTATTTCCAGCTACGTAATTTTTTTTATTATTAGGCAAGCTGCTTATGCTGCTTATCAATTATGCTTATTTTTTTCGTAAATTCGGCAATAGTTTTTCCATTTGTATTGTATGGCACACCCTGTACATAAAGTTGTACAGTGTTTGCAAAAAGTCGGCTTCATATAGGATTGTATTTTATTACCTATATTTATTACTAAAGACCACGCTAAAGAGAGATAAAAATTTGACACCAAAAGTAAAGTCGTGTAAAGGATACATATATGAAAGAGACTGTGTGATTATAAAAACTAAAACAAACCTTAATTCTTTGGCCAATCTATTGTGTTCTCTCATCCACAAGGTGTGCATAGCAGTGAGTCCGTTTTGTTCATTGACTCTAATATCACCAGCCAGGAAACAGTTAACGTCACTCTCTGACAAGTTTCTTCTACAATCCATTCCTTGTCCTCCTGCATAAGGTAGTAAAGGCTTTCTTCCCTCGAACACTGGACCTTCCTTTAGACGGCCTAAGGGTGCGTCTATGTCCCGGATTTCACGCGCTAGTTCATCAGAAAAACCATATATCTACCAGAAAAAAATATATGGCAGTGCTATCATAAATTAAAACAGGATAAATTCGTTCCTGGAATATTTAATAAAAACTAAATTATGGAAAATAGAATTAAAAATATACTATTGCAACCCCTATATACAGGGTGAGTCTTAAATATGTGCAAATATTTTCAGGGCCAGTAGATCTGGATAAAAGAAACGTATTTTCTCTTTACCGTTTTTCGGGTTATTTTACTTTGAAACTTTAAGAAATACAGGGTGGCGCACCTCATTCGCCTCGGTTGAGTATACGAGAACGGAAAGATGTAAAACAATTTTTTATGGGTATATCTAAAGAGGCAATATGCCATAATTTGCCAAGGCGACACCAGCCACATTGATTACAATTTTATTGCAAAATCGCTTTTTATTCAAAATCTGAGCCAGATAGGTATAGGAAACCCTAATATAGTTTGAAAGAACATTTAAATCTGCTTCGATTTATTTAAAAAAATGGAGGGTGTTGTATTTGAAATAGCGAAGTTTTTATTTAAAATAAATATTTAAAATAGACCAGCAATTTTTGATACCCCTGTATACATTTAAGGAAGCAATCAAATTTTTTAGTAAAGTTTATTTCTCTGGCTTGAAAGTCAGCACAAGAATTAATTCTGAAAAGAAATGTACAAGGTTTTGACAAACTTTTTTATTATAGCATGCATATTTAAATATCTTTAAATATCTCAAAAACCAAAACTTTTAAACATATTTAACCCTTATAATAAATGCTTTATTTTACGTCCAAGAATCTAAAAAAATATAAATTGTATGGATCTTAGATGTGACCATAGAGAAAAAGAATATAATTTGTATATTAAGATTTATGCACATTGCCTTCCCACATATACCCATAAAAATTTTTGTTTCTAAATCTTTCCGTTTCTTAGTAGATCATGTTTAAGGCAGCGAATGAGGTGCGCCACCCTGTATATATTTTTGTGTTTATATTTGATGAGAAAGGACTTGTTTTAAAGTTACTTGATATATTAGTATAACAGATTACCTATAATGAAACATTATGAAGAAATTACTGATACCGGATTTGTTCCACATTCTAATTACAATATTTGAACAAATAAATAAATTTATCTATCTATCTATCTATAAATTTTAGATGTTTCTGAGGTCGAAATATGACTGCCAAAGTAAAAGTAATTCGCACATATTTTATAAGACTTACCCTGTACAAATGTCACAGTGAATAAATATTTAAACTATTTAAACTATTATATTAGAAATTTAGATAGATAGAATATTAAAAACATACCGGTAATTGCAGACGCAGGCCCAAATTCAATAAAACTAAAATTTTTCCTGCGAAAATCGGGCTTTTTTCACATACAAGCACATTTTCTTGGCAGTCGCTGGCAGTCATTGGCATCAGTAGACTTTAATTATCAAGTTGACAATATACAGGGTCTTTTTTAAAGAAAATATATTTTCGCTTGGCAGTAAAATGACATTTTCAACAAAATTGATCTTTGAGTTTACCTTGTTGATCAAACTCTCGATTTTTTAAAAACCTAAATACAGGCAATTAAGAGAATTGTTTTATTGAGTTTTTAAAGTTCTTTTTATTTTTAGATATATGAAACACCCTGTATGATGCATATTCATAGGCAACCAAATAAACTAGTTACCTAAAAATTATTGTTCCTACCACTAGAGACACGGAATATTGTAGTAAACAAATTATTTTATCCAAATTGTCAGTTATAAGTTTCCAGGCAATGGATCTAATAGATCCTGTACATTTAAAAATATTTTTACAAGATACAGAGTGTCCCAAATACCTAAAAAATATCAAAGTTTCTACATCTTTCCGTTTTCGTATAATCAACCGAGGCGAATGAGGTACGCCACCCTGTATAAATGAGTTCTAAATTACAATAAAAATGCATTTTCTACGGAAACTTGAAGAGACAGGTAAAAATGGTATAATACAATTTGATAGTCAATTAAATTGTGCATCTGATTCTTATAAAATATACAGGGTTTACCATTTAAATTTAAACAAGTTATTGCCGTTTCTTTCTTGTAATTATTTAAACTATTAAATATGTTGACACTCTGTATTATGAGTAAAATTTTATTATTGCAACACAAAACTGATCAATAAATAAACTTCCAAATTAAATATTTAGTATTAAAAACTTTGATAAATGTGTTTCTGAAGTCGAAAAATTTATACTGCAATTTCACAAATTGAAGAATCACCAAAAATGTCAAAAGGTTCAAATGTAAAGCGTAAAGATAAATTGGTACCCTAGGCATTTTTTTTTAATCGTAGAAACTATAAGTAAATTTTATACAGTGGTGTTCCATTGATGGAATACAACTTTGATATTTTTTGGCAGTCGCTGGCAGTCATTGGCATCAGTAGACTTTAATTACATGGCAGACATAGGCAGTCTTCGTCTCAGTCATTGGCAGTCGCTTGGCAGTAAAATGACATTTTGACAGTACATGAACATTTTTTACCTAATTGAGACACTCTGTATCTTTTATACCTAATATTGTTAAATTGTAGCTCTAATAGTCCTTTAACGAACTCAAAACTTACAATTTGCGACAAATCTAATCGTTTGGCAAATTCATAGTTCCGTTCGTATGTGGTGAACAACCCTGTATAAAAAATTGTGTTAGGGGACCAAATATCGAAAAAGAGTCAAAGAGAAAAATTGTTTAGAGTATTATTGTAAGTAGTATACCCAAGTAGTGTTTTATAAATATACATGGACGCTAAAAGGGTAGCATTTATATATTTTTCGGCAATTTTTTCAAAAACTACAATTTTTCGCTAAAACATAAACAAAGTAATCCAAAAAAGAATTATTTCCAGCGTAATATTTTTTACTGTACTGGAAATAATCTTAAAAAATAAAATGTCAATTTTTATGATGTCAAAGTTCTTGCAATGGAATGAATCGATAGCTGGAAAATAGATGTCTATGAAAAGAAAGAGGGAACAGAAATATAGGAATCTACTTAAAATTGAATATTAATACCTCCGATTTGCACCTACTACAAGAATATATAGACAGACGTTATAGAAAAAAAATAATAGAGACCATTGATACATTCAGATAAGAAGTAAAGTTATGATTTATAATCTGTGTCCAACTTCGTTGAAAATATAGATTTTGATCGATAATTTCCAGATTGCGCATAGTCTTACAAAATCTATACTTATGACTTGAAAATGAAAAGATAGCAATAGAGCCTACACTACCACTGTTAAATTTAACCCTAAATATTTTTGGACTGTGTGAGTACCAAAGATATTTGTAACTACCTGTTGTTTTTTTGCTGGGCATAATATACATGCAGTGATTTTCTTTTTAAATCTAATTGATTATTTTTTCTATACCTATTGGTGATTCTTGGATCATCTTCTGGTACATCCATTGATAACAAGGAGCGGCATATTCGCAAGACTTCTTACAATCTATTCCATCCCAAGTTTCTGAACTGACACTAGGCAAAGCGTGGTCCAAATCGTGATCTAAGAACTGGCCCCACTGCATCACCATATGGGTTATTTCTTCGTCTTGGGTGATCTTTGACGTGGCAATCAAACTAGTAGATACCTAAACATTGTTTAAGAGCATTAACAACTAAGAAATGAAATCAATATAATCAATAAATTTCTCCTTCATACTCTATCTGTTTTGTACGAACCTTTCTAGATGCTGGTTTAGGATATCCATTGTAAAGTTTGTTCTTCTCCCATCCAACTGGTCTGGCAAATCCATCTTCGTAAATCGGTTTCAGTACTCTACGGAATCCTGTCAAACTAGCTCCCCAAGTGGGATGTTGGAGGTTGTTACAGGTACCGTCTATGCTGCGGTACTTCGAATGGAAGCACATGTCTGAACAATTTTTTGTGTGTCTGTGGGCGTTACAACCTTAAACAATACCAGAATCTTAGAATCACTGGATAATTTATACAGTATGTCCCCGGATTGTCTTTACAAGAGGAAAAACTTTTTTATTAATTTCATTTTGAGAAAAATGCATTCTTCATAAAAATTGTTGCTTGTTCTAAAATGGCTAATCCCGTTTATACTTTTCCAAATATCCATACCGTTTTAGAGAAAATTAAAAAAAACGTGAAAATATGTTTGAAGTCCTAAAAATAAAGAGGCGTTTCTATCATAATATAATTTCGATTTCATTCTTTAATAGATGGTTATTATTAATTTTGATTTATAAGTCTTTTATCTACTTTTTTTTTCTTACAGATTTTGATTAACGTCATATTTTTTGCCGTTGTTAAAGTATACAGGGTGTCCCAGAAATAAGTATTTTAAGGGGTAGTAGATCTCGATAAAAGAAACATATTTTCTCTCTATCGTTTTTCAAATAACGGAGTTATTTTACTTTGAAAATTTAAAAAAAAATATTTTTTGCTAAAATTTTGAGAACCACTGGATCTTTTCTGGATTTTCTTCTATGAGGAAAAAAACCTCATAGTCATAGACATATTTATATTTATATCATTGCAATTACCTATATATTACAAACGTTTGGGTACCCATATAGTACCCGCAAGCTCATAGTGCACGTGCGCATATGCATTTATTGTGTGAAACCGTAACTCACACTAGCTTAAGCGAATCAATTTCACATTTCCATCTACCAAAATAACCCATTAAAAATAACTCACCTGATAATCTAGCGATCAAATCCAGTTTTTCCTGAGACAGTATCTCCTTATAACTGAAATCTGTTGTATGAGTCATATTAACACTGCCTTTCTGAATATGCTTCCTGATATTCACCAGAGTTCTTTCATAAACCTCTGCAGCCCTGGCTAATTCCCTAGCTGGTGCATTGGGATACCGGATAATCCTGAACAACTCCGACGAAGAAGGATGTTTGTTGTGCAAGAAATTATCGATGGTGTTGTTGATGGCCTTGTCAATCTCGCTGGAAGCTTCGGTGAAGGCGATCTTGATGAACCTGTCGCTGATACTGCCCACCGCGCCTGTTGAAACTGTAGGGTCTTTGACGGTGATGTAGCCTGAAGCTGAGTCCCTGCCATGGTCGTTGTTGGCTATGCATTCGTATCGACCTTGGTCTTCAGCAGCAACCTGAAATAATTTTATTTATTTTAGTTACAAGTATTGTTGAAGTCTGTATATTTAAGTAGAGTTGTTCAGCAGTAGCACCCTTGTAGCATCATGGCAAAGAACAATCAATAGATTAATTAGTTAGAGAATGAGACTAGCCCAAGATATCGAGTACACACTCTGTATTAAAAGTAAAGAAAAATGATGGACTTGGCACTTAGCTGGACGAGTAGATAGATACATGGAACTTTGTCCATATATCTTCTTGTCTTGTCTAGCTAGAAACAGAATATTTTAAATTTTCAGCAAAACTGCTGGACATGAATCCTTGGACACATAATATTACCATCATTATACAGGTTGGTCTGAACTGTATTCCGGAAACTTCGGCAGCATATTCTGCAAATTAAAATATGTAAAAAAGTTCGTATAAATATATATGTCCTAAAATTCTTAGTTTCGGAAATACAGGGTGTAGAAGTTTCATTTTTATTTCGATTTTGTCCAAATAATTTCTCAAGCTACATCAATATTTGGAGGAAAATTGGCGTGTGGGAGTTTTTTGACATGAGAAATTTGATTTTGATGTCAATATGACTTCTACTTGCATATTTTTTTAATTGGTTTGAAGAGTAATAATCTTTCGTCCGTACATGTAGCGTATGTTCGAAAAAAAATGGCGTCCAGTTGGCTGGAAAATGACGATCCCATATAAATGACATTTCCCATATAAATTTACATATAAAATGACAGCGATCTTCATTTCATGGCCATCGCTGACACCGTTTTTATTCGATCATACGGTATAAAACTACTGAGTAAAGGAATATATATTTACGGCATTTTCTACGTAAAAAATGGTCTCTTGGTTTGAATCACTACAAGTAATGGTTCTCGAGATATTTGGAATCGAAATGATCAACACCCTGTCATTATTGACATAAATTAAACATGTTAACTAAATAGTTATTAGATTGAAATCAAAAAACATAAATTTGAAATGTTTGTTTGTGCCAAAACTTCAACAGAAACAGTTTTATCATAATTTTTTCGAAGGAAAAATTTTGATTATTTGAAAAAATTAAAAATTCCAAAATTTATTATTTCGGTCAAATAACTATATACTCAACGCATGTTTATTTTTTGTCAATAATGACATATATTGACTATTTCCATTCTTTCCAAATATCTTAGGAACGGTTGCTCCTAGGGATTTTTACCAAGAGATATTTTTTCCATAAAAAATCACGGAAATGTATATTTTTCACTCAAGTTACTATGTGAAAGTTATTACTCTTCAAAACAGTTAAGACACATGTAAGTGGCACCCTCTACAAATAGGAGTCATATTGACATCAAAATCAAAATTCTCATGTTAAAAACTCCCAACACCAATTTTCATCCAAATATATGAGAAATTATTTGGAAAAAATCTAAATGAAAATGAAACTTCTACACCCTGTATCTCTGAAACTAAGCATTTTTGGACATACATTTATACAAACTTTGTTACTTATTTTTATCTGCAGAATATGCTGCCAAAGTTTCCGGAATGCAGTTCGGACCACCCTGTGTATAACCACATATATTAAAAGCAAGGTTGAATGAAATAAGGATGAAATATAATAATTGTGAAACTCAATCCCATTAGGCAGTTGAGGCTGCACTGTAGAGTCTCAATCACGAAATTAAAATACAAACTTGAAAAAATCCGCCCCCATATGACCTTAATATCGCATTAAAGAATAGACACCGTAATGATTCATTCGAACTTTCGAGAACAATCGAGTTCCACTGAAATGGAGGAGTACATACGAGAACATTCTAAACCTTCTCTATGCACCTAATGATCTAATGGACTATTCGAGAACTGTTTAGCTGTGGGTATATAAGCCGACGCGACGCCTGGGGCCTGAGGAGGACAGAAACAAATAGAGGAGGACAGAAACAAAAATTTGCCGCGCTAAATTCAAAATAAATTCCTTCTAGATAAATAGTTATAAATAGTTTGTAAATAGTTCTTTGAGCATTTTATCGTTATTGTTTTGTTACTTAGTGTAAAATAAATTGTGTTTAGATAAATTAGACTTTCTATCCACCCGGAACCGATGAAAAACGTAACAATATATTGAAATTCACCTTATAAATATAGAGACCTCCTGTTAAGCTGATCTTATATCTCCCAGTTCTTTGCATACGAGCTCCGTCTTTCTGCCAAGTAATACCAGGATTGGGATCGCCCACTGCCTTGCAAGGTAGTTCAATAGTACTACCCACTAAAGCCTCGATATTGTACGGCTTATACACTAGCTTGGGTGGTTTGGTGTTAAAACCTGAAATCTATAACAGTTATGATGGATAAAGACATTTTTCAATTTGTGTAAATAGTGTTACCGTGATCCGTGCGCTGACTTCTCTGGTTCCTAGTGGATTTCTGGCTTCACAAATGTATAATCCAGAGTCAGATTCTATGGCATGTCTTATTTCTAAACGACTTCTGTCGCCGTTGTAAAATACTCTCTCGTCGTTGGGAAGAACCTTGAAAATGCCAAAGAAATAACTAAATTAATTGCACAAAGCCGAAACATATTAATATTTTCATTTATGATTCTTAAACATGATCTTTTTGACATTGCTGACTTGATTTTATTTTTCTTACTTTCTGTTGTTGCTTGTTGTTATTGTTAAACGACGGTAGGTAGATAACATTAGAGCAAAAATATTAACTTTTATAAAAATTACCTCCAAGTCATCTTTGAACCACGTGATTTCCGGGGTCGGAGTACCAGAAGCCGAACACTCCAGATTGATAGTACCACCTGTCAGTATTTCAGCATTCTCCGGTTGAATAGTAAAGATTGGCGCCACTGTAATAAATAGAAAATTGTGCAACTTATACTAAACAATTTTTTCAATTAATTTACCATTAATAAGTACATTGGCTTCAGCTGAAACTCTGCCATTGTCGTTGAAGGCTTCGCAGAGATAAGTACCATGATCTGAACCTTCGATGTTCCTAATCAGAAGAGTACCGCTGGGCAATATAACAGTTTTGGACGTTGAGGCTAGTTGACGTCCGTTATGGGACCAGATAATTTGAGGAACCGGATATCCTAACGCTTGGCATTCTAGTAGTACTTGTTGAGTACCAACGTTGACGCTGACGCTTTGGGGAACTTTAACAAGCTTTGGCATATCTAAGAATTCAAAATATAACAGAAAACACAATAAGAAGCTGCTAGCTTAAATGAATCAACACCAATGTTCCGAAGGATAGTACAGCACATTTTTATTATTGCTGCACAGCTCCTTAATGATTGACAATGTAAAACATGTTTTAAAAAAGAGAGTCGTAATACTTTCTCACCATAATCAATAGTATAGTAGTTCATTGACTACTTAGTTTAATAGAATAGAAGTTCATAGACTAATTTTCTACTTAGCAACGAAATATATGAAATAGAGAAAAAAATACATAAGGAATGTAGCTGACTGTGATAGCTATGTTCTTTCATTTGTTGCTGAAATAAAGAACTGAACTACTAAAATAATAGGAAAATAATAAAAAACATGGCCCAAATTATAGGCAATTACTGGTGTTGAGCAAATGAAAGACGAAGTTCAAAACCCATAATTATAGGGCCCAGTCTTTGTCTTGGTTTTGCTAAAAAACTCTTGGAATTATTGCATTTATTTCATAGATTTTTAACGAACGGTGTATGACTACTGTACGGTGTCTTACTACTGCAACTTGACTGCCCCACGTTGGGCGCCAAAAATTGCCGCACCTTGAAGTTTGTTTAACTGAGAGTGAGTCACACAAAGGTCGCTATATTCTTAGGTAAAAACTTCAACACTAACCTCGAACTGTTGAGTGTATCTACCCTGAACTTCAAATATTACTATAGCGGTAAATTAGTGTTTTATTATGCTCACCATAATCAATTCCTTCCTCGTTTTGACTGGGATAAACAACCATCCTGGCCGGTCTGGACCGAACTTCGCCCTCTGGATTCTTAGCCAGACACTCATAAAATCCATTATCACTCTCCTCGGTAAACTGTATCATCAGCGTTCCATTCTCCATCATTTTGTACTTGTTATCATCGGGCAAAATCTCTTTTTCACCCTTCATCCAAACTATGGTCGGTTCTTCTTCACTTTGAACCGCACAAGTAAATGTTGCTATTCCACCTAAAGTGATTTCCACATCCTCAGGGCTTTGAACTATTTTTGGTGGTTCTGGAAAAGCAAATAATTTCAAATAAACTAAAGTAGTTTGAGAGAATGTTACGCACGACAGTGAAAATGTCTGTGGTCCATTCCGACGATACTTTTCCCGTACATTTCGTTTGGTTGAGAGCAACTGGCTGATGCTTGTAGTACTGACTTGTCATTGGTCAGCATCTTGCTGAACCAGGCCATCTTGCAGTCGCATATCAGGGCGTTGTGGTCTAAGCGTAACCGTTGGAGTTTGGGTAGATTGTGGAAGGCACCTCTTGGTATTTCTTTAATGTGGTTGTTGTATAAATAGCTAAAAAGAAAAATATATTCAATTTGAAAGAGTGATAAAATCAAGATGGGTCGTAAGGTTATGCCTAAACTCTTACAGATTTTCGTACAGCCACTGACAAGCTGGAGACCGTTTGAATTCTAATTCCAAAATACCCAGACCTTTTGCAAGTGCAAGAAGTAAGTCAAAAATCTTTTAAAACAGATATTTTAAAAATAGAGCCATTATACAGTATTTTTAACAAGAACCGATGTATTGAATAAAAAAAAAGTAAGAAATTATTCAAATATAGTCTATAAAATGAATAACTTTGAATTTTGACCGTTATTTTTTACCAACATGGTAAATATAAAATCCCTCTGTCAAAAAAGTTACTGATATTCTTTAAATTGAGTGCCTGAACGAATCAGATAGGTAACTCTTTTTACTTTCGTGAAATAGAAAAGGAAAATAATAAAACAAGTGACAGTTCTTCCTCTTCTTGCAAAAAAAATCAACACAAAATGTCATAATTTCAAAAAGTAAAATGTCATCAGCTTTTTGACATTTCTATCAGATCAATGTTGAATAGATTTGAACATACAGTTAGATAATATGGATTAACAATACATGGAAAACATATTAGAGCTTGTTACCAAAAATGATATACAATATATATGCCTATTTATAGTAATAAATACTTTGGCAAATAAACTATGAACCATACAAATGTAGCAAATGTTTTACAATATACAAATAATGAATAGGGACATAAGATAATGGGTAAAATGTAAAATATATTTTAAATTTTGGGGCTGTTGACCAACCTTAACAAAAACATTCAATATTCATTTAATAGTGATGTATTATTTATTGCATTTCACAAATTTATATGTAGTTATTTTGCAAATATCAATGTTCGAAAAATTATATTTGCAAATAATACACTATCATAGAAAAAAGGCGTCAGTGATGGCCATGAAATAAAAGATTGCTGTCATTTTATATGTAAATTATTCTAAAATGTTTGAGGAAAATTTTGTGAATGCAAATAATAATACATCACTATTAGTAGATATTGAATGTTTTTTGTTAAATTAGATCGATTTTCAAACCCCAAAATTTAAAATATATTTTACATTTTACCCATTATCTTATGTACCTATTCATTATTTGTAGGCATACCTATTCATTATTATAAATATGTATATATATTGTATTTATTAACTGTATATTATGTATATTTCATGTAAACTATATCATTTTTAAAATACAAACCAAAAATACGAGGAATAATTATGTTTTCTATGTATTCGAAAACATATTTATTAATCCGTAGTATCTAACTAGTGTGACGTCAAAAATCTCGTTCCGAGACCGTTCTACTAGAGACGGCATTGCGTCAGCATGGCCGCAAGTTGCTAACCTAATAAAATTAACACTAGAAAAGCCCGCGGGAACTGTCAAATTCAAAGTTATTCGTTTCACAGACTATAGTTATTATTTTCATATTTATACATTAAAAACAGAAGCAACGTCAATGAAACTCTTTTTTTGTCAGTTTTGTTTAACTTTTCACTCGGCACTTTTGAAATTACGTGCATTTGAATTACGCAAATTGTGCTTTTCTCTGTTTATTTTTAATTATCTCTTGGTTATTTTAGAATTTGTTTTATGGAAAGTGTATAAATTTGACAATACAGGGTGGTCCGAACTGTATTCCGGAAACTTCGGCAGCATATTCTGCAGATAAAAATAAGTAAAAAAGTTCGTATAAATGTATGTCCTAAAATGCTTAGTTTCAGAGATACATTGTGTAGAAGTTTCATTTTCATTTAGATTTTTTCCAAATAATTTCTGAAATAACGTCAATATTTGGATGAAAATTGGTAGCGATTTTTACCAAGAGACATTTTTTACGTAAAAAATCACGGAAATGTATATTTTTTCACTCAATAGTTTTATTACAGGTACGGACGAAAAGTTATTACTCTTTAAAACAGTTAAAACACATGTAAGTGGCGCCCCCTACAGATAGGACTCATATTGACATCAAAAACAAATTTCTCATGTCAAAAAATTCCCAAACTCCAATTTTCATACAAATATTGACATTATTTGAGAAACTATTTGGAAAAAATCAAAATAAAAATGAAGCTTCTACACCCTAGTATGTCCGAAACTAAGCATTTTAGGACATACATATATACGACCTTTTTTACTTATTTTTATCTGCAGAATATGCTGTCAAAATTTCCGGAATACAGTTCGGACCACCCTGTATATGTATGTATATTTTTTATGTAAAGAAATGTCATTGTGTGGTATATTTTGAAATTGTAGTTTTAAAAGGCAAATACTCATAAACAAGCGAAAATGGCCAGCTGGTGCTGAAGAACCTGTGGTAATACAGAGTTATTCTTTTACAAAATGAAGTTACAAGTCTAAATAATTATTCTATCACGAGATACGCACTTATAAATTTATATTACATAATCAACTTGTAGGTATATTTTCTTTATTAATTATATACATTGACATAATGAACCATTACCAAAATCACGAGATTAACCTTTTGCCAAGAAATATGCCTCTGTATAAAGCTTCTTTTATTTATTGTTAACGATTCAAATTAATAATTTAAACAAGCAAAGTCTTGGTTTATTAAGTATAAGAAATACAATACAGTTCAGACAGGAAATTCATAGTATTATAAATTGTGATTCTCAGTAAACTACATACATATATAAATAAGTATTAAGTAATATGATAACTCATATTTCCTGTAACAAATTTTTGTTAACAACTATAAAATACATTTAAATTGAACGGTAATAACTCGCAAAATTAAGTCACACCAGACGTAATAAACGCCCCAAAAGAATTTTATTGTTTGTAAATCACAACAGCATTGATATTTTTGGATTATATGGCGCACTGAGTGCCAGCTTTTTTAACAATATTAAAATTCTCAGTATTTAGCTTTTCAATATGATTTTGGATATAAAAACTTTGGCACAGACTCCAAACATATAGGAGTTGTATATGGTTCTAAAACCATAGGTATAATAGATGATTACATAAAGATGTATTTACAAAATAAGAATTAACCTCATCAACAAGGATTTCCAGAAGTTTATTAGCAAATACAAAATCAAATTTTCCCTGCTTCAAATTTCAAATATGTTAATAGCAAATAAATTAATAAGATCTGAATAAATGATTTATTATCACTCCAAAAATAAAGTGTATTGCTGGTTTTACTGATGTACTTCTTATTTTGGTATTCTCAGTAAAATATATCTACTGAATTCACCTTGAAAACTGATATATAAAACAAAGTACAGACAACGGTACAGACAATAAAATCTATTGTTATGGTCGAATATATCCAACAATATTGTTGAAATCTCGCGGTCTGTTGCTTTAGCGCCTCAAACCATCAATGTTTTGTATCCTCGAATAGATGCAGTGCAATAGATTATGTAATGATTACATGCACTTATACAAATAGCCTTTATAGTTTTCTTTGTGTTAAAACAACTTATAGATTCTAAAATCAAAAAATATAGTGAGTGTTTTATTTAAGGAATATGGTTTTAGAAAGAAAGAACATGCACCTGGAAATGCCCACAACTTGAAACATTCATACTTGGATCTAGAAGACTAGATTCTAAAAAACTTTTAATAAGCTAGTTGCGTAAAAACCCTTTTGTAATATAGACGTAGATGCAGATTGTAATGGAGGGGGAAATCCCATCTCCGAGATCAGTTGTACCAAAATTTATGACACGAATTGTTGTGGTCTCGGCGCAGTCAGTGATAAAGTGTTCTGGTGTTTCCCCATTTTCCCACAGAATATGCATTCGCCGTTGTTTCTTAGATTCAATCTACTGACGTGTTCATTGGGATTCCGATTTTTCTTACTTAAATCAAGAAAATCTTTGATTTTTCTCGGTCGTTAGTTCTGAGAGATTTCTTCGAGTGTCTTTTTTTCATAACAAGGGGCCGTCCTCTGCCGTACACACTGCGACCTTTGAGGCCCACTGTATTTGTCCCCTTTCTATATCTGCACCCATTCTCCTATCCCTGTGCCCTGCACTAACTTATGCAGGTCCCTGATAGGATGGGAGCATAGTTCCTCCGGCTCTAGCCTAGCTTTCCTAAATAACAAGTGTCGCTTGCGATCCAGAGCCTCGCAATGACATATTATGCGCTCCGCTGTTTCAGGATCTTTATCGCAGAGTCTGCAATCGAGTGTCTTAGACCGTTGAATGATTCCCATTACAGGTCACGGATAGAATCTTCCAGGTTCTTGAGTTCCGATTTAAACTGGTTTCCATTGGAGAAGCAGATCGGTTCTGGTCCAGTTGGTGATGCTTTTTCATTACCTTCTATAGGTACCTTGGTGGCCTGACATCCAGAGTATTTTCTATATTTCTTTGCTTAATTTGTTCAGCTTCTCTAAGTATTCTTTGACCGACCAACGTTGAATTGATAATCCCTTGCATAATAAGAGTAACAAGCAAAAATCAGCAAGTATTGAAATATACTAATTAAATAGCAGTAATCTTCGCTAATAACAAAACGTCTTTTTATGAGATGCCGACAATACTTGTATTGCATTATCCGTATAAATTTCATCATAGATAATATAACTTATGCATACTAATATAATTAAATATAGACAATATAGTATATAATGTCATAATGGAACATAGATGTTTAAATATGCGTAACCTAATAATTAGAAATTACATACAGTTATTAAACTTCGTGTTTAATGGCTTTAAATAATATAGTAAATTAAATGAACAATATTTGTAAGCACACACACACACATTACAGGTATGTAGGTACTTCCATATTTTTCTTAAACAGATATTTCCAGATTTTTTTAACGGTGAATTAATATAATACAGAGCATACAGGTAAAGAACTATAAATATTTAAAATAGTATACTTACAGTCTATCAAGAAATGGCAGATTTGAAAATGTGGCAGCTTTAAATTCATGGAGATCATTGGCTTGCAGATATCTAGAAAAAAATTGAATTTATTAGAATACATCAAAGCTACATACATATACAGAGTGATCCACTGTCGACTTGTGCAAGTTTCACATTCCCATTGTTATCTACTTTTCTTTCTTTACAAGTTGATGTTATTAGAATTTCAATATTTTTTTCGTTTTCGAGAGATCATTCACTTTATTTTTAGCTGACCATATCAACAGGTACGCTATTAAGATCGACAAAAAAAGTTTTATTAATTTCACTCAAAATAAGTTATTTGGATCATAAATGACCTAAATACAAAATATTTTCATGGTGTCTGTCCGTCCGTCTGTCTGTAACACGATAACTCAAAAACCGCTTAACCGATTTTAACCAAATTTGGCACAAAATACTGTGGCACCCGAGAATCTGGTCATTAGTTTTTGGTGGGGGTGGGGAGTTGGTAAGAGGGTATGGGAGGGGGTTAAAAATTTTAAAAAATCGTATCTCCAAAATTACAGTAGCTAGTGAAACGCGGTTTTCAATTTAAGATTAGGAATAATGCAACAAAATTTGTAATAACATCAAAATCAGTCAACGTCGCAGTTCTTGCGATAAAAAAAATTGGAAAAATACCTTTACTTTGAAACTAAAAGAACTGCCTACCAACTTTTTGAAAGCATATAACTTCCCAAATACCATGATGGTTTCAGCCAAAAAATAGATAAAAATCCTTTATTATATCTTTGAGTGTGGAACTTAAATGTATTGGAGAGAGATGGATGTACGAATCACTTTATCTCATTTGAGAGATCATACACGTTATGTCTAAGCAGAGGTTAAGGCATCTGCAGAATTGTCGTCAGTTATCTAGAATCTAGATGGTCTTCCGTTTATTGTGACAGACAAAACTCACAGTTAAACTGTTATGTGTAGACTGGGCTTTAGTAACGATATTTTTTATAAGATTTAACTATATCAGTTTCGTTGTTTGACGCAAATAAATTGCACTTGAATAGGAAACTGGTCTTGAACAGTAGTTCTCTATCAAAGCGAAGTATTAAAAACCTATGCTATCGACATAGGTAAACAAATCTTCAATCGCCCGTCTGCCTGCAATACAGACACCGGATTATTTTCATTAGGGCATCTGTTGAGGTTCAACGCCGCGTCGGCAAGAGTTTTAAAAGTACCCCTTTAAAAAACAGACGGATATACAGGGTGTTCCACTGTTTCAAAAAAGCTACATACATATTTCAGATTTCAGTCCTAGTTAATGTTTTAATTCCAATGTTTTTAGCCGATCATACCAACAGGTACATCTGTAACACGATAACTCAAGAAACCGCTAAACCGAAGAAGTTTTTTTAATTTCACTCAAAATTTAGGTCATTTATGACCCAAATACAAAATATTTTCATGGTGTCTGTCCGTCTGTCTGTAACACGCTAATTCAAAAACAGCTAAACCGATTTTAACCAAATTTGGCACAAAAAATACTGTGGTACCGAGGAATTAGGCCATTAGTTTTTTGGTGGTGGTGGGGGTTGGTAAGGGTATGGGAGGGGTTAGAAATTTAAAAAATCCTAACTCCAAAATTACAGTAGCTAGCGAAACGCGGTTTTCAATTTAAGATTAGGAATAATATTTGCAACAAAATTTGTAATAACATCAAAATCTGCCTACCAACGTTTTATTAACATATTTTAGTATGGGAGGCTGCATTGGCGTAACTACAGGGGAGCCCGGGGGTGCCGGCCCCCCTCCCCATGTACTGCTGGCTTGGCTACGTATTAATTTTTATTTGCTTGTGATGCAGTAAAAATGACGTTTCTTAGTTTTGTTTAGTTAATATTATTTTGTTGTGTTCAAAAAATGTGTTAATTTTTTTTTAAATTTGTAGGTATTTAAATAATGTACGGGAACACGGTTTGATAACCAAGTCTATTTTGTCTATATCTATTTATTGATAGAGAAATTCATGTAACCGTTTGTAACATCCGAAAAACGTGTTTTTTAAAATTATTTTTCATTTAAAAAAACAAAAATCCTAGCCCCCCCTGGGCTCAACCCCAGGGCCCCCCCAGGCCCACCCCAGGATAAATTGCTAGTTACGCTAATGGGGAGGCTATACGTGCCTCCCGGCGCCAATTTTTTTAATAAAATATGAGGATAATGCGGTAGCATATAATTTAAAAATATATTTTTTTTAATTTGCAGATCGATTCAAGTATGTTATAAAAATGTTCTCTTGAGAATTAAACATAATTGGAAAAAAAATAAACATACACATCATTTTTTCGAAGAAAAATTTATGATTAATTTATAGAAATAAATAGTTCCCAATAAATTTATCATTTCAGTCAAATAACTATCTACTCGACATGATTATTTTTTGTTATAATAACATATGTATTGACTACTTCCATTCAATATCTTGAGAACGGTTGCTCGTAGCGATTTTTACCAAGAGACATTTTTTACGTAGAAAATCACGGAAATGTATATTTTTTTCACCCAGTAATTTTATACGGGTATGGACAAAAGTTATTACTTTTCAAAACAGTTAAAACTCAAATAGATGGCGCCCTTTATAAAGATGGGTTATATTGACATCAAAATCAAATTTCTCATGTCAAAATCTCCCAGACACCAATTTTTATCTAAATATTTATTTTTTTATCATCTTTTTTATTTGAAAAAAATCGAAATAAAAATGAAAGTTCTACACTCTGTATCTCCAAAACTAAGCATTTTAGGACATACATTTATACGCACTTTTTTATTTATTTTTGTCTGCAGATTATGCTGCCGTAGTTTCCGTAATACAGTTCGGACCACCCTGTATAGCTACAGCATTCCGATTAAAATACCACAAATTTATTGTAAAAAAAAATTTGAATCACTTTGTATACAAAAAAATCTTTTTAAATGTGGGATACCCTACTAGCACATTTTTCCAAAACAATATAGAAAAATATTCAAATATGAAATCTGATTTAAATTTAGTTTCTTTATTTTTATGGTTAACATTAGGACATTTTTGTAAGTTAATGTTAATTTTTGTTAAGTAAAATTAAAGGGATTAAGAGATTATTCCGATTGACTAATTAAAATAGTACCAATAGGATACTTACAGTCTTTCAAGACGAGTGAGATGTGTAAAAGTACCACTTTCAATGTCCCTGATGCGGTTCTTGTACAAATAGAGGTTCTGCAAGTTGTATAGCCCACGAAACGTTTCGTTCCTGAGCCGTTTGAGATCATTGTTGTTTAGCAACAAAGTAACCAAGCGATGGTTGTCTATAAAAGTTCCTTTGGTGATATCCCTAATGCGGTTGAAACGGAGATCTCTGAAAATTAAAGAAAAACAGGAGTTAAAAGAAGATTAAATTATTCAAAAACTTGTTGGGGTAATGTAAACAACTGTTGATAAACAGTATTTTTTACGTAAGTGATATGAGAAAGATCTGTTTGTTACAGTCACGATATACCTATTTCTTAAAGTTACATATTGAAGTGAATTAGTCTGTCTAACGAGAGGATCCATGAAACTGACAGTTGTGTCTGTCATTTTAATTTACAGATAATGGTATTTCTGTCATTTTTTGGATGTCTTCTGTCGAAATCTTCGACTAAGTCGTCTCTTCCTACTCTCAAAGATTATGACTATTAGTAGATATCCTTGTTTAAAATTGGTATGCCATAATTCAGCAACTAATAGAACCAAAACTAACGTTTTACATACATACACGGTGTCCCAGAAATAAGTGCGATTATTTTAAGGAGTGGTAGATCTCGATAAAAGAAACATATTTTCTCTTTATCGTTTTTCAAATAAGTCCAAAATAACGAAGTTATTTTATTTTGAAAATTTCCAAAAAAAATGTTTTTCTGGGTTTTCTTTCTTGTAAATTTAATCTACTACCTATGTTGCCATATTATCAAAAAATTATGTTTTTTAACTAAAAACTAAAAAAATTTCGAATTTGTAATTTTTTTTGCGAAAAAAAACCTCACAGGCTTGTTTCTGGGGTTGAACTATACTACCAGTTAAAATACTTGCACTTATTTCTGGGACACCCTGTATATACAATTTCTTTATTGGTATACAGGGTCTCCCAGGCTGATCGTGCATTAGAAGTTTCTAGAGAACCACAATATCAAGATAGGAGATTTTTTACACATCACTGTTTTGCAACGAGATCTATCGATTAAAAATATTTTCAATATGGCGGCACTTCCGGAAATACCGGAAGTTGACAGCAATTTTCTTATTTTAAACGGGTGCCCCCATATTTTATTACATACTTAAATTCTCTGTAAAATTCTATGAATATTGATGTTAAACACTCTATACCTAACATAACCATTTTTGAGAAAAAGAAAATATTTCAAATTTTTGGACGAAAAAAACTACCTGTCAAAAAAATTTTTATAGCCTAAAAGTCAAATTTAGTGATTACCACAGTAGTCTGTAACAAAAAGAGAAGACATAGCTATCTATTTCAAAAATTAAATTGTTCAAATGTCATATAATAATGGCGGTAGCTGTCATGGAATTGAGCGATTAAAAAATTATCATAAATCATTTTTTTTTCAAATGAAAACCCACTTTTTGTTATTTGATTAATGAAAAGGTTTTTCAATTCGTTACTTTTTAACTATACATGTTCCTATACCTAAAATAAATCATTTTTAAGTTATTTAACATTTAGTTTGAAAACGTATATTTTTCTTTATTTTATCTAGCTTCCTTTGACATTAAGTGTCAAACACTCAGAGTATTTATTTCCATCTGTCAGAAACGAATTATTTGAATTTCCTAGATTATAAATACTGCCTGCCTAAGAGTTTAAAAAGTTTATGTTTTAAAATATGTTCATTTTGGCTCTTTTAGGGTGATATCTAATAGTTTATATTATTAATAATATACCGCTAATCGGAAAAAAACAGCGCAAAGTTATTTGGAAATGATGATTCAGTTCTATTGTTTTATTGTATTTATGGCACAGTGGCTGTGGTAATCACTAAATTTGACGTTTAGACTATACACATATTTTGATAGGCAGTTTTTCTGCACAAAAATTTTAAATGTTTTTTTTTCAAATGTTGGGTATAGAGTGTTTGATATCAAAATTCATAAAATTTTACATAGAATTTAAGTATGTATTAAAAAAATGGGACACCCATTTAAAATAAGAAAGTTAGCTGTCAACTTCAGGTATTTCCGGAAGCTGCCTTATTGAAAATATTTTTAACTGATAGATCTCGTTGTAAACAGTGATGTGCAAAATCTCCACCTAAATATTGTAGTTCTCTAGAAACTTCTAATGCACACTAAGCCTGGGACACCCTGTATATAATCTGATAGTAACAACAGTGATATAAATAAGTTGAGAATATGCTAATATGTATTTTGAAATTCATAGCGTATAAAGAAATAAGATATGCGGGTAAAACTAGACAAGTACTCACGACTGAAATAATTTTATCCACTAGGAGAGCAATAAACAATATGGTTTATACAATATTAATTTTCCATCATGATAATAAGATTTAATAACAATTTTCATGCCGGCATCAATAGATTTGAAGTCATAAAATATTGAAATTAATATCGTGAGTTTAAAATTAACGGTAAAGTAGAAAATCGGAGATCATAGGCGTCCAAAAGATTTTAAAATAACAAAAAACTTATCAACAGATTATAGGTTACTGAAGCATACGGTTGGTATTAAAACCAAAGATATCAAAAATAAAATTTCTATATTACTGGGAATATGACGGCTTGACTACCTCGACCCAGCCTTTGGCACTCACTTTAAAATCTTAAATGGGAATACCCCACTTGTAGCGCCTTTTGGGAAAGCCCATGAAAAATGCTAAACGATGATCATAAAGTATTACAGTTGAGGGTTAAACCTTTGGTGTTGGTTACTTGTTAGGGGTTGTGCCTGATTAATCATACTGAATACACCAAAACACTTTTGTATGTATCAGTGTAAAAAGTAAAAGTTTTGGTGTATTGTAGGTGATTTAGTGTTTATTTTGATATAGATGGAATTGAAATTATTCCTTACACGAAATTTAGGACACGAAAAAGGTGATTTTTTCAAGTTACAAATTGGGACCCAAATGAGGCAAATGAGGTGTTTTTTAAACCACCCCGACTTACCTCTAGGTGCCACCCTCTCATTTCTAATCTCAAGATAGCGATACCCACTTGTGACACTTCTATGGAAAGCTAATTGAAATTGCTAAACGATGGTCATACAGATTTTAACTTAATTACTGGTAACTAGTGATAAGAAATGTAGGTGTGACAATTTGAAAGAAATTTAAAATGATAACGAAATTTAAAATAATTAACAATTGCTCAAAATGACAGCCGTTTTGTTCCATCCATACAAAAAATACAAACGATTTTCAAATTCTTTTCTCACTGTTTGGAAAGTCTCTCTTGGAATATTTCGACATGATTTAGTTCCCCTCTGCCGCAATTCTTGCAACAAACCTGGTTTTGTCTTGTAGACTATGAATTTAGTGTAAACCCACAAGAAAAAGTCTAAAAGAGTGAGATCAGGTGACCTTGGCGGTCACTCGATTAGACCCCTTCTGCCAATCCATTGCTTTGGATAATATTTGTCCAACCACCGCCTTGTGACAATAGAATAATGCGGAGGAGCTCCATCTTGCTGAAAGTGTATGAGGTTCATTAAGAGTTATAATAAATTTCTTTTGTACCAGTTTTTTTTCTCGCAATGGTACATGGATACAAAAATAATTTAATCTATTGATTTTGACACGTTTTGACATTTATTTTTATTTTTAACTACATTTTTTTCGTTCTTTTTATGACAGTCGTTCAGCATTTTTATACGCTTTCCAAAGAGGTGTCACAAGTGGGTATCGCTATCTTGAGGTTAAAAGTGAGGGTGTGGCACCTAGGGGTGGGTCGGGGTGGTTTAAAAATACCTCATTTAGCTGGGTCCCAATTTGTAACTTATGCTGAAAAATCACTTTTTTCATTAATCTCCACCTAATTTTGCGTGTAAGGGGTAGTTTTTCAATTTCACCCTAAAAAACTTTATGATCATCGTTTAGCATTTTTCATGGGCTTTTCAAAAGGCGCCACAAGCGGGGTGTTGCCACTTAAGATTTTCAAGTGAGTAGGGGTGCCGCCTTAGGGTAGGTCGGGGTGGTTAAAAAAATACGTCATGTATTCCCCCTCGATATTATAGAAACGGTATTTTTTATATTTTTGATATCTTTTTTGGTTTAAAAATTATAGCCATTGTAAGTTTTCAGTGGCCCACCCTGTATTAGAAATCACGGTATATATTTTTTTTATTTTTTGTTTCGTTTCCTTGACCTGTATACTATATATTTTTTGTTTTCACTCTTGGCTTTAGGTCGTTGGGGTTGCAAAGATGTTTCTAGATTTTGTTCATTATTTTTTTATTTTATGACGCCGTTTCGACAGTATATGTCTTTTCGACAGTATATGTCGTTTCGACAGTATACGTACGTGCTCTATAGTAAAGTGTAATGTCCAAAAACAATTAAAAACAATAGTTAATATGTGTTATTGTGTTGTCCAGTTTAACAAATTTTAACTCTGTAAGAATCTACGTTCAAGAGGCTTGAAAAAGACATATACTGTCGAAACTTCGTCATAAAATAAAAAAATAATGAACAAAATCTAGAAACATCTTTGCAACCCCAACGACCTAAAGCCAAGAGTAAAAACAAAAAAAAAAAATTCTTTATTTCGACAGTTATCTAAAATTTATATAGAAACTTTTTCTTTAATCTCCTGTAAATGTTAAACATTGTTGTATTTCAGTGTAATAATTATTTTAATCACCACAATTATATGGAATTAGACTGCATCACAGCTAAAGATGTATAAATTACTTGAGTAATTTTAAAGACAGGCATCCCTAATTATGTAGTTCTTAAATACGAGAAGGAAATACACAAAACATGTGTAACAGAAGTGTTATTTTTAGGTTTTACAAGAAACTGTAATCATTAACGTCAACTACTCAAATAATGAACTGCGTCTTTGTGCCAACGTCTTCCAACAACTCTTGTTGGTTATCGTAACGACTGTAAGTAAGCAGTAACTTTATTTTAAGATCTTCCCAATATAACAAGCATATCTATCATGTATCGCGCATCATTGTGTACTATATATTAAGGTGGAACGAAAAAAAAAAATTCCAAAATATTTTCATGCGAGCCTCAAAATGTGCCTTTAGATAAGTCTTTTTTTTCTCAAAACTGAGCGTCCTGCCTTTGTATCTTCAGGTTCCTCACGGGCCTTAAAAGCTGAGATTTTCCGGTTCCTCAATATATTTGAAACTGGTCCACCTGCACGATAAACTACCATCCGTGGCACTTGCCTGTGACAAAACTGGAGTTTCAGATCACGCTGCCGCTATAATCGCAAAAGCTGTTTTAGAGGATATTAGAGTAGTGTCTAAAAGCAGTTCTACACAGATAGTAGATAGAATGAAGATCAGGATGGCCAGAATGTCTCAACGTAACGTTTGTACTTGTACTAGTGTATTAGGTGAAATGTCGTTATTAGGCGTGTTTTTGGATGGTCGAAAGGACTCTACTATTATTTACGATAAGAATAAAAGGAATAGAAAACGCGTTGTGGAAGAACATATTTCTATTCTAAGCGAACCCGGTTCTAAGTATTTGGGCCATGTCACACCGGAAAGCGGATCTGCATGTCATATAAAACTGTCTTTGGTTAATTTCTTCAAAGAAAAGTTTGACTTGACCGGGAGTGAAAACTGGCGTTATTCGTTTGTTGGAAAAAGAATTAAAACGTTCCTTATAATGGTTAATTTGTTTATTCCATTTTAAATGAACTTCCTTTGCGACATTTAGTAAAAGAACTAGATGGTGAAACTTCGGGTCCCGGTGGACTCAAAGGTGTTATTGGACAGAAACTAGATAACTGTGAAACCCTAGCTGTTGTAAAATTCAGAAGAATTGAAACTGTCTAATATAACGTGAGTTTATTTTCCCAATAATATTTCTTTTAACATAGGTTTTAAAACGACACATATTAAGAGTTTGTGCCTGCTAAGTATTTCTGCGTCTCAAGCATATCACGCCATATCTGATTTATAGGCGTCTTGCGCTCCGATTTAGGGGTAAAAGTATTCCTAGAAAAGCGTTCAAAATCGAACGATTCCCTTAGCATCGCCATCTTACCCCAGTTTCCCCTACTATCATACAAAATCTTGTTTTTTTTAACTGAAAAAGTAAAATAGTTATAGGGGTGAGCCACTTTTGAGACGCACCCGGTATTATTAATACATTATTATTTATTTAAAACAAAAGAGGCGCATGAGAATCTAAATAAAATATTTCTACTTTATCAAAAATATATTTGATTTAGTGAAAAAAAGGTAAGTACCGCCTTTGGTACCGTTTAAAGTATTTCACCGTGACGACAATTTTTAATAGGATTATTGTGGTAAATCTTTTGTGATGCATATTATTCTCATAAGCTTTGGGATCAAAAAAGCCGTCTTACACGCCTACCATATACCTAGTTATAATATATGTCAACCATATTTTAAATAACACCTACTCAATAGTTTTGCCGTCTCTCATTTTTTTTTATTTAAATATGTAAATACGAGGAACGACAGAGGCATTTTTTATTCTTTCCTATTAAGTTTTTCCTTACAAGAAAAATATAATTTGTATTATTTTACTTCTGCGCCAGTAATTAATTTATATAGTTTAAACACAGTCTATTCACACCCAGCCTGCCGACTTATGTATCTGTTTGCATGGAAATCTGCTTACAAAACCAGTAATTCATTTATCTTAGACCAGTTGGTGAAATAAATATGCTGTGCTCAGGTAATTTATTATTTTTTATACTGTCACGTCACATAAAAAGTAAATTAAATAGGTAGGTATCTGGAGATTTTCAAGATTGATGAAACTAAAGACGGAATTACATTACTATCACGTCACGTGAATTCACGTGAACACACATGAGCAGTAAATTTGATGAGACCGATGTTTTGCATTTGTTTTATTAATCAACACATCAAGGGTGAACACATTATTATCACTTGGGGGATTCATGTGAAATCACGTGATATTGCGAGTTGTTTTGCTCTAAAATATTCTGTTTTAACATCAATTTCGTGAGGCGTGAAAACGTGAGGGTTGAGAAATGGAAGAAATTCTAATAGAAAAAGTGCGTTTACACGAGGTGCTTTACAATAACCGATCAACAAATTACTCTCTTTTCAAATTAATGTCATGAACTCATTGCCTAATTTTAATATTATCAGCAATCACAAGTAAACCACATGCGTTTTCAATCTTCTTCAAACTCAGAAAATGAAGATGAAGACCTATTTATTTGATTCATTATTACGTTAAGTAGAGGACCTAAGTTGTTAAACTTGAGAAGAACGCTGAACGAACGAGAAATGGCTTTCGGTTCATAATAAAATGTGCATAATATGAAAGAACGACGTGATACTAATGTGTATCCTTTAAACCACACGTGAACTCACTTTTACTGTGATAGCATGTGATGTTACAGTAATGTAATTCCGCCTTTTGAGGTACGTTAAAACTATCTATACCTATGTTGTTTATTGTGTTTATTATCAATTCATCTAAAAACAAAGTTACGAAAATAAATATATAACAGTCAAAATATATCTTTTAATCCTTTTTCTATAAGTTTTAAAAAGATATATAACTCAGTTCTAAAGAGTATCCATTGTATATATCTTCTGCTTTCGACACCTGTGCTTCCTTTTGTTTTGACAGCGCATCTCATGCTTATTTTTTATGATTCGTTGTAAATGTCTTAAAGGTATGTATTTACAAGAAACCTCAAAGCTCACTCTCTTCATCTCATCGTCCGTCTTAGTTGCTCCCACGCTTCTATAACGGGGCCCTGTTATTTTTATTTATCGAGTCAACGTGTTTAGAACTCGAGAGGAAGCTTTCGTAAACGCTTTTTTTTTCGTAATTTTACTTATTATTAGTATGTTTCTTTTGATCATTGAAGAGAGAAAAATCCAAAAGATACTATAGCACATAGGCTCCATTGGATCCTTTGCAGATACATCCTCCCGCGGGAGACATCGCCTAAACTACCAGCATCAAATTATGCCACCAGCCTGCATAATTTTGGGAAACGGGTTGTATATCGGCCACTACTGTCTTACATAGTAACCATTAATAAGGAGCCAGGGAAGATTTCGACAAACGACACCCAAAAAATGACCAAAAATACAATTTACGTATGAATAAAAATTGGAAACAACAGCTCACTATCAGGTGTTCCTCATGTTGATCATAGAATATATTTATTTATAGGATGCGTATCATTGTTCATTAACCTTATATTGGAGGGGAAGAGTTACTTTGTGGCTGGACTGTAAGAAGTGTTAAAGGAAGTAAAAAGGATAGTAAACACACTAGGAAAACCAGGCGTGCTTAAATATATAGTATTTGTTCACAGCCCTGTTGTTGACAAGTCCAAGCGTGTTGATCTGGTGCATCCCTCAGGCAGTGACAGACAACCTGCGGTACGATCACCATGTGCCTTGTTACTCTTAACATAAGCATAATTATTATTTGATAAAGTAACAGGTTATTAATATAGTCTAATTTCTAACATCAGAAGTGGGATATTACCCTATAATAAAGTGCTGCCTATTGATTTCTTGGGGCTATTTCTCTTATTACTATCGTTGAGACTTCATTGTGCTATATTTTGTGATAAATTCAATTTTATTCGTGAAAAAAAAACGTGAAAGAAGTTTGAGAAAAACGTTGAAGAAATTTGAGAAGATGATTGAACAATGGAGAATGGAGAAATGCTTGTGGTCTGCCGTTGTCGGATAAGTTAAATAACATTTATGGCGAAAATTTTTACTAATTTTGGTCGTCATCTAGTTACATGATTTCTATTTTTGTCACTCTTAAGCTTGACTTTCATGCGTCCGTTGATTCATTATGATTGGTCGTAGCATTTTCGCGCTACTTTTTATCCGTAATTTTTTTACTTCAGTTCGTCAACGGAGAAAGATCGACGGACCTTCTGACACTTTGGGCTTTCAATATTATTATTTTTACCACCTGTATATTTTGTACATATGTTGCTTTAACAAAAATCTAAAACGTCAATATTCCATGGGTATAGTAAGGGTATAGTGATAAATGAGGTCTAAATAATAAGAAAATGCATTTTCTACGAAAACTTGAAGAAATAGGTAAAACAATGGTATTATGGTATAATACATTTTGATAGACAATTAAATTGTGCATTTGATTCACGTAAAATATACAGGGTATTCTATTTAAATTAAACAAGTTATTTCCGTTGAAAGCTAGTAATTACTAGCTTTCAATTAAAAAATAATAATTAATTTATTTTAATAAAAAATTTATATTTTATTTCAAAAAATTATATTAAATAATTATTTAATATAATTTTTTGAACACTCTGTATAAGGCAGTATAATTTTTATTATTGCAACATAATATCTGATTAATAAACAATCTTCAATAAATATTTAGTATTAAAACCTTTAATATCCTTGGAGAAATAAAGCCTTAATTTTTTTACTGCAATTGCACAAAATTGAAAATATTTCAAAAACGGTAAGGTTTAAGTGCGATAAACCTTAATCAAATTTACATTTATTTCAGTCGTAGAATCTAAAAATAGAATAATATACAGGGTATTCCATTTAAAAAAATACAACTATAATGTTTTTTACTTATTTGGGACACTCTGTGTCTTGTAAAATTATTGCTATAATAGTCCTTCAACGAACTCAAAACTTACAATTTGTAAAAATCTAATCGTTTAGCTATAATAATACTCCGTGTCGTATGTGGTGAACAACCCTGTATTTTAGCGCGTTCCGCAAGTCGTAACTCTTTGGCTTGCGCTCGCAGCGCGCGTTATTTTCGCTTTCCAGAGTGGCTCTCCTGCTCCTGCCGCTTTTTCGTTTGTTTCTTACAACATTAACTCAGTCAGTTGGATCGCGCGGTTCAAGCTCTTTACTACGAGCACGTCACTAGCAGACCCGCCGCGATACCATAAATACGCGTTTTATAAGGTATCATCTCTTCGTGTCGCTCGTCGAAATGAACCCGTGAAAGCACCTCGATTTGAACCACGATGGTCCTGCTGAGGTCGCTGGGTCTGTTGTTGTTGTTGGCGGGATGTTTGCACGGGCAAAAGAGGGAGTATTCGGGACCGCGATGCCCCAGGGACTGTTACTGCTTCAGGAGGACGGTGCGGTGCATGAAGTTGGAGTTGAAGGAGGTGCCGAAGTTTCCCCAAACCACTGCCACTTTGTGAGTTTTTATGGGTTATTTTAGTTGATATATCTGCTAACACTGAAAACTATTTAACATACAAGGTGGTCTAAACTGTATTCGGAAACTTCGGCAGCATATTCTTTTACAGATAAAAATAAGTAAAAAGTTCTTATTATAAATGTATGGCCTAAAATGCTCAGTTTGGAGATACAGGGTGTAGAAATTTATTTTTTTTTGTTTATTTTCCAAATAATTTCTGAGGTAACGTCAATATTTGGATGAAAATTGTGTGAAAAAAATTATGATTAATTTAAAAAATAAAAAGTTCCCAAATTTATCATTTCAGTCAAATAACTATCTACTCAGAATGTTTATTTTTTGTCAATATTGACATGTATTGAGTACTTCCTTTCTGAATATTTTACTAATAACGATTTTACACATTCTTCACGTAAAAAATCACGGAAATGTATATTTTTTCACGTAGTAGTTTTATACAGGTCCTGATGAAAAGTTATTACTCTTCAAAATAATTAAAACACATGTAGGTGGCGCCCAGTGGCGGATACAGAGGGGGGGCCCATGGGGACCCCCCCCCCCAAAATCTGTAAATTGGGTTAAATATTAGCCTTTTGGGTTAAAAATGGCGCCCTAAAAAGCACATTCTACATAATTTTTTTTATTTAGGCCCCCCTAAAATAAATTCATGTATCCGCCCCTGGTGGCGCCTCTACAAATAGGAGTTATATTGACATTAAAATCAAATTTATCATGTCAAAAAATTCCTAGACACCAATTTTCATCCAAATATTCACGTTACTTCGAAAATTATTTGGAAAAAATCGAAATAACATTGAAACTTCCACACCCTGTATCTCCGAAACTAAACAATTTAGGACATACATTTAAACGAACTTTTTTACTTATTTTTATCTGCAGAATATGCTACCTAAGTTTCCGGAATACAGTTCGGACCACCCTGTATATGAAAAAAAAAAATCCCAGTTTACTATTAATATAGGATTATTTCTCCATATTTAGCTTCGACTAAGAAATATCGAAAAAAATATATTGACATTCTTGGACTGATTACCAACATGGAGATGTTTATTTCTTTCATAACAAAAATCTGGGGTGCCTTCATCTTATATTCTGACTCTCGGTTTTCAATGAAATAATAAAAATAGCGTCGTCTCACTCTTTTTTAAAATAAGCAAGAAGTCTTTAAAAAAGATTTAAATTACGTTTAGATTAATTATTGAATTATAAGATGAAATATTTAAAAAAATACTTGTATTGTGGTGTTCAACAAAGCATATTTTTATTATACAGCCTTTAAAATATTTCTTTCTCAAGTAGGGTTGTCAGATTGTTATAACTAAAATCCGGGCAAAAAAAGCGGAAGAATAAAAAACGACGACGAACGACGCTCTAAAAAGATACACATGGCCAACACACCATCCTCTTCCTATTCCACTTTTGCGGGAATAGTGTGGAAACTAAATAAAACAAATCATAGTTTTTATTTTATTGATACAAACACAAAGAATGTAAACGAAGGAGTCATGGAGCCATCCTCAGCTTATTCAACAATTTCCAATTATGGTGTAGCCTCCCTCACATCTGTAGACTATTTTTGTAGTTGGGTTCATTGTTGTCTATTGTTGGCTATGCGGGCCAAAGTTATCGCTGCTGATTTCCTAATATCGTGATCCCATCTCAGGTTTGGTTTTCCTCTAGGTTTCTTAATTCCTCGTCGGTACTATGCTGAGATTTTTGTGGTCCATCTGTTGTCCGTCCTTCTTGCCAGGTGTCCTGCCCAGGGCCGATCCTAGGGTATCTGCCGCCCGGGTGCAAGAATTAAATTTGCCACCCCCATTAATGTAAAAAAATAGGTTGCCGGTAAGGGAAGGAGTTCATAATTTATCATTCTCAATAAACAAATTTTATAGTAAAATAACAAAGTACTTATTAACAAATACATAAAAAAAAATAAAATAAAAATACATTCAGGAAAAAAACAAAAATAATTAAACGGGTTTAAATGCTAAAATCTACTTTTCTCGCTTTTTTTAGTAGCAAATTCCCTAATCAAGTCGCCTACATCCAAGTTGTTAAAATATCTTCTTCAATACTTATAATTCCTAATTTTAAAATCTTGATTTGACTCATATTGGATCTTAAATAGGTCGTGATTTTTAGAAAATTTTCGTAAAATTCAAGAATAAAAAAGCCACCTTTTTCTATTCTTGATAATATGATAAAAAAAATTGATGATGATATTTTGCCGCCCGGGTACCATGCACCCCTTGCACCCCCGGCACGGCTCGGCCCTGGTCCTGCCCATTACCACTTGAGGGATTTGATTCTATGGATGACATCTAGTACCTGGGTCTTTTGTCGTATCGAGTCTATTTTTTACGGTCTTTCTTGGTTATTCGCAGCATATTTCTTTCCATTGAGCGTTGTGCGACCTGCAGTTTTCTTATAATGTCCGTTTTAAGAGTTCATGTTTCGCATGCATAAGTCATGTCTGGTAGTACACATTGGTCGAATGTTTTCTTCTTTAGATAAAGTGGCATTTTAGATTTGAATATGATTGAGTTTCTTCCATAAGTACTCCATGCTAACTTAATTATTGTGTTGATTTCTGGCAGTAGAGATCCCGAGCTGTGTATTAGTTGCCTGAAAAATATATATTCTTCTACTATTTCCGTTACGTAAATTAGACATGTAAATAGAAGTATTATAAAAGTAATATTCTTTTAATTAAACATCAAACAACAGGTTCATTCACTCACTCCAAAGTAAAATTAACCCATATGTGGTGCAGACGTAGACTTTTTCTCACTATGTAATATAAGCAGAGATATTCTTGACCAAAATTTGTAATGTTTTAAACAGAAAAAACTTCGTTCAAAATAAAACATATTTGCATTTTGCCTAAACGAATGATGCCTAAAAATAAGTATGGCTAATTCAATTCGAAATAAATCACATGAATCCATTAAATTATTGCGAAATAACGGTGCGGTATACCGCACAACGTTTAATTTTAACGTTCAGTACCAGTACTAACTGAAAAGAGTTATTGTTAAATGTGATTATCACCTAAAGTACCTATTTCTTCACCTTTCTAATATCGTATTGTGGGATGTAATTATATTCAATCACACGTGAAGTGCGATGAATATGTATATACTGTGTGAAAAAAAAACGGCGTCCATATGACAGTGATCTTCACTTCATAGCCATCGCTGAGGCTGTTTTTTAGTTTTATAGTAAATATATCTGGGTTATATATGAAATACCTTATTGAGTATCTGTTCTTAATTGATTGCTGAGAGAAGGAAGAAAATCTGCAAAACTGCAAAACTTAAATCGCATTGAACCCCCTGAATAATGGTTCACCTTTTTTACCAGACTTTGGCAGTCATGTTGTCTACTAACACTTTATTGACTCAGATTCTTCAAACATGAAATACTTCTTACTCCAGGTCCCCTCAAGAGCTCAAATAATGCTGGATCAGCATATACCTGTTTTTTTTAACACCCCACTTTGAAAGCTCATTTAAACTTCCTACGACAACAGGAATTTTAGCTGTTGAATTCATGGTTATCTCCCTAAGGCAATGGACTGTATCTTATCCGCTGAAAAAATAAATTGGCTAGTTGCTACTGACTCCATGTGTGCAATAAATACAATAAATTCGTCCCAACCCAGTCATTCTTTCGACATAGAAATTAATGAAAAATTATATGTATGTATGTGTATAGATGCTTAGTTAGTTTGATGTGAATTCCTTCTCACAAGGGCATTCCTGGAAATGAAAAAGCTGACCTTTTAGAAAGAAGATTTGAACGCAAATTAGGTACAATTATTCAAAAGTCTGGATCAATTGGGCTGGGATCTAAATGACGATAATAAATTATATGGAATAAAGACAAATTCTATTAAAATTATTAGCTTACAGTTATATCCAGGAAAAAACTGAGCATAATGACTAGACTCCGCATAGGACATACTAAAGTTAACCAATAAGCACCTCCTAAAAAGGGAAAATTCTTCTAATTACCTTAACTATAATGTTGCGCTTCATTATCTTTCGTAATTTCATGCCCAATCTCTTTGTCCGTTTGTACCCTGTGTGCTTCAAACTTTGGACATACAAATAATGTGTATTCTGGAGTATCCACCTCTTCTGCCCAAAACCAAGCACATGCATCCTGCTGTTTTTTTTATTCTTTGCAGGTATGAGCCAAAGACCCCATGACCAGTCATAGCCTGTAAAGTATAAAAATTCATATCACCCCAGTTTCTTTCGCATCATATTATAATATATATATATATATATATATATATTGTCTTGATGAAAGTCTTTGCCCACCCTCGGTATTTATGCTACCTTGTTTACCACTGTGCGTAAGTAAATATTACAACATTAAAGAAAGTCTTATTACTACTAGAAACCTCCATAAGGGCTTGATGTTATTAAGTGTCAAATTACCAAATTCAAAATAACCAAACTGGATTTATTGTTACATATTATGTCGTTTTATCTCAACTACATCCGTTGGTTTCTCGTGGCTGGAGGAGTGACTCGTCTCAACCATTATGGAGATAACTTTTCTGGCTTAGAAACGTTCCCGGTTAAGTTACATGTATAGAAATGCTGTATGGCAGGTGTTAAGGATTACAGATTTTTGCATAAGTTGGTACTGGTATGGTATTAAGTCTATTGCCTTCAGCGATTCAATTAGTGTTTTTGGTATTACACCCATATTCGATAGTACTAATGGGATGACCCGGACTCGATCGTATTTCCACATATCCTCAATTTCAAAGCGTAAATCAATATATTTGGTAATCTTCTCTCTATATGTTTGTGTTAGGTTATTGTTGTTTGTCACCGCAAAATCTATTCTTCTTCACTACTATGCCTGGTCTATTGTGTTCTAGTCTTTTATCTGTTATTATAGTTCTGTCCCAGTACATTTCATATTCATTGTTTTCAAGGATTGTAGCAGGTTCGTAC